AGATAATACATGGAGCATCATCAGCCCTGACCAGAGAGCTAGTTGGTTAAATGTGCTGCTCACAAGTGTGCGCAGCTGTCATGTTACTAATATTTGGAAGTGTTTGAAGAGTTCAAAAGGGAAACTACAGTTCCACTGTGTCAGCATGATAGCAAAGCGTGGTGCTGATGTACTGGATGTGTGTGTGTTTGTGTCAGCTATCTGCTGACTAAAGAGCACCAGTCAGCAGACGTGTGACACTGCCGGATTTCCGCTCATACACACTTTTCCTGTCACTTTAATATTCAGGGCCATTTTTTCCCCTCTGAGACTTCATGGGTAACTATGAGGTTTTTAAGGTTAGAGATTGGACAGCCATTCTCGTCCTGGGGTCCCTTGAGTCCACACGAGCTGGATCAGCTGCTGTACGTTCATGTCAAGCGGCTCCATTCAGTTTGCAAGATGTCTGGCCGCCTTTCCAACCAGACTAGGTGATTAGCTCCTAGCTTCTACTAGATTAGATTGTAATGTGGCCCCTCTATCAGAGGACCGGGCATGGCGACATCATATTCCCATTTGCCTCTCACGGCCCAGATGATGACTCTGGCCAGTACTCCTTCAACATCCCTCTTTGAGACTGTCTGCTTCTCTTGGTCCAGCTCCTCTGGAACAGCCTCTCCCTTGATATCAAGCTTGATGTCCTGAAGCGTGTGCAAGAGTGGTTTGATATGCTATGGCGCTGCTTCTCCAGATTTTGTTGCCCTAGCTGCCAACAGAGCCCCACACAGGGATTCCCTCTTACCAATCAGAAGTGAGGGAAGTTTCTGCCCCCCAGCTGTCATTTTCTGTGGACACAGAAGCTGTGGTAGGGAAAGAGCAGTTAACTTGTACATGTACAACAGCTTGTACAGGAGTGTCAATGTCATCCACATTTGTTTTGACTTTTTACTCAGTTTTTTATGATTTTTATAAATATTTTATTGTTATATTTTATATATTTATATAAATTAGTAAGCAGACTAACGACACTGCTGATTTCCTTGATTTCCACTCATACACACTTTTTCTTGTACCTTTTACATTCAGGGCCAGTTATTTTTGTCTTTCAGAAGTACAGTTTGGTTGTTTTTTTATATCTTCATGTTAGATCTGACAGTAGAGAGATAACACAGGAGGAGGAAGAAATGGGTAAAGACAACAAAGCTCCTCGGCCAGACTCGAACCATGGACGTTACGGTTCATGCTTCAGGCCTTACATCCTTCCTAATCTTTGATTGGTCAACTGTTCCTCCAACTGACAGAAAGAGCCATTAATTAGCACAACGCCAGGTCTATTTGAAACTATGTGAGATGTACATGTAGGCGGGATTTCAGATACCTGGAATGTTACCTTCACCCCTCTCTTGATCCTACCTTTGAACTGTAAAAAAACAAGGCGGTGTGACAGATTGCCTGATCTGCATCCTCATAGTTTCCGAGAGGCAGCGTCAAATTTAGGCCACTTTGAATATCACAGGTATCAGGGAGTCAAGGTCTCAAGGCTTTAAACAAAGGGAATGCTACATCGAATGCAACGTGTCACCCTTGATTGAAGAGGCAATTGACTAAGTATGTCTTCAAATGTGTGCAGCTGTCCTGATGCTAATTTTTAGAGGTGTTAAAGGAGTTCAGAAGCTAACTACAGTTTCAAAGTGTCAGCATGATAGTAAAGTTTATGCAGAGTTGGTGTGTGTGTGTGTGTGTGTATATGTGTGTGCATGCATGCGTGTGTGTGTGTGTGTGTGTGTATGAGTGAGAGATGACTGCAGTCTTCCTGAGTCAGCTGTCTCCTATCTCTCAGCTAAGAGACATTTCCTGATTCATGCCAGACTTTTTGAGACTATACTCTACAACACCATGTGTAGAATCATCATTATTACATTTAGCTATACCCAATTTAAGCAGGGAAATAATAGGCTACACAGACAGAACACCTTCAATGTTAAATGTCAGTAGCAAAACCTAAATAAGTAGTTCCAATTATTTGTTGTAGTTCAAACTTAAAAAAACAAAACCATATTGAAAATGTGCCAGAGATAAAAGTAGAACATTTCCTCAAAGCAGTAAAAGTTAAAAAGTGTCAAAAACAAACCATCTCCTCAGCACTTGTACCTGTGTCAGGGATGGAGTTTTTCCTCATTACCAAACCTGTGTCTCTCACCTCTCTGACTCCAGCCTCCCCACAAGCCTTTTCTAGCTTTGTAACCTGATAAAGGCAAAAATGAAATCTATTCTTCTTTAGCCCTATACTGTAGTTCTCACACATGAACTGGTTGTATGGTTCTCAGTTGGCTAACAAGTTATCATACTGTCTGCGTTCTGACCAAACAAAACTGAGCTTGTCAGTTCATTGTTGACTGATTGGAAACACAGGTTGAGAGAATCCTGAGTCTCAACTCAAGGTTCTCCTACTTGCTTGTTTTGGAGCTTTCAGCTGTATTGCAAAGTCCTCATCAGCAGATTGAGATTGCTAATGGCGGCGCTACATGACAAGTCATAGGTTAACCAAGGCTATTCAAATTCATTCGGAGGGGGAACGACAATATTTGTACAAAATCACCTTCATGGCGGTGCTAGAGGAAAAGTCTGCAGAGCTCCAAAGTCAGTAGGATATATTGTCTGAGCAGCGTGGATATCGGCTCCAAATTTTGGAGCCAGTCAATCAAGGAGGAAGGATGTTGAGATATAAGTAATATTGTTTTTAATGCCATACTATCAATTAACTACAATCCTAATATTTACCCTGTATGTATTCAATAATCAATACCACTGACGAGTTGTACGCCATATTGGCACATATTCCGACAGTGATTGCAGATTGCTACACACTGGTTTATATTTTTGTACCATGGCAATGGCTTTTACAGTTTTGCTGGCACAGTGTTTTATTTTTCTACCATTACCACGTTGCATTATTTTGTAACAAGGCCGGTAAAACAGCAGCACAACCGTTTCTTTTTTATACTATGGTTGGTACCACGGTACAGTCTTTGTGCCAAATTGAAAAAACCATCCATTACCCTCACAGTACCAAGCTACTTTTCCAGGTCTGCTCTTTTCCTAGCCGATGCTTCAAGGATCTGACGCTCCACCCCTCCTGTCACGCCTTTGATTACCATTATAAATTTGTACTGGGCTCCACAGGTTGTCATGATCTTGTGTTTTTTTTAGCGTAGCTTTTAAGCCATTCCTTTCCCCACTCAGCCTTCATGTATTCCCTTCTTCCCCTCTCTCATTTATTTCCATTGGAGAGCATCGATTGGGTCGTTTAAGCCTTTCGGTCTGGACTAATACTTCACTCTATGCAGCCCTGTTCCCCTCTTCCATCGTTCCCTCCATCGTGCTTTACTCCTCTCCCTTTATCATTAGTCCTGCCCTAGTACCACCATCCATGTACTTGACTGGAGAGACAGTACGAATCCAACTTGATGGGTTGAGATGATAATTGAAACAGGCCTTTAATACAGACCATTTGGATGGCACATGCCTGGATTTGTATGTGTATGCACGATATAAATGTAATTAGATGCTAAATAATTTGATCCTAACTATAATAAAGTGTAGGGATATTATACAAATTCTTTCACCTATCTTGAAAAAATGTCTGAGAGTTTCTTGTTGTTGTTGTTGGGATTCCTCTGCTCTGCACCATCCTCCAATGAAACAGGCTGTTTAGGGGGCATTAACAATAAAACTATTTATGAGGCACTACACTGATTGGCTGACTGACAATAGGACTGCCTTCGTCCTGTCCCTTGACAGAAACAAATGCTGCTGAACCAGAGACGAGACAGGATCTAACGCTACGCTGAACTGATTCAGAATTAGACACCGAATTTCACTATTTGTTCCCAGTGAGACATCACACCGAGCGACGGCTCTAAATGGCTTGTTCAAATTTTCAAAGTGTTAATGCATCACATTAAGACACTGCTGAAACAGTGTGAAGTACCAGTATTATCCAGCATCATGATTTTACAACACATAACTAACACCTCTCACAGAATCCAGTGAGAAAAGATGAATTTTACTTCCATAATACTCCATTTTTATTTTGGTTTATATATATCTATCTGCATTCTAGCTACAGTTTGCACTGATTAGATGCTAAACTGTACTTGGTTGTACTGGTGCAATGACAATTAAGTTGAAACGATTGTACACTGTGTTATATAATTACTAATTGTGACTCTGACCAAAAAACATTTCCTGAACTTAAAATAGTGTATTAAAGATGATGATTTCATCAACTTGAAGCTCTAGAATTCCAATCGGTCAACACAAGATAGAAGTGCACAGAGCGAAAATGAAAGCAAAATAAGGCCAAAATATCGTATGCTAGTAGAATCACATAATAGAAAAAAAATAAATGTCAGCACTGCACAGATCTTGGTAAGGAAATCTACCCGCAGATTTTGTTTTGCATCCACCATCAATATCAGGTTAGGGTACCACCACACAACCAGTGGCTGATTTCATGAAGCCTTTCTCCACATGCTGCACATACACACATGCACACAACCCCCAGCCCTAAGGTGAGGACATGTTTCCATCTGCTGATCCTTTGGAGCATTGCAATAGGCTCTGCAGCTATTAAGAGCCAGACTCAATCTAAACGCCACCCTGAGGAAAGGAGCCCCAGCTGTAAAAATTTACATCTTCTACTCTCTCAAACCTTCAGCCTAGAAAATCTCTTTGCAGTCATTGTTCCTACATGAGTGTAATCCAAAAGCTTTATCACGTCATCCAGAACCAGAGGCGCTACTGTGCATTTTCAGTCCTCTTAGAGCAACTCAACAGCTGCTTCTGACACAATGAATATCTATAAGCCCCTCAAAAATGTCAAAGTCCCCCTATCATTCAGACAGCGCATCCCCCAGGTGATGTAAGCACTCCTCTGGAGAAAGAAGAAGCGGGTGATAAATAAATATGAAATACAGTGCAACAGAGTCTACCATACCACAACCACATCACTCCTGTCAAACATTGCAACTTCTTTTATTTTTTCAAACTCTCCAAACGTCATTGGTAAAAAAACGGCATACTCCATTAAAACATCAGGAAAAATTATAGAAAACAATTGTAGATGATTTACAAAATATATACATGAAACCTATACATATACATACACACAGATATATATATATACAGCATTATACTCAAACAGTGGGTCCCAAAAGTCTGAGTCTAACACCAAAACTGTATATGTTCCTGTTTTAAGCTAACTACTTAAATACGCTGTAAATAAATCAAAAAATCAAAATAACACGTTTAAAGAAATGCAACAGGTACCAAAAACAATGTGTTCATGTGTAAATCACATCACAGCTTCTGAGAAAATTCGGTCTACTTGTAAGACTGTAAGAAAGACCTCAATTAAAAGTTGAACTTCACGGCTAAAATAAAGGACCCAACCACACGTCGACCAGAGAGAGGTGCCACTCTCTACAGAGAGATATTATCACTTCAAGCTTTAAACCTTTTAAAAGAAGATTCATTCTCTAGCAAAGCAACGGCTGTGTGCATCCATCAAAGGTACACCAAACCAACCCGAAGCATCTTGGGGGTGCTGACTCTCATGGCTTTTCCTCTGTAGTTACCAGATCAAACCTGTGAGACCACTGTAACATCACAAGATATTACAGCACCTCTCTCACATGCTCTTTAGAGCGCTCAAAAAACATGGATTCTCAAACTCAGGCTTTTGGATCCCACCATGCATCTGTGTGTTCATGTATTTGTATATACCTGATGTATATAGTTCATCATCCATCTACATGTAACCGAATCAAGAACAAACAACACACTCTCCTTAAACAACACCACTGTCCTCATCTAGCAGTCCTCAACAACTGGCCATACAAGAGAACCTGAAAGGCTTTTTGTATACTGAGATGTAAAAAACAATATGCAGGCAAGCTGCAGGCAGGTCCTTGCCAGGACTCGCTAGCATGGCCAGTTACTGATGACCCCATCGACAGAAGTGAAGGAAAACAAGGAGAAATGCTGAAAAACCACACACAAGCAATAGGAACAGAAATGTTGTAATTTTTGGAGGCCTTGACATCAGTAATTCCATATAAAAGCAGAAAAGCACAGAGAAATTGTGGGACTGATCAATGGGCTGCGATGACCTATGTTGTGCTAATGGTAACCATGGAAACAACATGTGGATGGATGGATGGACAGCTAAGGGTGTAGAGAAAGTTTAAATCTTCTTTAACTCAAAAAAAGGGGGCCTGTTTGAAGTATTCAGAGTATGTACAGGAGCTAAAGACTAAAATGTTGCACAGTGAATGTCAGTGACTGATCAGAGTAAAAGTTGGTATTAATGTTCTTCTTATGTACAGTGAAAGCTTTTTATGTACACTGTAAGCTGGGACTGTAATGAGCAAGGATTAATTTCCAAGTTTACTTGACATCTAACTAGGGTGAGTGCAATTAAAAAAAAAAACGAAAAAGAAAAAAAATTCCTGCTGAGAGCGTCCCATTATTTCTGCTCTGTCCTAAAAGCAGCTGCATGTATTTCCATACAGCAAAACACAGGGAGTAGAAAAAATAGTAAGCACTTAATGAAAGAGAACTGAAACTCTAAATTAACTTAATCACAATTACAAACACTGCTACAATGCAGGGTCATTTCGGGTTGAATGCCAGTTAGCATTTGTCAGCGACTCAGACTCTCATGGCAACAAACAACAAACAGTGGTCTAAAGAGGCCAAATCGTCATCAAAGGAAAAAATGAAATAGAACAGTGGAAAAATAATGGCAGCATATGCCAAGCACAACATGTACAAAGACAATCTGAAACTAGCTAACGTATAGATATAAACCATATAAAGGATCCTAACAAACATAGTAACTGTCTTACAAGTTAGCACAGCTCAGCTTTGTAGCAGTGTTTGCCCTGGTGATTTACTGACTTCAAACTAATTCCTTTTTCATGTAGTGTTTACATTATTTTGTACACCCCCTGAATCTCTCCTTAGCTGTCTCTGCTGACTGTGATCCCACTCACCCTTCAGGCTTTGCCCTTGCCATCACCTTCATTCACTCTGTCCCCTTCCATCATTTTTCCTCTGCAGCCTTTAATCATGTTCCATCAGAAGATACAGTTCTGGCTGCTGGCTACACATAGTTTGATTGTCCTTTTCTTTCTTCACATCTGCCCCTGGCTTGTGCTTTTCTCCCCCACATATTTATATTACCAACTTAATAATGTACCCTGCACTGGTCTATGCCTCCTCTTGCTTGTATTCCATTGCTCCTCCGTTTCTACTGCTGCCGTATCCCACAGGGACACTTGCTCCATTCTTCCCGATTCCCTCCCCCGACTCAAAGCTCTTCTCTTCCAGCGGTTTGCCAATCCAGGCGCCGTAACCGTGGACGCTGAGAGCTCGGAAGAACTGCTGCTTGGCTAGCTGGAAGGACATGGCCGACATCTTGGCCTGGGCGTAGGAGGGGTGGGAGAGGAGGTCTGTGCGGCCACACCGCTGGCACAGAGAGCGGAACAGACAGAACAAGTTGGACTTGGACACACGGGACACGGCCAGTTTGTTCCTACAGGGAAGACATTAGGATACTCTTTAGTTCAATGTCCATAAGAGAGTTTGACAGTCATGGAAAACATCACCGTTTGTCTGGTCTGATTATACCTTCACTGCCTGCTTCTCACTGTTTTGGTCATTTAAATAAAATAAAATAAAGTTTGTGGTAACTTGACAGTTTTTACTCAGTAAAACAGAGCACTGATAGCCACATCACATATTTCTTAGGATTATGGTGTTTGATCAACAGCATTACCACACTCCTTAAATAATAAGTTACTAAGTGAACAATAAAAGACTCTAGAAACCAAAGTGTCCAAAGTTTTATTGAACCATGTGTGTTGCTATCAGGAGAGACAGGGTTTAGTTTAGTTACACTGTGTACTACATACCCATCCAGTTTGCCTTTGGTCCCATCCAGCACCTCTACACTGTGCTGGTCTGGAAAGCTCCAGTTCACGCTGGATTCCTTGGTCTTGCCCGTGTGACGTGTGGAGTCATACACACTCACTCTGCCCACCTACAGTCCAGCCAGGTGGTGTGGGAGAAGGGAGGGGCGGAGAGAACATATTTTGTTTAATCAGGCTAATTTAGCCTTTCAGCGTGAGTCAGCATTTCCAAACAGAGCGTGTAAAATTAGTTGTGTAATGCATGTTTCAGTGTGATGGCTGTGTCACACTGTGTCGATCGGGGATGGTAGTTCAACCAATTTCACTGGTGTGTAACTGAAAGCAATCAAAAAATGGGCTAAAACAAGGAAAAAGCTGAACCCTATGTAGCTGCCAGTTACTGTTTTTCTCAGGCATTTTGCCTGGTGGTGCAATGGTCACCTACCTGCTTCCTGCTAATTGATGGATGAGCCAAATTTAAAGAAGATGGGCAATGAATTAACAGTTGTGCAGACACAAATAGGAGTGCTGGCAGCTAAATTGATGAATTTAGTGACAGTGACCTAAACATTCCTGATTAATGTCCACATGTGACATTGCCAAAAACTTCCGTGGTTACCTCTGGGTGGTTTAGCTTGAAGGGAGCAGGAAGACTCTGATCGAACGCTTCACCATCTCTCGCCAGCCGACAGCAAACAGCACGTGTAAGGTGACCGTGGCTGTACAGATAGCCTAACAGATCAGAACAACCACTCGTTGTAAAACAGGAATTTGAGACAAGTAGCACCTTAAAGCTGGGAATTCATCCAACTTCACTGACGTTAACTCTCATATTTGTCACATTATCTGTTCTCCAATTATAACAATGACAATGCAACAGCATGTTTTACCAAGTGTGATGGACTTTAGGTAGATGGGGTGCAGGAAATGGGTGAGCAACGCCCCCTGCAGGCCCAGTACATTCCAGCGCAGGATCTTATCACTGCAGCTCATGGTTCTCAGCCTCTCTCCGTGCTGGATGCCGTCCCAGGTGGGCACAATGGCACTTGACTCCACTGGGATGGTGCCCTCACCTGGCACAAACAACACCACACATATACAAAGATCACAGCTCTTGTTTATGGCAAGGAATCCTTTGCTTCCATGCAGTTATATACGACATTTGTGAAGACAGATAAGAGTTTCGTTTCTCACCGTTCTCCACTTTGGTGCGGAGCTTGCCCTGCTTAGCATTCTCAAACAGAGGCTGATGGCCTTCGACTTCATCCCCAGCCTCACTGCAGGACTTATCAAACAGAGCCCCATCCCCACAAGGTGCCGTGCTATTGATAAGAGAAGAAGAAGAGACATAAGATACTGATATGACACACACCAAAATGACATGTGGTTTAAGAGAGAATGGCTAACATTGATCCAAAAGTGAACCGTTGACGCATATGACTAATGGACATGATGGGAATGAAAGATGAGAGATTTAGGGGGAGGTAAAGAAGGAGAAAGAAAACATCTGATACTCCACCTGATGTAGAGGTGAAAGGTGATGTCAGATTTGATCCGCAGTTTGTTATTCTCCGCTGGCTCGAATATACTGTCATCTGCGCCATCATAGTGCTTGAGCAGCTCAGTGTACAGAAAACTGAGAGGAAAGGAAATGGCGAGTTAGACTTCTAAATAATGTCCTGTAGACCGGGACTGGGGAAAAGAGCGGGTTATGTTTTGAACTGTGGGAGAAACATTGATAAAAGAGCAAGATCTATTTCTACCGAACAAATCCCCTTCTGGAGATGATTTCAGCGTGGCAATCATTAACAGTCTCCCCTTTAAGGCTCAGCTCCTCCCCTTTAACACAGCGATTTCCTGACAGGAAAAAAAAAAAAAAACAAAAAAAGAAAACAAGAGACACGTTCAATGTCAAAGAACACAAGAATGCAGCGCCTCTCGGTTCTGCAGTGACCTAGTTCTGTTTTAGCTTTCTGACAGCACATGCCTCTCAGCACAGAAATCCATACGACTAAACATCATGGAAATATGCAATGACAACACATTTTATTCTGTTGCTACTCAATTCCTTATACTCCCGGTTTCTACCACCTCTGTTGTTTCATAGGTTAAATGCTAAAGGGAAGGGATATACCAGTTCCCAGGCTGACAACAGTCCCCAGGCCCTCCCCTCTCCTCATGACGATGGTGGCCAGAATCTTGCGACCCAGAAGGCTGTGCTGGATACGTGTGGTCAAGGCGTTGAAACGTTGGTGGCTCAACATTGCTATCTGGTCATGCAAAGTGCTGCCACTCACGGGAAGCTAGAGAGAGGGATGTGTACAGGATAGGACAAGCAAAACAGAAAGGAAATAAGGATTATTATATATATATATATTTGTGTGTCAACAATATATCAGACTGCCTTCAACAAAAAACAGATTTATTTACTGTGAAGCAGCAAATGTGTTGAGTTATAGACTGTGTATTTCACTTGGTTGTGTTTTAATTTAAGTTATAGATTATACAGATTATATAACTGTCATATGGACATTTACAGTGTTTCCCTGTCCATTGCCCTGGGGGTTACCCTTTTCAATGGGACCCCCAAGAAACCAAAGAAAAGAAATAAAAAATGTTAAATGTATATATATATTTTTTATTCATGTTATTAACCTAATTTATGTGCGGTGGAAAGTCTCGACTACTTTTTGCTGTCATTTACAGTCACGTCTCTCTCCTCTGCTTTCTCTTTCCCTCCCCACACACGGAGCTGAGCAGAGGAGGGACAGCTTGACAACTTGTTATGTTAAGTGCGATAAAAGCTTTCCAAAAAGAGTTGGAAAAAACCAAAGATGGACAGACAACGCCCAAATGTCTGAAAGTCAGGCCAAAATATCAGCGTTTTTTTTTTTAATGCATTAAATCTGGTAACAGTGGCGAGGATGCTAGCTCTGCTGCGGATGGCAGGGAAGATTGTTCTGGTCAGAGCGCTTGCAGCTCTCCTGCTGTTACACCCCCGAGTCAGCCGAGGGGAAACACTGATTTATGTTGTTATTTAGTCATTGGAACAGTTTTACTCAAGTGAGGTGGTCAGTCAAATACATGCTGGTGTTTACTATAAATAAATTGAAGGTCAATTTTTCAGCACAGGTAATCAAGGTAAGCAAAACCTATTGATGTGCCTCTGCTTTGTCTCTCATTCCATGCCGTGCACCCATGTTGAGTCTGATAGCATGATAGAAAACGTGAAACCAATGAAAAGTCAGCTCACTTCAGCTGGGATAAGCTCCCCAGTACGGGCTGCTCTCTCAGCTTCTCCAATCAGAACCCGTAGTGCAGCATCTGCTGCCTCCTGTTTTCCCTGCTTCTTGTTGGATGCACAGACTGGAGGGAACCACCGTCCGCCCAGCTTAGCCTGGTAGGTAAATCTGACAAGGAGGGGCAAAGAGAAAGGGAATCAGAGTATGATCTGTCCAAAGGATTCCGTGGAAATCATGGTTGGGCCAAAAACACAAGTATCCATTTGAACATTTTCCTTATGAGGTCAAGTGGTGCAAGAACAACAGAGCTCCAGACGAAAAGAGGCAAAAAGGCGTTCATTAATGCTCCATGACTTTCAATTATCTTTTTTCCTTAGGTATACAAATAAGATATTTCCCAGTGCACATAATAACCCAGTCGGTAGGTGATTTCTTCTCATGTGTACATGTTTAATGTGTGTGTTTGTGCATTCATGCAGCCAACACATACTTTGGCTCATGTGGTGGCCCAGACTGGCCCACCAGGCGAATCTCAGCAGCAAAGCCCCGGGCTCTGGCGTACTCCAGAAGACCTGACACTGCATTGTTGTTCAGGTGGTTGATGAGGTCCCCAACCCCTGCCTCGTGCGCTGCTCGCAACTCATCTGCAGTAAGAGGGGGCAAAGAGGGACATGTAGTCCCAGAACCACCGCCATCACTATCGCTGGAGGAGCCGAGGGGCAACTGAGGCTGCGAAAAGAGAGGTGGCAGTGGGGGGAGGAGAAAAAGAGAGACGTGAACGGTACTGAGCAAAGGCAGCAGAACAACGTGACAGAAGTGACAAGATCAATTCTTTCTGCCTGAGTGATCTGTTGTTTCTTTTAAGTCATTCCACTCATTTTGGGGATATACAAAATTGAACAACTCCAGTTATTCTCTGCTTTTCACTCCTCACCTTGTTAAGCTGTAATCTCCCGTCAGACATTAATTCTTTGACAGCCTCCTCTGCCGCCAGCTGGCGGGCTGCCTTCTTACTTGGAGCTGAGGCTTCAGCAAACAAGCTCTCTCCGACCTTCACCCTGTACATGAACCTGAACACAGGACAGAGAAGGTGAAAAGGGCGGAAAGAGAGAAAGGGAGGGAATTATTTTGGTATGTAACTGAGATCAGAGATGATGCCACACTTTGTTAAGTTACTATTCCAGAATCATGACTTATCACATTTAGATTAATCAGCAGATGCGCCAGGGTCACAGTAACACAAGAGCCTATGGTGTACTAGTCGTAAAAACAGAAGTGTACAGCATTTACAGAAAGTTATTGGAGGAAAAGACAAAGTTTGTATTGTATCTCCCAGCCATCCAGCCACCTAAAGGGATGGATTATAAACAGACAGAGTGGTAATAGACGGCTCTCTGTCTCTTTGTCAGCTGACTACAGTACTAAGGATAGATTGGACAGAAATAGCCAATCAACTACTTCCCTGAGGAGGAAATGCATGACCACAGAGGAACTCAGTCTGAGAACATGCAGTGTGGGGGAGTGCAATATTCAAATGGACAGATTCAGAGGGACGTGCAGGAGTCAGTACCGTGGGTCATGTGGTGGGCCTGCCTGCCCAGTGATGATGAATTCAATGGGGTTCCCGCTGCGCTGGCTGTACTCCATCAGAACAGACACCGGATTCTTTCCACCAGGCAGAGAGCGTGACAGTGGCTGGCGAGGTCCCTCCACCATCCCCATCCCTTCCACGCTCCCAGACCCAAAAATTCCCCCTATGCTCTCAGCTGCCCCCTGGTAAATGGTAAAAAAGACAAAAAGTACTATTTAATAAAGTTTGTTCTTGGCTGTTTTTTAAAGCAAAATATTCTTTCACTGACTCACAGTTTTTACTAAGGCTGCACAAATAAGTTTTATAACTACAATCTTTTTGTAATTGAGTGAATCTATTGAGTATATTAGTGCTCCTTTTTTGGATGTAAAGAGTTTGACAAAACTTTTTTTCACAGCAAGGGTCAGCAGTTGGGTGCTTGGGCCAGTTTAGGTTTTTTTTTAGTTTGTTTTAAGGTTGTATTAATCAACAGATATAATTTGTCCCATCAGTAAGTTAGGTCTATCAGAATTACAGAAACTTAAGTTAACACTCTTTTGCTATATAATCAAATATATGTTTTGTGTTACACTACGAGACCAAAGATAGAATTGATTGGGTATCCACACATGGTAAAAAGTGTCTTGCCCTATGGTTAAGTTAGTATTGTTGCCCAAGAAAAATCGACATTCCTGTTCGCTTGCCACCTATAGGTGATTGTGCAACACAAATCTGCTCTGGTCAAACAGGCTGAAGCTGGGGAATGGAAACTCTTTGAATTCAGGGGGTACTTGTTTCTTTTCAATGAAGTGGGCTATATTATTTATTTGTATTATTCACCTGGTATGAAAGTTAGACTTGAAATCAGCACACTGTGCTGTACAAACAGCCTGGTGCAGAATAAAGCACAGGAGCAGTGATTTGAATGCGGGAGCAGATTTACATGTTACTCGAGTCTTGTATTTACATTGTTATCTATATCACATTAGTGATAAATCAAAGTAAAAAAAATTTAGTTAATCATTAAAGGAAACTCACACTTGTGTCTGGGAGTAGGTCCATGACTTGGTCTGTATTGGCAGTATTTTCCTCGTCCCCTGTGCTGGCCCCTCCCTGCATCTCTCCGATGAGAATGCGCAGGGCGGCCGCAGCAGCGTCCTTTTTTGCTACTTTCTTACTGGAAGCTTCAGCGACAGGAAACAGCTTCCCGTTGAGCATCACCTGCATACGGAATCTGACAGAGGGAGAGAAAATATACAGATGAGACAAATATAATTCTCTGAGACAACTGTGCTGCATAACAAGCAAAACAATTATTATTCTAAATTGGGAGCTTGTCTTCATTAAGGCAGCTGTATTTAACAAAGAATTTGAATTGATAGGTTTGTCATCAGGTTCTTTACAGAAAGTAACAAACGTGTGGAAAAACAAAAACATCTGTGTATCACATGGTGAGACAACAAACAGAACTTCAAAAGTCCAAGTTTGTGGATGTTTAATACTATCAGTTAAACAGTTAAAATATCTTGGGACATCAATGCCATTTGAGCGGGTGTTCTCCAACACGGGTCTGACAGTTATCAGACTGCTCACCAGACTAACTCCACAGCATGTTGACATGTTGCTATTTCTGAATAAAAACCAGTAGACAAGCTTCCCGCTATGCTGAGGACTGGGGAAGGCCTGGCCTGTTTATTTTATTTAGAAGTTTGATTTCAGTTCAACTCTGAGTTGTATGAGCAGTAGTCTGGCTGTTCACAGCTGAAACACATTCCTCTGCGCAGGTCATCAGGAGATTCTGCTCCTCCGCTCTTTTTAATAATCACACAGAGCTGATTTTTATAATAACATTCTGAATGTACAACATAGAGCTTTTCCTGGATAAGCAGGAGCACTTCTTCTGCAACTCTCTGTTTAGACACTCTGGATCGTTCCGGTCCACTTTAACCCCTGTGCACTGGTATTTTTTAATATGTTACAGGCACTCATCTATTCCATATATTACATTTTAATTTTATCAGTTAATGGTTAATTGCCGGTTAACGGTTAATGGTCGGTTAACGGGTGTCTCCTATCAGTCAGAAAAAAAAATTCCAAATGAAACTCCCTAATGGAAGATAGACTATGTTGGTGACAGTGTCGGGTGGTGACTTAACACATTTAACCGCTATAATTACATTGACAAAGACACTGTATATAATGTGGATCGGTCAAAACCTGACGTAAGGTAGTAAGGTCATTATTGGGTCTGGTGTATCCCTAGTTAAATTTCAACAATGCAGCATGAATATGCAGACATGATCAAAGATTAATTTACATTGCCCTTTGTATCAGTTAAAAGCTTACAATAACTGAGCAGATCATGTCACTAACCTTGGGTCGTGGGAGGGTCCCGACTGGTCAAGGAGCTGGAACTCGCAGTTCTGGCCCAGATACTGGGCATACTCCATGAGGCCGCTGACAGGGTTCTTCAGCCTCACTTCCTGCAATTTGGCCCACAGGTTCTGGGGAGGTGGGGCAGCCAGCGACACAGCAACAGTTCCCATGTTGTTGGCCTTCTCTGCTGCCAGTTTTTCAGCATCTGTCTCTCTGCGAATGGCATTGAGGAATTCTGGGATCTCGTCGTCGGCCCACTGTCCTTCGTTGGTCTCTTTGTCTTGACGTGAGGTAAAGGAGCGGGGCTGGAGGGAGGAATTGGACTGAAAGGGGGAAAGTCAAGAGGTGAAAGAGTTAATCAGATGAGACTATACTTCCAAGGATGGTAACCTGCCCATGGTACTACAGTAGTGCAACAGTTGAGAAGATGTAGTTGCAAAGGAAAAGGCTGTTTGATGGCAAAACAAAGCGGCGAAAATATTCAAAGTGAAGTGTACACTTAAATTGATATTGGGTTTTTTTTTTTTGCCTAAAACACATTTTGTCCACGGCCGTACATTGCTCAGCTTCTGTGCTGGTACTCGTGTCTACTTCTCCAAACTGGGAGTGCGCTGATCTGAAATTTACTGCAGGTAAAACATTGACTATGTATAAGTAGTACCCCACACAAACCCGTGTCAAAAAACCTGAACTATCCCCTTATTACCATTAAATACATACAAAAATACAGAGTAAAACACAGGAATTTCACCTACCGCTTCGCTGTGACTTTGCTCTGGCATCCAGCCCTCTGGAAGTGGTAGTGGCTCCAGGCCTGGTATTGGTGGTAGTGGTGGTGATGGCAGGAAGATGGACTCTCCTCCCTTCTCCTCTCTGCGGGTTTCTTCCTCCATTGGTACCCCCTCGACTGGGGTGCTCTGTGCAGCTTTGAGGCTCCTCTCCATTCTCTCTCTGCGGTGGGTGGAGAGCTCCCATGTGGGAGGGTTGACATCACCATTTTTAATGACATCACCTTGCTTCTCCAGTACATAAAGGGTGGGATTTACCTGCTTGGCACTTCTAAGTCCCAGATTTTTGGCTATGACGAGAGCAGTTGCCTTCTCTGAATCCCGGAGGTACCGCAGAACTAGCTCCTTCTGTTCTGCCATGATGGAAAGCAGAAGTTCCTGATCAGGGGCGCTGGTGGTGCCGGGATGTTGTTTCTCTTCGTGCTGACCTTGTGCTGGTGACTGGGATGCTTCAGAGTCAGATGACTCTAAAGAAGAGCTGTAAGAAGAACTGGATTCTGTGTCAGAGTCCTCTTCTTTGGCCTGTCCCCTGTTTCTTGCTGTTTCTGTTTTTAGCTCAACCTTGGCTTCAGGTTTTGGAGGGTGTCCTGAGCTGACACACAGATTGGATAGTGGACTTTGTATTTTAGAGTTTTGAGCTTCCTCGCATCTGAGAGGTTCTCTGTAAACAGTCCACTCGGGAGGGTGGAGTCCTTCCTTTGAGGCTTTCTGTGAGCGTTCCAAAGAGTAGAGGGCCTTGTTCACTATCTTTTTGGGCAGACGCAGCTTTTTCGCCAACAATTTTGCAGAGATGCTCTCACTTGGCTTCAAAGCAGCCAAAGCCTTATGTACCTGGTCCTGGATGTCAGGGGTGAGAGTGATGTTAACTTTACTAAAGCTGGAAATTGATGAGCTGCTGGATGCAGAATGTCTGTCAAACCTTTCTCCTCTGCTTGGCCTGTCTTGATGAAGAGACAATCTCTGAAAATTGTCACACGAAAAGTCTGTGTGGACGCACCATTGTCTGTTGGAGTACTGGTTGTGGTTTTTACTTTGTAACTGGTTTTGATTCAGGTGTCGAGGGCCTTGGGGGCCTCGTAGGGGTCCTACAGTCGGTGGGCACGCAAAACTCTGGTCATGGCTATACCCACCTCTACCCCTAGGGCTGGTGTTGGAGTTTGGATATCGACTGTATCCTGACTGGGGTTGATATGAGGAAATAGGTGGCCTGCCGGGTACCACTCCCCCTCCCCCTCCTCGTGGACTGGCTCTGAACTGTGGAGCCTCAGAGTTGTGTCCTCTCAGGAACTCCACCTGTTGATACTGAAATGAATTGGGAGCAGGACTGGGACTGTAATTCTGATTATGTGAATTGTTAAGGGCCACTGGTTTAGGGGCTGGTTTAATGTGGCTTGGTACTGGTGGAGCGGAGGGAATGAGAGAGGGGGCTGGGGGTTGTATGGACACTACAGGGGGGGCAGGGCTTTCGTAGTAACTTGAATATGGGGTCTGCTGTGGGCCAGCTCTGGGGTAGAATGAGGCTGGCCCAGGTCTGTTGTAATTCTCCTTGGCCTGGAGGTGGAGTGGTGAATGTTTGTGGTAGTGTTCCTTGGAAGGCCCTCCTCTACCTCTGCTCATAGCGCAGGGGGGGAGCGTGAAGGGGGCCTGCGCAGCTGGCTGTGCAGCTTCTGTACAAGTTCACGTCCTCTAGCACAGCAGACCCTGATGGAAAGTCAAGGCAGGCCAGTAGCACACTGAGAGCACCTGAAATACAAACAAAGGACAATGTTAGGAGAATATTAATAAACACAAATAAAAGACAGTAAGATAACTGAATGGTGAAAAAAAGTGGTGGAGGGTAAGAAAAACTGTCATTCCAGTCAGTAACACAAGTTCATGCCCTGTTGGCAAGCCTCCAAACCTGCTCAAGTGTGCTTGGGTAAGTCAGTGAATCTATACCTGCTCCAAGGATACAGTTTTTAATGTCACCCTCCGCCTCTTGTCTTCCTGGAGAGCAGTATACAGAAAGGAGGATAATAAATATCAGGGTATTATGGGGAAAAAATGAAGATTATGTGCAGAAGATAAACTCTGACATACAGCAACACTGTCAAAGTTTCTGTCTATCTTCAGATTGTACCCCAGCCAGTCTACAAGGATACTGCAGGGTGACATACTGCCTCTCCCAATCACACTGAAACTTAATCCCAGGGTAAAAGGATAGTGATTAATAATTCAGACCTCCTTGTGACTATTCTGTTTTATTTCTGGCCTTACAAATTATTGCTAGATCTGGATCCATAGCAGGGGTGGGGGGGGTGAGACACTGATGCAGACAAAAAGGACAGTTTCAAGGACACAAGAACATAAAGGGCTACCTCTTAGGGATGCGCTGTGGACAGAAAACCATGTAGTTGCTAGCCAACAGCCCTGACTACAATGATAAGTCTTTGCAGAGCTAGGTTAATGCCTTCCTTTCAAAAACACACCATGAACAAAAATATTCACCAAGTAGAAACGTAGATCCTGCGAAACAGCATAGTTCAAAATTGCAATATCCTTCTATGGTACAACAAACATTGATTCAGCCTCAAGTATCATATCTGACAACACTCAATAATGTCTATATCAGTGAGACTGACAACACCTAATACTGAGTCGGGTTTCATCCCCTCTGGCCCAGTCAGCAGCGCTGGTCTGTCACATAGAGCTCAACAGTCCCAACGCCGCCACATTAATAGAGAACACCATAGTGTTGGTTCATCACAGTAATAGGGGCCGACAGGGCCGGCAGCCCAAGGGCCAAACGGGGCTGGAGCTGACTCATCTTGACCATGATGCAAGGCAACAGTTGACAGCCAAAATAACAACTCGGTGTTTTTCAGTATCCACTGTCATTATGCTTCACTCAGTTTCGAGCCTGGGCAGAGGAATGGGCAAGACAAACCGTCTGACAACTGATGAATCAACTCTTTTACATGTTTTTTGCAGTCATGTCAAGAAACAGCTAAATACCACCAACACAAGGTTTGATGTTCAAAGACCCCTTCCTCACTGAGACCTTTGTGTCTTTTGCTCCAGATCCGGTGCACATATTCACACCTGAATGCAACACACCATATACAATGGTAGCACAAGGCCCAGTGGGCTCACAGGGAACTGTGGATCTCACCTACAGTAGTTGCAGCAGTCAAAAAAAGTGGGAAGTGGTAACGTCGCTGCTCCTGCAGGTTCTGCAGCTTCTTAGTTATCAGATGACTTAAAGCGAAACTCACGAAAAATAATAACAATGTTAACACACAAAACACGAGTAATTGAGTAAACGCGTAAAGTAATCGCGGCACCAGTGGTAGATTAGAAATCGCTTAAAGTTTAATCTGTGAAACGGCAAGTGTTTTCCAACGCGCAGCGTCTTCCGTTTAGGATGAGCGAGGTCCTGTCCGCAGCTTATACAATGCAAACACTAGGGATGTCGCTCGCTTATAAATGCTCTATACCGTGCTATAAAAATGCGTTGCTATACTAATACACCACGAAAGTTCAAGGGAAATCCACAGCCTAACTCGTTTAAGGAAAGGGAAACTGGCCTACAGAAGCGAAGTAAGTTTCGCTTTCATTTCTGAAGAAAAAGTAGGTTTCTATTGTGAGCCACGTGACCGTCAGAGATACTACAAGAGCAGACCGACTGATACACTGCTGATAAAGAGATGGGCAGGTGTGTTTGTAAAGCATTAAAACAGTATAGCTCCCCTAAGGCTGTCGATTCATTTCCATGTTTAAAGAGGCTGCTCTGGGGTCCGACTCAAACAACCAATGCGCCTGTGTTACTGTGGAGCTACAAGGGCATCCTCTCCTGAATGCCTGCTGTACACAGCACACTGTGACAGAGGAGACATCACGTGCTTAGATCAGGTTCTCACATTAAAAATAAAACGGAGGAGGGAAAATGATGGAGACCGATAGTAATGTAATACATTGCGAGGGATACAAATATCACAGCAAAAAGTCGAGATCTGGTAACGGGATTGTGGTACGATGGGAAAAAAAGAGTACTATCAGGTGAGGGACAATATCAAACACAAGAGCAGCATGGACATGTGTGCCTACAAGAATAACATTAACCCGTTTCCGATATTGAAGCATTGCTATATATTTCGCATTAAATTATACACAGATCAATTTACAGTGTACAGCAGGGAATCTTGCACTCATACAAAGATAGGGCCACATCAAAAAGTAGTGATTTCAGTAAGTTTCACTAATTGCGAAAAATTTCCGTAAAATTATTAACATAGTTAATTATGAATGAGTTAATTTAAGTCAATCCTATCCGTGTTCCATTCAGCTTAAAATGAGCTGAGATATGTCTACATTCAAGTGAAAATGAACCAAGCAGCGTTACAAAATGCTGGATACACACAGCTAATGTTCACCCATGTCCGAAAACAGTCTGTGTTGTCCAGACGATACATAAATGGAAAACAGTCTGTTTTACATTAATGTATCATCAAGTTGGAAGGGATTACTAAGTCCTTATATCATACACAAGACACCAACACAACACAAGATAACACGTTAACGTTACATCTAGCTATTTGTGCCTTTGAACTTGTCAGTGGGGTTTCTGCGAGTCAGAAGAGATTGGTGCACACTATTACTCATTTCAATGATGGTAAGATTATTTTAGGAGGGTTTAGTCACCAGCAGGGCTGAGGATGAAACTCTGAAGTCCTCGTCGTTAACAAGCCGTTGGTTGTTCTTTGAAGAAACATAAAGCTCTAACTTTAAAAGCTCAAAGGTTAGACGAACTTGAAAAGTTTAAAAACAACAGATACACATGTGGCCGGAGTTTGTCTTAGGGTAAAGGATGAAATGTGCCGCTGAACATCGTCCCTCCTCCAGCTAACGTTAGCCAGTCTGCTAGCTCCGCACTGGCACTGCACCATTTCTAACTACCGCCTGCAGCACAGTCAGTTCACCGTCTGCCAACGCAAAACACACCATGCTCTTCACCCAAACCATAACAGACGGTTTAGAGAGCCGCCACAGCTTTACTTGATTACCTTGACTCGCAGTGTTTCGGCTTCAAGGGCTCTCGCTGGTGTGAAATGTTTTTAATGCGGTGATAGGAAAACAATCAAAGAATCGCTGCCAACAGAAGTGACGCGCAACTCTGGCGACTGACACAAACAGCTACACGTCGCATGTGAGTGACGCACCGCATCATCATCATCATCATCATCATCATCATCATCTTCTTCTTCTTCTTCTTCTTCCTCTGCTTCTTCTTCTTCTTGTTTTCCTACAGACTGGGTGCTTTTTGGCCACATTGCCTCCTCTTACAGGTTGGGATTAGATTGCACCTCGGATTGATTCTATTTCCATAGGTGTAATCCTGTCGCAGTGATCAATTCAATGACTGCTTTCACACCCTTGACTGATTCTTAGCAGGCTCCTCATGTAATAGTCTTTGGGCCCAGGCGTGATACTGAAGCATATCACCTTTCTGGCGATAAAAGGAAAATTCTGATTTTCTGCTTTTAGGGTCTTGGGCTCCATCTGTATAAATTTGGAGATAATGTTCCCAGTTGTTTTTCAGTCTTTCCTTTACTATGTGACCGTAAACAACACTACCATATGTTCTTATTGTTTCTGAGAGAGTGAAGTCACACAGAGTGGGGAGAAGCTGTTTAACTGCTCTCAAAGATTTCTGTTGAACCCGTCCTCACAGCCACAAGTAAGAAGCCATAAGAAAGTACAGCTCCATTGATTTGCCGGTCCAGTCAGAGAGACTGAGAGGAAATGACACCAAGTTGAAGTTATATTATAAACCTAATATAAGATTCAGGGCTTTTGGGGAAATATCCAGAGCTGGAGTCCCATAAGCCGCCCCTGCTAAGTTTACTACTGCATTGCCAGGTTTGTTTGCCCAATTCCCAGTGGAGTTTCTCTCATTTTCACAAGTAGCCTAAAGCTGGAATAGGGGTGGTATGGAAGGCCCCACAGCATGTTATCAGTGGCTTTGCTTGCACTGTCTCTTGAGAGCTGATTTAACATAAACACCCATAGTGTAATCTTTATCTTATCATTGCTCTGTGAATCATTAACTGTGTATGCTGGCCAGTACCCTATGTGCTTCCTTATAGAGAGAGGACAACATTACATTTATTACCTTTCATAAAAGTGCGTTCCCAAGAATTTGACTTCTTTTACCCATGTTCAGACACAAGTAAATCCTGACATTCAGTTCTCTTATTACCAAATACAACATAATTTTTCTCTTGACATCTTTAATCCCCTCTTGCCTCCCCAATCAGCTATTTTATTTAGGGCTTCCTGCATTCTCTCAGATATATGTTTCATGTTTCTGCTGCTTTTCGGGATGCCTCCAACATCTGCAAACAAGTCAAGACCAAAACCTGCCCAAATATCTTGAGAGAGATCATTTTGATCATCTTGATGTGAAATAGCATCAGGCTAATTACACTTCCAGATGGTGTGCCATTGTCAATACCTGTGCCATTAGAGAAAACTGCATTACCCTGTCCTTCAAAAAGTCATGAATACGTTAATTAAGTAAGTGCCCTTGTATTCCTGCTTCATATAGCTTTATAATGGGCGTGTCCTTCCATAACATGTCGTATGCCTTCTCAGTGTAAAGAAACACTGCCACTACTCCCTCTTTATTTATCACATTTTTATCTCAGAGTCAAGGAAGAGCACATGGTGTTCCTCCCTCTACAACAGTGCTGTCAGTGCAATAGATCTGCAGTATATGACCCTGCATGCGTGGCATCTTTCCCTGGTTTTAAAATTGTATGCTTGTTTCCAGGATGTGGGAAGAGTTGTTTCTCTCCATATATTATTTATCAGAGTATGTAACATTTCATGTAACATTGCATCATCTAATCTCTTAAAACAACTCACAGCTTATGTCATCCTTTCCAGGAGCTGTTCTTCCCTTTCTTTATAGCTCTGCATAGTTCTTCCAATGTAAAACATAGATTAACAGCATCAGCATTAGCTTCATTTACCTCAAGATTGGATATGTGTTGCCTCAATTTCTTATTCCCTTTCCATATACCTTCCTTGCCAATGTTTGTTCCACTGAGAAAAGCCTTAAATTTATTCTCACACAGTTTTCTTTCTCTGTATCACTTGCAGCGCCCACTCCCTCCTCCTCTAATGCTGGCTTTCTCTTTTTCTTTAAAACTCATGACATTTGGTGAACTGCTGCCCATGTTTCTCCAACAGATGTCTCCTCACCTAGACCTCCACAGTATCTTCTCCAACACTCTTCTTTTACAGACTTAATCACTTTCCTAGCCTTAGCTCTCAACCTTTTACATTCTATTGCTTTGCTCTCAGTACTTTCTCAATGCTCTGTTGGCATGGTTCCCACCTCTGACTACTGTATCACATGCTTTTATCACCCATGCGACACTTATTTTCTTTTTAGGGATGCATTCATATGCATTATGCAATATCATTGCACACACGGTGTTATTCCATTCATCTATTGCTCCCTCCCCATTTACACTCTCAAGAGTGTCATCACATTTTTCATCTGATAATTGGGAAGAACTGCTCCCAGTCTGACTCACTGTGATCAAAGTCTTGGTTTTTATTCTCTCGCTTGAAAGCTCATGTTACCCAGATTTACTACGCAGCCGCATCGGCAAGGCTCAGATAGTTTTTATTTGCAGCTGTGTCCTTAAGTACACGTTTGAGGTACTAGTATTTCCTTTGCATGCCACGTTTGACTTCCCTACAGTCCAGAGGGACAGATTGTAACTTTGACTCTATACTACATTTATTTGACAGTTGTTACAAATGAGGATTTTTACATATTCACAGCATATGAAGATCTGAAAAAATATGATTCTTATTACAGATTAAACTACCAAACAAGATACAAGTAGAGCTGAAATGATTATGTGATTAAGAGAAAATAAATTGGAAACTAAAATGCCAAACATTTCATGTTTTCAGCTTCTCAAATGGTAGGGTTTGGTGGTTTTCCTGTCAATAATTTTGAGATTTAAACTACTGGTTGCACAAAACAAGCAGTGTGGAAGTGTCTGTTTGGGCTCTGAGTAATTGTGAAGGGCATTTCTCACTGTTTTCTGAATGTTTACTGACCAAACAACCAGTTATTTGAGAGAATAATCAGGGCAATAAAGAATAACGAAAATAATCATAAGTTGCAGCCTCATATAAAATAGGTATGAATGAACTCCGTCTCAACCAGCTACAACAGTAAAATGCTGCTTACACATTAATGTGTGAGTAATCAAAATATAATATGTAATAGTCTAACAGTCACAGAGGCCATTTTTCTGCATGAAGTACTTTTACGTATGATACTTGTGAATACATTTTCTGCATTATACTTGCAATAAGATTTCAAATTTCGACGTGTTACTGGAGTGTGATACAACCAAAATGACACATGTACAGTATGTCGCTGAAGCAGGGTTTTCCCCTCTGTATACTTAAATTCAAATGTATAGAATAAATGGAATACAATGATAGGTATTACCATCTGAACTCTGAGCTCTCTTGCCCAAGCTTATTATGTCATGTGGCGTTTAGAGGACTAAAGAACTGGTCCGCAGTGCATATGAGCTTTTACCCCCAGATTGTCTGGCAAGTGATGTTTTGCACTTTACCAAGCTATCCTGTGGGTGTCAGCATTACTCTGTGAATGTGCTGATGTCAGATTCAAGTATTTAAGAAGCAGCTTTCAAACAGAGTTGGATGGTGAAAAGGGACAGACATGTTTCAACTGGTTTAGAAATCTTTCCTTCCAGGTCACTAGTGTGTTTACAAGGAAAATGTTTATTTTCCTCCGTCTATCTCCTTTTCAAACATTGAGTTAAAGACACCTGGACGACTGCTACTGTATAATACCATTACTTGGATGGCTGACCATATTCATGAGTCCCTCAAAAAAACAAAGCCACTCTTGAGATACATAAAACCATAAAAAAAAAGCACATAGGTCCATGGTGAAATGATAGATGATGACTGACATGTGATGTCAGATAAGTGCATATCAGAAAAGCAGTGATGAGCAGAGAAGCATGAAGGGTGAGTATGAGCTGTGGCCCGGGGTACACCTGGCTCTCAGAAGCTGATTGACTCCAACACACAGCATCTTCCTCTTCAGACGAGTATTCCTTTCACTGCGCTTCTCACCCACTCCGTCTCTGCTGCTCCTTCTTCGTCTCCCTTTCTCCTCCCTTTCCTGCTCTGCCACTGCTGGTATCACACTCTCTCCACTTATTCTCCACAACCCCTCTTCTCTTCTCTGGATCTCTCTCTCTCTCTCTCTCTCTCATCCTCCTTCATCTGCTCTGTCTCTCTCTCTCTATTTCTCCCTCTTCCACTCTTTCTCTGTTCAATTCAGATGAACGCAGTATGTGGCAGGCTGTGGCTCTTTGGCTGTTGATACTCGCGACTCTGCTCCGAGGTGAGTGACTTTCGTTGGCGCTTTAAGTGAAACTGTGCTCGAACAAGTGTGTGTTTTTCTTTGCGTGCTGTATACTACATTTGGTCTTCAGTGTCTGTGCCACTGAGCGGTTTGTGCTCCACAACTGTGCACAGCAGCTCACGCAGAGACTGTCTGTTGTTGTGCAGCCAGACACACACACACACACACACACACACACACACACACACACACACACACACACACACACACACACACAAAAGATTTATTTTTATGATGAGTAAGCAACAGTATAAAATGTAATCATCTTTACTGCAGACAAGAGAGCTGAGCTGTGCATTTTTATGTAGATAGACAGACATAGATAGATAGATAGATAGATAGATAGATAGATAGATAGATAGATAGATAGATAGATAGATAGATAGATAGATAGATAGATAGACTGAAAGAAAGAGAAGGGTGATTATGAGGCTGCCAGAGGTTAATTTACTACGCCTGGACATTATGGGCACCAGGGACTATTCATGTAAATTATAGGCGTACCATCTGTGGAGCCATATTGATATTAATTATGGTCCAGTAAGTGACTATAGATTTGACACCACACAGTGAGTGCATAAATCTCAGACCATTCACTGTAGCACTCTCACTTCACTGTATGTGGTTTGAAAAGTTGCAGGTACTGTTTGGCTGCAGAACAGGGATTGTGGAGCTATTTTAAGTACCTAGTAGCTTTTGAACAATTCCAGTGTTACAGTTACAATCCGCCAACGATATAGCTGCCCCCTCCACATCGTGGTGATCACATTGTGGAGAATGAATCAAGAGTGAATCGAAGCCTTTGGTGGAGTTATAGGGCGAAGAGAGAGAGAGAGAGCTCCTTGCTTTCATCGTCGTGAGTGCTGTGTCTGTCTGTCTGGGGTGTTTCAGTGTTTAATGGCCTCACTATTTCCTGCATAGAATGAAAGTGACATTTTTACAGCGGTGGAAAGAGTCTGACTGTCTGCTGGTGATCAATCAGAGACGTAACTGATTAGGAGGAAGGGATTTTTTTTCTCTCTTTGCTCCTCTCTCTTTTTTCTTCCTGCCTTTTCTCCTCTCTTTCTCTCACAAATACTCATTCTCTTTCATCAATTCCAATAAATATATTTGTGCTCTTTCAAGAGCAACAATGCCTTTGAAACATTACCTCCAATTATACCTCCAAAAACCCACCCTTTGATTTACCTCCACTGCAGCATGTCCACTTAGTGTGTTTGTTCTTCTCTTTCATTCACCTGGCCTACAAATTATACACCACTATTTTTCCCAAACTGTCATTGTAATCACACCGTTTCTCCGCTGCAGCCCTCCCTTCAGTGCTTTCTCGTGATCTTTCCTGACTTTAACTGTCACTTTTTCTCTTGTTCTTCTTTTGTTATTCTCCCATTTTTCCACCCTCTCTCTTCCCCTCCATCAACCCGTTCAGTATCAGTGCAGGGTCCTCACCAGCGCTTTCTGCTCAGGGAGCTGCTGAGGGACTACAACCCCATGGAGAGACCGGTGGCCAACGACTCCCAGACTCTCACTGTTCAGTTCTCCTTTACTCTAATGCAGGTCATGGATGTGGTACGGATGTAGCGTAATTGCAGTCTTGCATGCAGTCACACAGTGCATACAAACACAATTTTTTTCAAGGCTATCTTAAAACAATACTCACATGCCCACATGTACATTTAAAGAGTTATTAGTTGCTGCAATTACTGGCTATGAAAAGAACCCCCTTCTAATGCAGCCCCAATGTAAAAACGCATTCAAGAGTTCAGCTGGAGTTAACATGAGTCCTCATCCGTGTGAATTAGTCAAATCACACCTTATGCTTATATTATCTTAAGCTGAATTTAGGAACGTATTTCAAGACAGAATAGGACTGTGGATTTTGTCCTCTTCACTTACACTGGAGTCATATTAGACAGGGATCTCTTAGGGATTTCCAGAATGGATGGAAGCAACAACTGCAGTGACTAAAAACACCTTAAATGGTGCCTGAGTATATTGTCTTAACACGGGTTTAAAACGTGTGAGCTTATCCTTAAATAACTGAATCACATATTCTCTCTTCCCTTTGCTTTGTATCGTGCAAGGATGAAAAGAATCAGATCCTCACCACAAATGCCTGGCTGCAGATGGTGAGTGCAATGAAAAACATTAATAACGTGATATTGATCTGTGTACTGAAAATTCTGCAAGCTGTGTGGACAGAATAAACCGAAGTAACAATAATATGGAAAACCACAGTGACAGCGTGTGTCTTATGTGTGCCTGTGTGTATGTATCTGAGCGCTTTTTGTTCATTATGTATGTTGTGCTTGTGTCTCTCAGCAGTGGTACGACCACTACCTCCAGTGGAACCAATCAGAGTATCCTGGAGTGAAGAACCTCCGTTTCACCCCCGACCAAGTCTGGACACCTGATATATTGCTTTACAACAGGTACGTGGACATATAATCGCACACAAAACACAGTGGCCTCCGCTGAGCTCTAACCTGCCTCATCACTGCGTTGTTATCCTTCAGCGCTCATGATAAGTTCGATGCCACCTTTAAGACCAATGTGCTGGTGAACTCCAGCGGCTTCTGTGAGTATCTGCCTCCAGGTGAGTTTTTATTAAGCAGCACTTGTCCTCAAAACCAAACTACTGTCTTCAGTCATTCCGTAATACACGCAAGCATTAGTCATGCTGCAGCAAATTCATCCCAAGAATGTTTACTGCAATCAAATATTTTCTTCTTCGCTTACTTCCAGCTCGCTGCACCAAACAACATTTTTAATCAACTTTTTCTCCCCTATTACATCTTGGGATGATTTTACTTTAATTAACTATTACTTTCCTTTCACTGTGAACTATTTTCTCCGATTTTTTTTGTTTTTTCCTGCTTGTCAAGGAATATTCGTCAGCACATGTAACGTGGATGTGAGATGGTTTCCATTTGACATCCAGCGCTGTGAGCTGAAGTTTGGCTCCTGGTCATTTGACGGCTGGCTGCTGGACATCCAGATGAAGGAGGCGGACGTATCAGGATACATGCGCAACGGAGAGTGGGACCTACTGGGTAAAACGCATTGTCGGGCCCCTGCATGACAAACTGTGTTGCTTAGTAACTGTGCTTACATTACTGTCATACACTAATGTACCTGTAAAGACATAAGGATTAATTAGATTTATATTTAGATGTGTAGTTAGATTTTAGCAGGAGAAGTTGGACTGTGCCTTATGAACACTTCATTGAATGAAAACCTGATGACAATACACTTTTAGATTTTATGTTTTTATGCGCGTTCAGGCACTTTAAGTATGCTAACATAATTCCTGCAGAAACAGTCCATAATTTTAATAAGTCAGATTTCTACACTCTTGTCTCACAGCTCTTTAAATTCCCATTTCCTTTTTACTCAGTGAAAAATATTCAGCAGTTCCAACAAAACACACTTCATTAGTTATACTGAGTTTCTGAGATGTGTCATTTTCTCAGCTGTCTTGTTTTCCGAATTATAATGCCTCCTTCGCTGCGTCTGTCCCTCTCCTCTCAGAGGTCCCTGGAGGTCGTCATGAGGTTTTCTATGACTGCTGTGCAGAGCCCTACCCTGACGTTACCTTTGTGGTGACATTGCGGAGGAGGACCTTGTTTTACGCTCTCAACCTCCTCGTCCCGTGTGTGCTCCTCTCCTCCATGACCCTGCTGGTCTTCCTGCTCCCTGCCAACTCCGGGGAGAAGATCAGCCTCGGTGAGGAATAATAAAAGGAGTAAGGAGAAGAACATGGACATGAAAATAAGAAAATGGGGAAACTCGAGATGCATCTGTTATGAGATAAAAAAATATATATATTTCAAGCTGAAAATTCTTTACAATTTCCTTGTGAAATCACAGACTTATTTCACTTCACTTTCACTATTTCACTTTTCACTCACAGCTTTCAATCAGGTATACAGAACATTTGTGTGGTGTCAGGAGGGCTGAGATGGAGGGAAGCAGAGACAGAGGAAAGACAAAGATAGAAAAGGCGAGAGGGAAGATGAGAGAGAAAAATCAAATGAGTTTTCCAAGGTGTGTCAGGAAGACAGATGAGTGTGGTGAGAAGTCAAGTGCAGCATACAAAATATACTGTTCCACTAAGTGTACGCATGTACTTTGTCTCTTAAGAATTCTCTCTTCTCTTTTCTTTGTAACCCACGGCTCCCTGGTGTCTTGGTCTGCCTCCAGGCATCACGGTTCTGCTCTCTCTCACAGTCTTCATGCTGATGGTTGCAGAGATTATGCCCGCCACTTCAGATTCTGTGCCACTGATAGGTCAGTTTTGGTTTGTTTTTTTTTTCTCTCAGGGCACATGTGTGTATCTGTGGGTTTTAGTGGGTTTTGGGCACGCTGACACTGTTCATAGCATACAGATTACCTGCACCCTTATGAGCGAAATGTCTTCTGTCACAGGTCAGTACTTTGCCAGCACCATGGTGATTGTTGGGATGTCAGTAGTAGCCACAGTCATCGTTCTCCAGTTCCATCACCACAACCCCGACAGTGGGCACATGCCGCGTTGGGTGAGCTACAATGATGATAAAATATAAATGTTATTCATGGAGCAATTTTCTGAACAGCACTGAAAACAAAGTTCAAACAAATATCATGAGAAATCAGAGTAGAACAATACAAGCTTAAAGTGGCTAAAAACAATGGAATGAAATAGAAAAAATAACATAAAATATCCTAATCAGCTAAAATCAGGTCAAATTACATGATAAAGGTGTGATTTTGGAAGTGATTTAAAAGAGGACCCAGACTCAGCGAAGCAGATCTTCTTAGGCAGATGATTCCAGCTTTTCAAAGCTCGACAACCCCTGGTCTTGAGTTCTGGATCTCAGATCACATAAAGGTTTGTAAGGAATTCTTAGTATTATAGCTAAAAGTTAAATATTACATTTTAAAATCAAATATAAAGTTAAAAGACAGCCACTGCAGTATGAGTGTTTTAGTGGTTTAGAAAACCAAGCATTGGTCAAATCTTTGCAATGCTCTTAAGCTGATAAAAAAAAACAAGTTTAATAACATGGTGATTAAATGGGATGCAGATGATTTTAAGCTTAAATGTGCATCTGTGCTCTTTAAGTCTTTCATCAGTATATGTCTCCCTGTCTGTCAGGTGCACTTGGTTCTGCTGCAGTGGGTTCCTTGGTTCCTGCGGATGAAGCGTCCAGGCGAGGGAGCGGAACCAACTCTTTCCAACAGCCAGGCAGACTCTCAGAGCAAGACCCTGTCCTCTCCTACCACCACCACTACCACCACCACCATCCCCACCCCAGTGCCCTCCATCCTCCCACAGAGCCTCAACTCCCTGCAGGCCAGCCTCGCCCAGCTCAACTACCCTCTCCCACACCCACTGCCTCACAGGCCCAACTCCCAGGCTGTTATCCCCCCTAATCCCAGCCACAGCCACAGAGATCCCAGCCCCAATCCACACTCCCAGCCTAATGGTCATCTGCCTTACATGGGCTTCCAGACCTTCCAGACTACCGCGGAACTGGAGCCAGTTCAGAGGAGCAGAACCACCAGTCATGGGAGGTTTAACAGTGGACCTGGCGGAGGAGAGGGAGAGGGTGCAGCAGCAGCAGGAGGCGGACCGGCTGGAGATACACCAATCCACCACCACCTCCCATCTTCCAAGTTCGGGAACCCTCCGCTGGAACCTCCAGTGTCCCCTGACCCTGACCCATCAACCGCATCCTCTGGACCCTGTGCTTTAGAGGCTGGATCAGGAGCAGGGAGATCAGCTGTCATGCACACCCACAGCAGCGTGATGCGGTCTGTGGCTGTGGACAACCAGCTGCAGGCTCTTCTGGTGGAGGTGCAGTTCTTAGTTGAGCGTGTTCGTGAGCAGGACCGGCAGCTGAGTTTGGCGGAGCAGTGGCAGTTTGCTGCAGCTGTCATCGACCGCCTGTGCCTGGTGGGATTCAGTGTTTTCAACATCATCTGTACCATCGCTATCCTGATGGCTGCACCCAACTTTGGAGAAGCACTGTCAAAAGACTTCCTCTGAGAGGCCACAAACAGACATTTGAGAGTGAAGGGGATGTTAAAGTATAACACAGATAAGGATTTGTTGGAAGCACAACTGCTGTTGACACTGAGACAACAGCAAATATTTCCTGCTACAGTCCAAGTAACATGTGGAGTGGACTATGATTTAGAAACATTACAGTTTCATTTCATGTGTTTTAATATATACCGGATCGTGCTCACATTTACTCACATTCTTGCTCACATTCTTTTTGCTGTGGTTTCTAAGGATATTTTATTGATCTTCGGGTGGGTGGTTTGTGGACTGACAAAATCATCAGCTAAATCCTTGACAAATAACAAAAAAGAGTTTTGTAAAGTCAATTCATCCCAGAATTGACGCGAAAACTGGACATCATGACTTTACTTGATTTGTAAAGTATTTGTACTGCTGAGAGAGAGAGAGAGAGAGAGATGGAGAGAGAGAGAGATGCGACATAAAGTTGCTCAGTAGAAACACTTTACGCTGATGTGCTGCATGTCCAATGGTAGAGCTTTTACACTCAAGCAGGATTCCTTTAACAGCTAAGACTTTCACAGTTTCATTAAAACTGACTAGGTTTCCTGTTCACTGAGCTTGCATCAACTGTCAATGGAGACGCTAAGGGGGCTTTCTGATGACAGCACAGAACAATTTCTCTGCGCAGTCTTGTGTTGCACATTTTCTCAAATGTAAATGATACTGCGGTACACATATTTTGCAACCACTGCGATGCATTTTTAATTTAATTTGTTTTCTCAAGATTTTTTAAGTTAATAGGATGTTCAGAATCGTTGCGATCAGTATTTTTACACATGAATGCCCAGTTCCAGAAATTAAAAACAGAAAAATAATCATTCTTGTGATGGGATGATTATTTTAGAGATTAATCTCTGCATCACCTTCAACAACAGTGTTAGCTTCACATTATACTGTATACCGTGGCCATTTCAGTGTTATGGAAGACACTAGTGATTATCCAAACAAAGCAAAATGCAGCTAAAAGAAATATTTCAAAGCTCCAATTTTTATTTATGTGAAACAGTATTGTCTTCCTGTGCAGGTATTGATGAGGTTCAGACTCATAGATCATGTCAGCTTTTCTAGGAATCATTTTTCACAAGGCTTTTTATCTTAACACACACCTCCACTCTTCCATCCATCCACACACACACACACACACACACACACACACACACACACACACACACACACACACACTCACACTCAGGTTTATGCAGAAAAATATCATCCGTATGACCCCAATTTTGAATGTGAATCATGACATACATTTTGCAGAAGTGTTGGACACTTGAATGCCAATAAGTTGTGACGGAGTGAGCTGTAAACATTGTGAAATAAATTGTCTCGTCTTTTCTACTCTCTGGACATGCATCAAATTTTCTATTCTCTGCCTCGGCTCGCCTCCCCCGCGATCGAAGTTTCTAAAAGGACACAGGAACAGAGGGCAGGAGGAGGGAAGGAGAGGAGAACGAGCCAGAGAGAGGAAAGGGAAGATGGAGGTAATGAAGCACAGCAATAAAGAGGAGAAAAAAAAAGAAGAAAGAGAGATGGAAGGGGGGTCTTTGCAGAGGCGCAGAGCTGGAGAGGATGCAGAGCGAAAGCGAGTACAGGCAGAACAAGGTGCATGGTTAGTAGAAACAGAGGAGGGAGGAAAATGTGCTGAGAAAGCCAATAGGGACCAATAAAGTTTTTAACTGATTGCTCATTAATGAGAGAGGGAGAGGAGGAAGGGGAGGGGGAAGATGAAGAGGAATGAATCTCCGCCCCCTTCTCTTCTGGGATGCTGCTGCTTTTAAACTGTACTTAGAGCAGCATTTAGGGGTGACTGGGCATATATTCTGAATTGGCAGGGGGTGTCTTTATCAAATTTATGTTATGGATCTTGGCAAACATTCCCATGTAACATGATTGACTATCAAATAATGCAAACACTTTATGATGATTGAATTTGGTTAATTGGTGTATTGGCACAGCAGTACTCTAAACCTTCAGCCCTGAGGCTATCAATTTGGCTTTAAACAGTTTCATCATAACTAGAGTATGTGCCAGAATGGTAGCTCACTATTGGAGCAATTCACTGTGCATTTCAATGTCGTACTGAGCTCCTTTTGTGCGTATTCCTGGTGGGGCTGCTGAGAGATGCAATACAGCCCAGGTAATAAATCTGAGATACTCTCCTCCTCCAGAAACTCAGTCGTCCACCTGCTCTGAGTCGACAGCTCACGCAGAGCTGTTTGTTCAGAGGAGCAAAGCAAACCGACACAAACCAAGCAGGAGAGTGGCATGCACAAAACGTGTCTTTGGTATCAAGGGGCCACCGCCATGTGTGGTTGCAGTTTTCGCACACACACACACACACACACACACACACAGAGCAGCATGAACACGAAACCCACTCACACATCAAGTGGTGAAGTACGGACCCTGCTGCAGACCTAATGCAGTGACCACACATACTCCTGAAGCTCTCCAGCTCTCACACACACATTCCACTGTTCACTGACACTGCTGCTGCTTGTGCAGTGCTGCCAGTTCTGTATTGTGTTTGCTCATGCGGAAAAAAAACAAGAGAGGGCGAGAATATAGAAGAGGGGGGTGATAATACCTGAGCTAAAATGGTGTTGTATTTTAATAGAGTTTCATTTAAAAAATGTCAAAGAACTACTGAAATGAAAAAAAGGCTATGACTACGTAATAATGCAACAATTATGTGCTTTACACACTAATTTCTGGTGTGTCAACTTTTCACACTTTAATAGTGAGAAGGAACAAGGAGATCCCACAGGTTGCCAGCCCATCTCAGGTTTTCCACAGACTACTACAGTCCTTCTGACTGCATGTTTTTGCAACTGTAGAAAATCCACCAGTACAGGGAGAATATCCTGCAGGGTGAACAAACTGAGCCAATGCAACCCACCTATCTTAATATTTCACAACATTTCATATTTTCTCAATTCCTATAATTTTATTTTTTTTCTTTTGTTTTGGGGATTTTACTTTTCCTTAAATGAAGCTTCTAGCTACGCATCAGCTTCTTCCCTTCATGTATTGAAGGTTTGGTAAGAAACTGAAACTGAACACTGAAGTCTGATCATTTACAAAATGTCTCTCAGGAGAGGTCTTGGCTTTTCAAAATTCAGATGTTCAGACATTATATCCCACACCGCTAACAGTCAATACCTATTAATTACTGGGTGCAGACACTCGATGCAGGTCGATATAAAACTGCCGTTTCACTGCCTGTTGGGTAATTGTCTCCCAGATCTCATTAAGAGACATTGGAGTTGGGGAAAGAAGAGGAAGGTAATGAGGAGAGGAAGAAGACGGACACAAAGGGAGAGCAGGAGTACGAGTGTGAAATCATCTTTTACAGGATAAATATCACCCTGCTCACTGGGGGTGGGGTGGGGGGGCTTGTGTAATGTAATGTCATGATTTTAGCAGTCAGCTCTCACATACTAGCACTGTCTCAGGTTTCAACACACAATGTTAACACTGAAACCAAAAGCACCAAAAACTTTGCATCAATAAATCAGTTTATTTAAAAGAATATGTTACAATTTATTACAGTAAGCGACGTAACCAAACACTTTGTCTTAAATTTTACATTTCAACATGTCAAAAGAACCTGCAGGGTTTTCAATCCCTCCTCTCCTCTCAGCGTGTCTCTTTGAAAGCCAAACCATATCAGGTGAAAAACTCAACAACAGAATTAAAGATTGTATCTTACTGATATAAATAATGCAAGTGACTCTTGACTTTAATTGGAATGAGCGAGAGAATGAGAGAGAAGTGAGCCAAAGAGAGCGCACACCTGAAGGTGGGCAGATCAGACGATGTCAGACAATGGACTGCTTCAGACGTGCTTCACTAAACAGACAAGAGTCCTGGAAAATGCGTTCGGCCTTTATGACCGCGCATTCAGTCGCTCGATTCAAACCTAAACGCATTCAATTAAACCTCTTTTACACATCCACCAAGGTCTGTTGAAGCTCATTAATCACCCAACATGGCTTTTTAGAACAGCACCACACCATCACCATCACCATCACCATCATCATCACCATCATCATCATCATCATCATCACAAGCACTCTTAGTGAGAGCCACTGAATCTATAACTCCTTGCTTGCCGGTGACAAAAATACTGTTAATATTCTCATTAAGAGACGAATAGGAGTTAGGGCAATTGAATATAATCATTTGTTGACATTCATTGGCTTCATATGATGATCACATGCCCTTATCATGTTATTATTTTACACATCTCTCTTTCCCAACTTAATGACTCGGAGCAAGTTTTTTGTTTTGCACATTTGAAGTTGGGTCTCAGGTCTCGGATAGGCCTGACGTGCAACAGTGGAATGAATGTCTTTGCTTTGACCATTAATTTGATGATTTTGCATAAATCAAGCACATCATGATATAGTTTACAGATTTTTGGAAATATCCTTATTAATAACATGATAATGATTTAAACAGGAGGGCTCATCTCGTAAAAGCTTGTAGCAAGTGAACATGTCACGTCTGCAGGATTAAGTAAAAATAGTATATAGAGTGTCAGGTTAATGATGTAATTAATGACTTTAGTCAGCATTGCATCATCAGATTATTGTTATTATCATGATTATATTCATCTAAAAATTACAACATTACCTGGGCTTATTTAGAGGGACAGTTTATTATATTACACTGCAGTTATATGATCAGTTGCCACAAAGCCTTTAGTGAATGTGTGTGATCTTCCTATTCATCGTGCTGACGGAGAGTGCAAGCTGCTCTTTTTTGCTCAGAAATCCTCATCCCACTTAACATGAATCTGGAGTGCATGACAGTAAAGGAACATACCAGCTACAGAGATAAATAGAGCTGCAAAGAAAGTCCGTTTGAATTACAGGCCTGGTATAAATCCTGTGGGAGCTCTCAGGAACAAAGTAATCACTGGGAGCCAGAAAGCAGGTAGGAAGAGGAGGACCCCTGCTGTTCTACCTGGGTAATACACACTACACACAGTGTACTACACTCTCACCTGACTGGTCAGTGCTCCACATCAATTCTGCTCTCAAAAAATTTGCATGGAGAGTTAACATAATATTACACACACATGAAAGTTTAATGCATGGCTCTGCACACGCCATTTGATGATGCAGTGCATTATCATACTGTAGTCAGTCAAACATGAACGTAAACTAAATAAGACCTGGCTTCTTCCAGTATTATGCCCACTACCTGATTCTTAGGTTACATTTCCCACATTTGGAGGTTGTTAATACTGTTGGATAAAGTGCAACATTAGTCTAAAGTTTAACATGTTCTTGCTCATGTGTTCAACCATCACAGCTGTCTGCTCTGTGTACCCAGATCTCTAAAGAAAAATGTGTCTAACAGTCCTACAAAACATCTGCTTCCTCTCTCCCTTCTCTCATTTGCCACATTACAATGTTAATAGTTTTCTTTTATAAATGTAGATTTAGCGCCAAACAGATGAAAACTGATGTATGTTCAGCTGTGACTTACATTCTGAGGGCTTCACTCTGGTTGGCCCATTGCGTTTTAGGCCTCCCACTCCCCCCTGCACACATAGTTAAAGAAGACACTGCTATTCTAATCCATAAATTGAGAAGCAAAAGTATCTCCCTGTGGTCAACCCTTAGTATTGCTGATCAGTGTTATCTGTGTTCCCCTGTATGAGCACTAACAGCTTTCACATTCCCTTGTTAGTCCACCATGAATTCCTTATTCGCTTCCGCTTTCTTGTCCAAGAAGGACCACTTCAGAGGAGGCTCAAAACCTCATTGTTTGCATGTCACATTCCACTTCAAGTCCCTGCCAATAAGAGAAAAAAAAAAAGGCTTGCTTGAATCTGTGACTTCAAGTCTGTAGATGCCTCGTTTCTTTTTGACAGAGCTCTGCTTAATGCATGATTATGATGTGCTAGAGTTCCTGGTTCATGTGTGTATAAGCTTTTTATGCTTCGGTTTATTTGATTTTTTTCATTCGCAGATGTTTGTTGGTTTGCATGTATCAGGGGTAGTTTCTCAGGTTGTGGATGACGGAGTGTAAATGATGACCGTGTAGTTAATAGCTGAGTGTTGCTGGATGTAGGGCAGGATGAGGGCCAAAAAACTGAGTCAATGACGACGGTGTGTAGTTAAGAGGTAACAATCTCCCTTCCTAGGTGCCTCCATCCCTTCTGTGCCTCAGCAGCTGGAAAATATTCTGCAACAGAAAAAGCAATCAGGACAACAAAAACCAAGACACAAACTCAGAGTAGAAAACAGAGCAATTCACCCAGACTATTGCTGGGTCACAGACTGGACAGAGGCAGGCAAAGCCTTACCTTGCCACACATACCATCTTTACTGCAGTTCTTATTGTCCTTGTCTGTGGCCTCCTCTTCCACCTGCACACACAAACACACAGCAGCAATGAGTCAAGGGCACAAGTAAATGGCTTTTAATAGAGTAGGTTGGTCAGTAGCAAGTAGTTGGTCCTTACCTCCTTCCTCCACTTCAGCTCACAGAAGACTCTCTCGAAGCACTCATGCATGTAGTTAAACTGAACGTTGGCCGTTCACAGCAGACACAAAGAGAGAAACATGGATTTAGATCAAAAACACAAATCCGTTTTAAATAGTTTACTTTACAGGAATAGTTCAACATTTTGGAAAAACAAGAGATAAATTAGATACTGCTCTTGTGTCTGTACTGTAAATATAAGGCTATTAAATGTGGGGGGGTGGTGGTGGGGGTGGTGGACTATTTCTTGGATGGGACCATTAACTTCCTGGAGTCTCTCTGCAGAAAGCGAAGCAAGCATATTTCCCAAAATGTCAAACTATTCTTTGAAATTATAGCAGTACTCATCTTGACCGTTTTTATTTTACTTAGACAGTTAAAGAAAAGTAGGTTCTGGTGGAATGCAACAGGAATTCAAATATAATATTATATTCAGACACTTTCTTTTTTAGAAATACAAAGTTGTTGTGAACACTGCAGGCAACATTCTGACAGCAGAATAGTCAGAAAACCGGTTATCTAAATCATTATTCTATAAAATTGAACACACTGAACAGGAAGATTACCCAACCCGAAAATGCATTTCCATCACATTACATACATATAGTTTTCATTCTTTCCCGTGAGTTTTTGAGTTTTTATGACTGTAGGAGCCCTGTTTTCACTAGAATACTTAGGAGTACAATATCATGTGTAATATTTGTGCTACTCACATAAGGTGTGAATATCTTGACCCAGCGTGGTTTCTTCTCTCCCCGTGCATATTCAAAGCAGAAGGCCATGCCCTCCTCATCTGTGTCCCACCTCTGCATCTCCCCCCAGTCGAATGCAATCACTTGGTTCTGCAACAACATTGAGGCTCTATTACACTCCCTCCATCATACACACAAACTATGTTTATACAAAAGTCGAACACACTGACTAACAGTCGCCCTTGCCTCGAGTGTCCCTTCCTCGGTGCAGGCGTGCAGCTTGAAGTGGTGAATGCTGATGGCTGTGATGACGTGGCCTTTACGTCGGGAGTCGCACGAACAGTGGGGGAATATGATCTCGTTGTAGCCCTCGCAACCCCTCAACAAACTCAGATACTGAGAGAGAAAGAGGCAGAGGAGACATGATGCAAGATAGTATTTTTACTGATGTTTAACTGTAACTAATCTTTACAGCCATAAAGCAGAGTACAGTCAGATGCTATAGTAACTCAGCAGCCTAAATATTGTGTAAGTATTTACCTGCAGGGTTTCGTCTCTCCAAAGTGAGGGTAATTTATTTATGTTTTCAGACAGAAGAGAACTAACTTACTTTCTCTATACACATTTTCCCACCAATAATTATTGTCTGTGACACTCCCGTCAAACCTACACTCTCACTGTTTGACTATCTCCACCCCCAGAAGACTCTGCACCTTTTCCACTCAGTTATATCACACACAGAGAAGGGAGACTGAACAGGTAGGTGCGGAGGGATGACATAAGACAGTGAACTATAACAAATAACTCTGGCTGTGTGTGTGTGTGTGTGTGTGTGTGTGTGTGTGTGTGTGTGTGTGTGTGTGTGTGTGTGTGCGTTGTGCAAGTTATTTGGGAACATAGTGCACTGTGTGGCTTGTGGCCATGTGAGAGACTGACCATAGACATCTTCTTCTGCTCTGCCAGCTTTTGCAGCTGGTAAGACTTCTGTTCTGCTTTGATAAACCCTTTCTTTACATCATCCACAGCCTGCAAAGACAAGGGAAGATAGGGTACACTGTTAAAAAAAAAAAACAACAACAACAACACACAAACACGAAAAACGCATACACACACCACAGACATATGCACATACCTGGTGAAAGAAATAGTTGACAGCAAGCTGGTTGTCATTGAGCAGAATTTCCTCCTCTGTGGTGAAGAGCCACTTGCGCAGGGTGAGGCAGGTTCCTGGGATGGCTGAGGTATAGTTCTGTACATACAGTTTGTGGGGGAACTCGTTGGGGGCAAGCTTACGCACTGAAGAAGAAAGGGGTGAAAAAAGAGAAGGAGGGAAAGAATAAGATATGTGGAGAGACACTCTTGTGTGGTGAAGTCTGCAAAATTAAACAGAAAGAAGAAGAATGCAATATTTTTGATTGTTTTCACCGCATGTGTTTAAGACAAGAAATGGGTTATCTGCATGTTAAAGAGAGATATAAGGTCAGTGATATAACTTATCCCACACACATTAAATGTAAGGAAATGCATCTTGATATCAACCCTGAAACTAGAAGGTAACCAGCCTGAAAAGGCTAGAGGATGGGGAGTGATTCATCATCTTGTTTTTACTCTGACAAGAATTCCATGGATGTCCTTCTCCACATTACTGAGGGATAAAAATTTTTTAACTTCTGAGTTGATCTTTGCTTGAAAGAAATAAATTTGGCCTCTTGTGACCTGTATGCAAAATATCAACTCTTTTTTTAAGTGTACCACTGCTTCTGCCTTTGCAGTCACAGACAGAGAGCACACAGTTCATGGAGAATAAATTCAGTTGAGCTAAATGGGTTGAAAATAACTACTTGTGATATAGTTTCATTTAGTTGCCTTCTTTAAAAAAAAAAATTGACATAGCCTTGAACCACACTAGCCTTGAGAAGTGAAGACAAGATTGAAGTGAAATAAAAGAAAATATATATACAAACAGGAACTCAGGTATTTATTTTAGACTATTTTGAAAAGGATGGCTTACACTCATGACATTCATGCAAATACTCTCTGCTGCTCACTCATCAGTCAACATTTGCTACAACTGAGGTCCAAGTTTGTGTTGTTTCAGCAAAGATGGAAAACATTTTCAGTGCGGAAAAATGCATGAGCATACACACAAACTCATGCCTCAGTTATATGTTCTTACTCACCGAAGGTGTGGTTGATGACCTCAAACAGAGCAAAGTAGCTGGCTGTTACACTGTCCATCCCTAGTTTCATTACCACAGCCTGAAAGAGACAGAGACAGAGACAGAGTGAGAGAGAGAGAGGGTGAAGAAGAGAAACAGGGCAAAGCATATGCAAGAGGGCTGTAATAAGGCCACAGTTGTAATGGTTAACAGTTATACAGGCTTGTGTTTGTGTTTACCTGGTAGACCTGGTCTGTAGTAGAGTTTTTGCGAACTCTGACAGTGAGGGTGGTTTTATCCGGCATGGCTATTCTCAACTCCACATCTGACACGCCATTATAGTTCTAGTTCATGAGAAGGAGAGACAATCTGTGCAGTGAGTCACAGGCAGAGAACTACAAAAACAGACACAAATAGGTTTTTCTGTTGTACCTCATCTGATTCAGACAGGAACTCCTGCATGATGTCACTTTCTCCAATTACCCGTACAGAGCACACTGCAGATAAAACACACATAATATCATGCAAAGACTGTGAAATAACAGTGTTTATACAATGATGTTGACTCTGTATTTATGAACTTTCTCACAGATCATTCCATACTTTTTGCCCTATTACTTAGCTTTAATTACTTCATTCTTGAAATCTTTTTCACCTCACCTTTCTCTAAGTATTCTTCCAGGCCTCTGCGTCGCGCATCTAGCTGCTGCTCCGAGAGGGAAAATGGCCATTTCCCAGGCAGCTTGGGGAATGTAAAGTTGGCAAACTCCCGCTTAAGGTTTTGGTGTAGGATCACAAACTCCCGGTAACGCTTGGAGCACAGCTGCCTGCCTGCCATGTACACATTATATACCTGGAAGGAGAGAATGGGGGGTCGAGGCAGAGCAAGACAATGAAGAAAATGAATGCTCTAAAGCAATGACAGGGAGTTAAAATCAATCTGTTTTCAAGTAACAATATTTTACCATCAAAACAATTATTTATAATACTTAGTTGGAACAATAGTCTGATCACAGGCCTAGATAAAGAGTCGTTAAAGACGTGGATACTGTGAAATTGTGATTTTTCTTCTATCATCCAGTCTTCTTCTTTCTTTTTTTTTTTTTTTACACCATACCCGTTCACTGACCAATCCTCTGATCTCAACTTTCACTTCATCAATTTATGGTTCCAAATTCATCATCCCCCTCTCAATTAGCCATCTATACAAAAGTGCACCCACCACAAACTTTTCCTGGTTGAGCTCAGTGTGTTTGTAGCTGGGCACAGATATGGGGACAGCCTGTTTGTCAGAGTAGTCGTAGCAGGACTGAGCTGAACCATCATCCCCGGGATCCAAGCAGTCAGCCTCCTGGGGTGGGACGGGCAGAACGGCCAGCACCAGCTCCCTTTCCCCGGCCCGGATCAGGTCAACCACTTGCTTATGGGTCGCTCCCTCTACATTCACTCCATTTCTGTCAAATGGAGAAAGAGATGAGAGTATTGTAAATAAATCTTACTTAATCTTCCTGATGTTACTTAAAATATTCATTTTTTTATAAAAAGGTACTACTTATATTGTTTGTGTGGCACATTTAAGGCTGCAGTTTGTATTGGACTGATTTATAATGAAAGCTTTTACAATTCCAGTAGCAAAAATATGAGAAAAATCTTACCATATAATGGTATATATAATGGTACATATAATGCAAAAAACAATGCAAAAAACAATAGTACTCCAAACTACACCTTCATGATTATCACACTTGCATCCATACAATACATCAATACTGTCACAACAATGACAGCAACAACAACAACGGCAACAACAATGAGAAATCGGTAGGTAGCATTTATACAAGGCTATTGTATTCTAACACTTACAACCTTTCATCATTTTGCATAGTAAGCTTATCTCAGGGAGCAAGGTCGAAGATTGAATTATGAGATTCTTAGCAAAATGGATTGTACGAATTACTGAAAGACCTAAACAGCACATAAATTCTCAAAGAAATGGCACAAAGTGAATAATGATAGCAGATGGGCTACAACAATATGGAAACAGCTTCTGTTTATGTATGCACAGAAGCAGAAGATTTGTCCTCAAAATCACTCTGGGCTCAAACACCCCCACCCCCACCCCTAAGGAAAGAGACCTTTTGTTTATGGCATTAGCACAGCTGAACATGAGCAACACTGGGTGTGTGCACTTTGGCAGCTGTGTGTCAGACACATGACAGTGTTGATGACAGCGCTGTAGCAACCTGGCCTATAGTTAACTATACTCAAAACAGCCACAGCATGTCATCTCAAAGCTCTCAGCATCACCTCTAGCCGTTTCTGACACATTTTAAAACAAATTCCAATGTTATGGATAGGCTGGCGAATAAAGGCGGCATTTAAACCATGCCAGAACAAGATTGAGTAAATGAAATTATTCTGTACTTTACGTTTTGTGCTAATGTAATGGGTTTTGCAGTATAACCAACAGCTTGCAAATATTAGCATGAATACAAAGCTGGCCAAAGTTTTATTTGAATATTTTCCAAATACCACAGAAGACAGCAGTGCCTCAAATGTTATTTGCTATTTGAATACAACCCAGTCAGTACCTTGGGGGAAATAATAAACAAAATTTGTGTGGAATAAAGATAGGCTTTTATCTTCTAACACGATGGCTTCCTTAATTAGTTTCGCAAACTAGGTTAATAAGATAAATATGCACTAAAATGCTGTTAAAATATACTTTGAACTTCTCAGAGATGAAACTGAATTCTCAAGTCTATTTAACTGGCCAGCCAAGCCATGTCCTCCATGTCCATGCTGCCTAATACCACAAACTGCCATCATTGTTTAATAGCTTAATAGGGCTGTAATGGTATGCAAGGGGTTTGTGTATCCTAATCCTAATCATATGATCCTCAGAGCATTCACATTTTATGTATAAACATGCCTACAATTTTGCACAGTCTTATTGTGTGAGTTAATTTATGTCCAAAGAGACCGACAAAAGTTGACAATGTACAGTGGATGCTATTGGCAATGTTGACTGGTGGGAAACCACTGATGGATCACATCCTTGAGTCAGCAGTGAACTACAATTACCGCCTCATGGTTGTATGCCTCGGCCAACAAGCTAAATTGCAGGAAATATGGTCATAATCTCCCTTTCCTGAGATACAGCATTGAGAAATGGCCAGAAGTGTTTTTGCAGAACATTATGATGTCACAGTGAAGCTGACCTTTGACCATTTGGATATAAAATGCCATCACTTCATCATTGTATCCTATTAGACATTTGTCTTAAATTGTGTCATAGAGCGTGAGTTATGGCCAACAACGTGTTTTGTGAGGTCACGTTTGACCTTTGACCACCAAAATTTAACAACACAAAAACACAATCCCTCCATCCCTGGCTGTCACGGAGGCTTAAAAAATGGGAAAATCTTATGTTTTGGAGGCAACGTGTGTGTTTACTCCCTCCCTAGGTCAACTGTGTTTTTAGCAGTGACAAGGTCCTGCTCATTGATTTGCAACATTTCACACTATGATCTAAGATTTAAAAGAGTATTCACAGTGGACACTTTAAGAAAACAAGTGACAAAATCAATGTTGCAGAACCAGAGATATAACCTTTTATATTCTATGCATTCTTTTTCCTTGCTTTGCCAAAACATGCTGCCTGCATTACCAACAATGCATCATGACTAGTGTAGTAGTGAGTAGTGTAATGTGGCCATGGGTTGTTAGTGTCAAGCAGATGCCAGATTTTTGTTATTTGTGGTCTTCAGCCCCAACGGATGCTGACTCAAGTGACATCACTTGAGGCAATTTCTCAGACTTCACACAGCTCCCTCTGGTGCCACAAAAGGCTTTATACAACCTTTTCACACATGCAGTAGCACTTCCTAAGAACTGTAAATGGACTTTAATTTTTATGTTTTATATGTATCGCTCATAAAGTTATCCAACCATTTCTGGTGTATAGACAAGTTGCTGTCGCAAACATAACATCCAACTGTCCACAGGAATATAGATTAAACAATTTAGGACAGGAAATGCTTCAGATAGAACCAGTGACTTACAGCTGATCTGTTATGTCAGCCATTACGTCATGGCATGGCTTATATTGGCAGGGTAACAGAGGGCTAAGGCTCAGTGGACAGAAGCTCTCTGATAACACAATGGCAAGAAATAGCTACACATGAATATATAGTCAAGCCAATGGAGGCCTTCTGAGCTGGAGCCCAAATAACAAAGCTGGTGTTGGTGAGGAAAGATGACAATATAGATAGAAATATGCAAAGAAGAACAGGGGAGGCATGAAGCACAAATAAAACCTTCTTGCAGGTGTAGTAGGAAAAACAGCAAACGTCATCTCCAACACAAAAAACAGACTAAGCATTTTGGCTGCTTTTTCATTCCAGCAGCTTTATGACTATATTATTATCACATGATGTAGTGGCCTTTGCACTTGCTCTATCAGCACTACTGAGCATAATAAACAGCTTTAAAGAGATATTTTCCTACGTGTCCCAGAGTCAGTTTGTTCTGTCTTTATAATTCAAGGTAATAATTAATTTATCTGTTTATATCACTGCTGAAGAGATAAGTGTTTTCCATTTTGCACTCTAAACACTTAGTTGCACATGCACAAGCAAAGATGCACACATACATACACTCAATTGAAAGGCTAAATAAAGAGAGAAGGGGTATTGTTCTGACTAACATTACACATTACATGTATACATTATGCCATCATCATGAAGCAGGAGGCTGAATAGATTATTCTGCATCAAAGTCTGAGAAGCGGGAGTTGTTTGTAAATGTGCAAAGAAGTATTGATTGCATTGAGAATAGCAGAGGCTCTATACCACTGCAGCCAGTATGCAGGCACTCCACTGTGTGTATACTTAGTTATTGTGTACATACTGTGCCTTGACAGGAAGGCAGAAAGGATCCATGCACCAAAGTCAAGGCTTTGGCTGAATACAACGATGAATGTGTAAAGATCTAGCCATATTTGGGCATGTCTTATCAACTGCATGGAAGAGAGTAGATGAGACAGCTTTACTGTCCCAAATGAGGGCAGTAAAGCATCACTATGAGTGTACACTGAGGCCACATAAACTATGGATGATACTGACCAAAATAGCTAACAGAGGGATGAAATAAAGTGGCTGATAGGCTTTTCTTTGTATACACTATACAAAAAAGCACATACATACATCCACATTCTTGCACACAAGCACACAGAAATAATGGGGTCAACAAACTGCCAGGTTACTGCAGACCATCCATTAACAAAGCAGTGTGCAAAAGCCAGCCAATGAGACAGTGAATTTTAGAGAGCGAAGCCAATCAGAATTGAACTGAAGATATCCCTCCCTTTCTGCATCACCTTATTCCACACACACAGACACACTGAAGCGCCAGTACTGATGCTGAGCTGTATGCTGCGTGTTGCTCTCCATAGCAACAGAGCCCAACATCAGCAAACCATCTGCATGCATACTAAGGTGCCAGTGAGGACAACCATCCTAAATGAAGCACACACAACAACAGTGCTCACTGATAGTTACATCAAAGCCACGTGTGATGAATTTACCAAATTCAGTGATGCCGATGGTAATGATTTGACTTGTTTTAACCTTTCTGCTAAACATAAGCAAAGCAAGCTATACTGGGTGCAGTGTGTAATGCAGACATACTACACACTACATCTGGTTAGGATGATGTGAATATGTACAAGGGATGACTTGAGAATGTTTGGCATGCCGTGAACGAGAGGAATAGGTTTCAGTGTGACGGGAATTCCTAATGATCACTGGATCTGTCCTCTCTGACACACACAGACACTCCTTTCATTAGGATGAACGGCTATTCTGCCCTGCAAGAAGACCAGCGAGATAGTGCATGCACACACGGGCTTTTGGTGGCCGACCCTGGTCCCAGCAGAAAGATAGTGAATGATGCTCACATGTCCTGCTTGCAATAGTTTTCACTGTTAATCATTCCGAGACGAACGATTCATTCGTAGGTTACTTATTATATGCATTTGGTTAAGCTAAGACAGTAGCCACTTACACCTCAAGAATCCTGTCCCCCTTCGAAATACCGGCTCTGTCGGCGGCACCTCCCGGTAGAACAGCACTAACATGCTGCAGTGGAGCGTACAGTTCCCCGTTAATGCTCCGTAGCTGCCCTCCTTCGCTAACTTGTCCCCGAACATTGAAACCATAGCCCGAGTCAGACTTCACTATCCGAACAAGCCGTGGGCCTGAAGTAACGGTGGTTGCCGTCTGGCAGCTGCCGCCGGTGCCCGGTGTAACGTTACCGCTACCGGAGCCGTTACGAGAGGAAGGGTGAGGCAACGGAGGGACCGCTGAACAAATTCCTTGTCCCTCGACGTCCGCCATTTTTCTACACTATTTGTATCATCCACTCCAATTCAGCTATCATTAAATATCCTACAAACATTAGCTGGTGGTAGCAGGCTAATCGGCTTGGCTAGCTCACTGACCGAGATACGCCGGAGAAAGCCGACAGAGTCCGACGATAAGCGAGACCGCCCCAGGATGCGTTCCATTTGGATCACTTCAGTCCCCTTTTTGAGTGTGGATAGGCGAGTTCCTGTATAGTTTCCTGGGTAGGCTACATAACTGAATTCTACGGAGTTCCCCTGGGGTCAGTTGAGGAATCAAAGTATGTGTAATTATGATATGTGTAAATTTGTTCTCTCGGATTACAAATCCCTGCACACGATTTATAAACCGTGTTCTCCGACTCATAATCCGTTTGTACGGATTTGCAAATCTGTGGGCACTGATTGCAAAACCGTGACCACGGATTACCAATCCGAGAGCACGGTTTTGGTTGAAATTATAAAAAAGCAAACCATAAACTGTGCGCACAGATTTTTAAACGAGAGCGCAAATTTAGACATAGCCCCTTTTTTTTACTTGACACTTGCTGACACTTTAGAAATCAAACTAGTTAGAGAGTGTGGCTAGTTTTATTTTACAGTTTACAGTTTTAGTTTTATCAGCAAAATAAAAAACAGATCTGACTGTGACCCAGTGGTTCCCAACCTGTGGATTAAGAATCTCAGGGGTTGCTGGGGATGAGACAGAAACTTTTCTCTGATTTAGGCCTTTAAAGAAAAAAAAAGTGAAATACTGGATCGTTTCACCCATTCAGGTATCTAAGATCATTTCCCAACTCATGTCCATACTGATACTGTAACCTGAGATTATGAGTCACGACCAGATACTTTTCATGGGGTCACAAGTGAAATGGTTGGGAACCACTGCTGTTCTAATTGCAAAGGGATAAGGATGGGAGACATTGCATCTAGAGCTGAAACTGTTTGTTGATTGACATACAATTAATGAACTAGTTTGATAATCTATGAATTGGTTTAAGTAATTTTTCAAGCGTAACATTTGTGTCAAGAGAATTTGATCTATAAAGAAAATAATGAATCAAATACCTGAAGTTGTTCATCATCAAGGCTGAATTATTAAGCATGCAACGCAGGGAACTGCTCTCATGTTTAATTTTGTTTCAGTTGGTTTTACATCATTTGATTAATGTCATAATTGTGAAAGAATTTGCAAAGGTAAGACAGGTGAAACATTTTTTACATAAACTTGAATTTCTGTCTTATAGAGAACAAAATCTGGCTTTGCTCAAATGATGCATTTTCCTAAATTACATGTTTTCTGTAATTAAATTTATTAAATGTATAATTAATTAGACGTAGTATCCAGAATAGCCTAGTGTTTCCTGTTTCTGGGTGCAAATAATGAAGTTACCATGTGTAGTCAGCTAGTGCACTGTCCTAGATGGAAACATGGAAGGGACAGAGTACAAACAGAACACGAGGAGGGAGGTGGGGGGTCATTAGGCTTCCCCCAACAGGTTAGAGGCTGCAATTTGTCCTTCTTCAACTGCAATGTGACAGCTGCAAGGCTAAAGACAACTCTTGTAATGCTTGTTTCTTTTTTGATCCACCTCTCATGAATGTTTTCTACAAAAAAGAAAAAAATTAGACTTTATACATCAGTGTTCAAATTCCAAACACAAAGGGGTAGGATCAGAAAGATTAGGCTACATTAGAGCGTAGTATCAGTTTTCTAGAGATAGACTAAGTGGCTTATGAAGTTTGGAGACTTATTTTTATACATACTTTGTGTAAGCCACTGTAGTTTTAAACTCATAATCAGTTCTTTAAGGATGACATGGAGACATAGAGCCATTTTCTTTTCCTTCAGTGTTATTTCCTTTATTGATTTGTCAATTGTGATATTCACAGTCAGTGATATACATGTGTACAGTGATATAGATGCGACTGTAATACTGGTGCAAGTTGAAGCATCCAGCTTTTTCATTTAGTACAAATCAAATAAGGCAAGAAGGTTATGAATCAATGAGGCCAAAGTATTTATTTCTGATTGCAGAGCACAGTGAGGGCTGTTACAAAAGTGACGTACTCCGTGAAATCAACAATGCCATCCTTGTCATTATCCAGCATGCTGAAGAAATTGTCCACTGCAGCTTTGTTTGAGTCCTAATGAAAGAAAGACAGGAGGAGTTGTAAGGAACTAGTAAAACTTCAGCAATATGGCAAAGAGACATTCACAGCTGTGTGTAGCAATGGCACTTCATCTTTTCTACTTACTCCTGCTCCAGGAAGCTCCTTACGGAGCAGTTCAGTGAGTTCTCCCTTGGTCAAAGTGTCTTTGTCTCCTTCTTTTCCAGAGTATTTTTGGAAAGTATCCGTGAGTATTGCCATTGCGTGCACAAGTCCTGACATGGTGACTGAAATGAGAAAATACTGTTGATGGTGTTGATTCGAATGTTTATATATTTATTAATTTTTACAATGGTGTGGTAATGCACTTCAATGCTCATGCATTGTCTGCCTATCCACCCACTTTACTGGTCATTTCTTCAAATTTTTAGTTCCTTCCCGTTTTCCCATCCAACCGCATGTCCATAGATCTTTTAAAACAACTTACAAGTTTTTAAAGGTGACCTTTATTTATTGAATTCCTACCAATTTCCCTAATATATCTGTCAAATTATAACTGTTATAATACTATCAGTATATTGATGACATATAATAGATTGGTGTCATCCTACACAGACCCAGCACTCCACATAACACACAAACCAAACCCAGAAGCTCATTCATGCATCTTTTGCTACATAATGCTACATATTAGGTATCAGCTATGTAGACATGTTAAATGCAAAATGGTTCGTCTACAAAAAAGTATTTTTAAACAAGATTTTAAAACATATTTCCACTTACCAATGTTGTATGAAGACTTGGGTAGATCGAGAGCGTGGAAGAGAGGGATTTGAGAGGAGAGCACAAACGCAAACCCTTTTAAACAGTGATCAACACACCTTCTTTCCAAGCCCACATTCCTCTTTCTGTCATTTTTCTCATTTTTCTTTCTATCTTTTCCCCAGCAACACTTACAAATGTCAAAATGTCAAAGCAGGAATGTACTCTTTCTTGCCTTTCCTGTCACATAAACCCATTTTCATTCCAGTGAGACCAGTGTGGGAAAGCTACAAGTCATATTTGCATATAATGATGCACATGAAAATATGTGATTGTCATGTCATGTAGTAGGTAATGGTAGGTGATATAATCTTATTTCAGTCAGCTTGACAGGGGAACATCAAATCCTCCAGAAACATGGATAACCACGGGGAAATCCAGGGTTTAGCCCTGAAATCTCTGAATGGGTCTTAGGTCGCATGTTGATTGAAAAATATTACAATATAAATAAGGGGTATATGAATAAACAAATATGTTTCTTATATTCTCTCTCCCTCACATTTGTTAACAGGGAGGAGAAAACATTAGAAACACCTCTCAATATAATGTTGTCCAGTGCAACAGCACTGAGAACTACAACCTCAATAATAAACATATACTTAAATGAACACCTCTCTACTAAAAACTGAACATTGCTGAGTTTGTAAAGGTAGAATTTATGGCTGAGCTGCCACAATGGATTGGAACTGGTTGTTTTCAAGGTGTCTGGGCAAATAATGAAACTGCTATATGGAGTCTGCTTGGTTCAATGATGGGAACTTGAAAGTGACAAGGTGTTCACAGGGTGGGAATTGGGGGACAGGGTCATTAATGCTTACCTAACAGGTTAATCCAACCACGGCTGCTGTTTTGTCCTTCAGCTGCGATGTGATAGCTGCGAGGCTAAAGACAACTCTTGTTTTTTTTTTTATCCAACTGTCATTCATGCTTTCTACAGGCTAACTGAACACACACAGTATGTCATTCTTCTCCTTTAAGAGGATTTGGTAAATATTACACATCCTCTTTATTTCAAAGGCTGATTGATTCCAGCTGCAACACCACAGGAAAATACATTTTCATGGACACTTGAGAGTGAAAAATCTACACACAAGGGGGCAGCATTGGAGAGACTGTGGGTACATAGGAAAATCTGTAGTGGATGACCAAATGACAAACATTGTGTGATCACAAGTACATTACTTCCTGAAACATACAAGAACATGTGTGTAAAGATAAACTGAGGATATTTTGTTATTTTCTGGAGATAAAGTAAGCTGCTTATGGGGTTTGGAGACATATTTTATTACTTACTTACTTCAAATAGGTCGCTCTAGTTTTAAACTCATACTAAACTTATTAAGGACCACATGCAGGTATAAAGCTGTTTGCTTTTCCTTAAGTCTTGTTTCCTGTTCAATGTGTAAAACATCCAAACAGTGTCATAATAGTGAAAGTTTAACTATGGGATTGTTCCCTCTAATGATGAGCTAAGAGACTGACACTTCCGTTAATGTTATATCAAAAGGCAGATCAAAGATGATTAATGGTAATTCTGCCTAGTATGTGTGCAGTACAGATTGCCAGGCTCCTGAGTTTGCACAGCTTTGTGGTTTATTTGGAAGCACACACAAAACAACACCTTTAAAATTTGACATCATTTATTTTGTTTCTTTATTTATCACTTGTGACATTCACAATCAGTGATATACACTCAAAGTCAGCACATTTCAATTCCCTGGAGCATACTGTATGTAATAACCTCATCAATGTATTTGTTTAACCAACCTTTGCTTAGAACATATGATAATGACATATTTTATAGATGTGACTGTAATACTGGTGCAAGTTGGAATACTCAGCTTTTTCATTTAGTACAAATCAAATAAGGCAAGAAGGTTATGAATCAATGAGGCCAAAGTATTTATTTCTGATTGAAGAGCACGGTGAGGGCCGTTACAAAAGTGACATACTCCGTGAAATCAACAACACCATCCTTGTCATTATCCAGCATGCTGAAGAAATTGTCCACTGCAGCTTTGTTTGAGTCCTAATGAAAGAAAGACAGGAGGAGTTGTAAGGAACTAGTAAAACTTCAGCAATATGGCAAAGAGACATTCACAGCTGTGTGTAGCAATGGCACTTCATCTTTTCTACTTACTCCTGCTCCAGGAAGCTCCTTACGGAGCAGTTCAGTGAGTTCTCCCTTGGTCAAAGTGTCTTTGTCTCCTTCTTTTCCAGAGTATTTTTGGAAAGTATCCGTGAGTATTGCCATTGCCTGCACAAGTCCTGACATGGTGACTGAAACGAGAAAATACTGTTGACAGTGTATCCCATTGTTGATTTATTTATTTATTTGTTTGGGTATTCATTGTACATGGTTGTGGTAATGTGTTAATGCTTCGTCCTACATTCAAACATGGATCGGGCTTTACCACTTTGGAATGCTGAATTAAAAGACCTGACGTGGTTGAACAGCTTGTTAGAATGCAGTCAGGGATGTTTCTGCCCAACTCTCCACTTCATGTCTCATGAAAGGGATTCCGTGCAGACTAAAATAATTTTTCTATTGTCTAAGTTTCACTCTGTTCTTTCTTATGCCAACTTTTCTCTGTCTCTTGGGAGTGTTCTAGTCACCACTGGTTTTAAACAGGCGACATCATTAAGTATGGATGGTGAAACAGGGAAAAACAGGGAAAAAATTGGTAGTTTGCGTGTGACAAGCAAGTTTGATGTTTTCGTAAAACAATTCAAGAATTTCCTTTCAGCATAGTCTGCTTATCCACCCACGTCACTGGTCATTTCCTCTCAATGGCTCTGGCTCGGCACAGTCAAAATCTGTCCTCACACGCTGATATTCAGTTCCTGTTTTATTTTCCAACCTTTCTGCACATCCATAGATGTTTTTAAACAACTTTTCAGTCGTTTTATATGTTGTTTAATGGAAACCTAGGTAGCCTCAGTTTACTTAATTCCCACTATTTTCACTATAGTAACTGTAATAATAATATCTGTACATTCATAGGGTGTCATACTGTAGATTATTGTTATCCTGCTCAGACCCATCATTCCACATTCTACTCAAACCACACCCAGAAGATCATTCATGCATCTCATGCCACATAATGCTGCATATTACGTATTAATTATTTAGATACATCAAATGCAAACATGGTTTGTCTAAAAGTAATAATAATGTATATTAAAGAACCATTTTAAAACATATTTCCACTTACCAAAGTTGTATGAAGACTTGTGTGGATCGAGACGATGGGAGAGAGGGATTGGGAGAAGAGCATAGACACAATCCTTTTAAAGAGAGTTCGACACACCCTCTCTCCAGGCCCGCCCCATCTTTCTCTCTTTTTTTCTCACACATTTTTCTTTCTGCTCTACAGGAAAACTTCCTAATTTTCAATGCTGCTACTCTTTCTCGCTTTTCATGTCACATAAGAGTGCTTATAGGGTACTCTTTATTTACCTTATTATTATTTTGGTGGGAAATATGGCTTGTTCACACTTTATCTCAAAGCTCATAATAGTTACTATTTAATTCACAGATAACAATTTCACACCAAAACACACAATCAGCTAAAAGTAAGGATGCACTACATTAAATTAAACTACTCAACAGAATATACATTAACTTGATATAGCAACACCTTTGTAGTTTTATCATCAAAGCACTACTGTTAGAGGACACAGGGGCTAAAGAATGGTTTCACGAGTGTGAAAATTCTTCTTGTTTTTCTTTGGTTGTATATCAGGCAGGTGTTAAGTAGCACAATTTTTGATGTATGTATTTACTGTTTAAGTTCAAGTCATAATTCATAAAGCAATTTGCAATTTTATTAATCTGGTTTTATTGTTTACTGAAATGTCACTTAATTACCGGGGTTCTATGTCTCTGAAAGACCTCCCTGCAGGACCCTTCTGTATGTTTAGGTATTCATACATAAATGCCACAGTTTGCTACAAGCATATATGTTTCTTCAAGTACAAAATGTCTGTACTTTTTAAGCAATCTTTTGAAGGCAGAACTGATGATCAGAAGGAGGGGCTGGCTTTGGTTAGAGACAGAGATGCCAGTACATGAAGTAAGAAGAAGAGGCGGGGTCTGGAGACACTGATTCACTGGCAGAGAATGTTTGCTGGTAAGAAAAAAAAACAACCCACACACACACACACACACACACACACACACACACACACACACACACACACACACATCACATGAAAGTTATCTGCTCAGCACATCAGAAATAAAAATGTTGTCATGGTTTCATAGCGCAGATTACCTCTGAGATTCAAACACACAAGGGACTGTACCATAGAATGAGATCCTATGGTGAAACACAGCTGCTTGTGGTAGAGTCCTTGAGGATTATCCAAGTAATTCGAAGGGCAGAACAAAGTCTCAAACATCTACGAAACCTACTTTGGGAATGATCCTCAACCAAACTGTGTCCTAGCTGTACCATTAATTAAGCTTTGAAAAGCAATCAGCCCTGACACCAAACGCAGGACAAGTTTTTCTACTGCGCCATTTTCGGTAAAATCAGTGGAAACAATCAGCAGGAATGCACCGGGACTACCGTCTCAAATTATCTGCCTTCACTTGTGTAAAGAACATACTGATTTGATGTTTTTCAGGCAGTCGCTCCAGACTGAAAACTAACAACATAAACACATCTACTGACTGGAATGCCACAAAAGTTGGTACAGACATTCAGTCATTAGAAGCAGAAGTGAAAAATTTGTAAATGCAGAACTCTAGTAACCTGAGCAAAAGTATGGTATCTATACTAGCAAATTTTTCTAAATTCTGCTTTTTGTGGGCAATCTAAACAATGCAGTGTAACACACTAGTGCTGCTGTTAGGGCAGGGCTCTTTGTTTTTGGCAAAACAGGCAGCTGTTGTGTACTGTGAGTTCTCTGCCTCTCTGTTGGTAACGACACCAAAAAAACTTTCCACTACAACTCAGTGGTTGCATGTGTGTGTGCAGATATGGGTTTGTTTACCCTGAGAGGAGGATTTCATGGAGGAAGTAGCTAAATTACATTATGAAGCACTGATTTCAGATGCCATATAAATCAAGACAGAACAAAAGATAGAAAGAAAGACTTTTTTTTTTCTTGCTGTCTTGTCCTCATTCGTCCCCAATCATTTTCAGTTTCGCTGTTCAGTGCTCTGAAATGTACAAGTTATATAATGTACACATAATATGAACACATCAGTCACCTCCCCTGTGATATCTGTATCTGTATCACACATGCAATCGATTAATGTAGCTTGATCAAAAAAAGGCCTGTAGCCATAAGCAGCTCCACTTGCGCAGTGTGTTATAATCCAGTTGAGTTCATTACAGTTTATGATGGTTTGGCTGAATGTTTTCCTGGGAGGGAACACCAGATCAAAACTAGTTCTTTTGGCAACTGAGGTTTCCTGCTGAAATAATGCTGCTGCTACCAGGCAGCTTGGTTTACAAAGAGTTACTAAAGGGTGCCAGGAAATATGAGACCTTCAGAGTCCAACACAATGGAATCCATGTTTGCTCAGGGTATGACTCTCTCATTTCTCTCTTTCTTTCTCCTCTCTCTGGTCTCTGGTCTCTGGTCTCTGGTCTCACACACATTGTTTTGTCAGTTTGCATTAATATTGCTTATGCTAAATCAGTTACTGGCAATATGCTCTTGTAACACAAACAAACTGTAGGTGATTGGACTTACTATTAAATAATATCCTTATTTTTACATGTGCAGGTACAGTAATTTTCTCCTTGCATATTCATGAACTCCATATACCACGGTAAGAAGCCCAGATTCAACAGAAGAATCATTCGTAAAAGGTAACCCCTGTTGCCAGGCTCTGTTCCAGCTGTGGCTGTTGTGTTTTTGTTGAGTCTTTTAAGAGCTTTAAATTGTTCCAAAAGTCACTACCTCTTTGTGGATGTTAATTACAAATAGATATCCATCTGCCCTATATGAATTTATTGGTGTTTTCCTTTGGAAGATGTAGTGACAGAATTTCACCGTGCAAACAAGCCATCTGTCTAATTTTTGTCACATCAAATGGATCTATGATGATGAATTAATTCTACAAGCACAATCACCTTGATCCAATATTTCAAATCTCATGAAATCATCTTGATCAAATATCCCAAAATCTCACAAGGAAGTACATTAAACTGTGTTGGTTGGTGTTGGTGTTGTTTGACTCTTTCTGACCGTCCTATAGAGATAAATTCATGTTTGTGAGTGAAGCATTTTGTATTTTATCTTATCACCATTTATGGCACCAAATTTATGGAATTACTCACCCGAGGAAAAAATGATGACTAATATACAGTAGTTGATGTAATTATGCTATGTCTCAAATCATGTCTCTTTTTCTTTTCCAACCGTTTTTGTCATTTTTAGTTTGTAAAGGAGGAAGTGATTACATCTAGGGTGTTTCCCTCTCTCCGCCAGAGGCCCGGTCAGGTGGTCCCTCTGGTAGGGACTTCTAACACGAAGAGTAGCTCAGCTGAATAACACAAGCTGTATCTTTATCTGTTCTCTGAGAAATTTCAAATGTTTTTCAGCCGAAGTATAACTTTACTCTCCAAATAAAGACTTTGGGTGGAGTCTTATCAATAGTTAGAGGGGAGGATCAACATCATTTTCATTCGTGTCTTCAGTAGAGACATAGCTCCATGGCATGTTCCAGCAGAACAAAAACAGGAAGCACTTTACTAAAACATGCATTTGCTTCATTTACTTATGTGCAGTCTCCTGTAGTCTTCAGGATTAATTATATGTCTTTGTGGAATAGAATAGACATTAGAGTTAATTTATGCTTACTCTTAGTATAATTTTACCTCTGAAGCTAGTAATTTGGGTCCTTTGCAGAGCACTTATTAACTTAATTTGACATAATAAGTTTACATAAAATATGTTAAATGTTTTGAGTCTGGAAGAGGGTTCATGTCAGATATTCACTTTATTGCTCCTCCTGGGCAGGAAAGGTGAATGGAGCACACAGTCGGCGTTTTAACCCCATCGATGAGCCTTGGCTGTGACTGTGACTTTGGAAGTGGTGAGGGCGAGAAAGTCTGAAGGATATTTCCCAGAAAGAAATTATAGTAACACTCACATTTCTCCCAGTGTTCCCAGTGTGATTATTCATAGTCTCTAAACACAAACACAAACTTTTTTTAAAATTTTTTTTATATATTCAGGTTGGCAACCAGAAACTGTGAGCAAACTGGTACACATAAATGTCAAACCAGTAATGAATTCAATATAATTTACAGGCTAAACAGCTCAAATGCCATTATTTGTGCTGCTCTTGGCTAATAGCTGCTCTTACTTGTGCAATACTAATTGTACATATACATTTGCAAGAACAGGTCTGACTTTGCAGCTCATTTCATGGCAAATAGCGATTAGTGATCTAACCTGTTCCATTTTGACAGACAGGACACATACACACATTCCTCATACACCCACTACTGCTGTGTAATGATGCATCCCCTGTTTATTCTTTGTAAATATTTGTGGTTATTTCTAATAAAACACAATATTATTAGCGCTTTAACCTGACTTGTCTCCCTTCCTTGTCATATGCATGATATTCATTTCTTATCTCAATACCTGCAGATGCCCCTTCTGACTGACTAGACTGTGAGTGAGTTAACACTTTGTGGAGTTTGATGAAGTATGAGGACATGCGCACTGTTTGAATTGAACATACTCCGTTTCTCACTTGGACACACTCAAAGACACTCCTCCAAGTTACAATGGCTCCACTATTGAAACTTTTGAAGGGATCAGCTGCGAAAAGCGAATCCAAGTGATTCTATCACAGACTCTATTAATTTAAGCATGGAGAACATAAAATCTCTCTGCTATTATGGTCACTTCTGACTCTCATGTGTAGTCCTCTTCGTTATGGGTGTGCCGTCTGTGTTTTGTTTGTAATAATTATTATGCAGTAAATCCCCTGTGTATTTGAGGCTTAAGAATCTCAACATGTTTCAAAAGAGACTCTTTCAGTTTGAAGAGGAAAAAAAGATGGTTTTACTTTGTACCTTTGTGTTAAGTTTACATAAATAATTCTTGAATATTTTGGAGAATATTCTATTGGCTGTATTTCCCCTGCTTTTAGTCTTTGTGCTAAGCTCGAATATGTCATAAACATGTCACATAGATGCTTTGCACAGTAAATAAGCTACTTTTCCGCTTCTTTTGTTCTTTTTTTAATTCCCAGCTGTGTGTTGTGTGCATCCTGTAAGGAAAAATCATATATTTTATGTACTGTTTAAACTTATGAGAACCTTATATTTTTATGTCACATCTGAATGAAATAGAATGGAAGACAGAGGGAGGGTGTGACAGACTTACACCACAGCTTAATTACAAAGGACTAGTGGAGGGGTTGAGAATTTCATAATTTGTTTTAGAGGAGATAGAAGAGAGGACAAACAGTTGATTTACAGACATGATGACTGAACTTTTTACATATCTACCACCAAGTTCACTGCATGTCAGTTTGTATTTGCCTTTTATATTTTTTTCTCATCTGCTTCTTTGTATCTGTATTTGCATGTATTTGTTTGAGAATACCGTCATTATGAAGCTGATAAACAGTTCAAACTGAAAAATGGAGGTGAACCAGGTGAGGGCCTGTGAGCTGTGTCCAGTCAGATATTGGTGATAGATATGTAAAACATTCAGTCATGTCTGCAAATCAAAAGGAAGGGATTAAATGAACCCAACTTTTTGTCCTCTCTTTTATCTTGTCTGAAACAAATGATGAAATTCTCAAACCTCAATGAGTCCATTGTAATTAAGCTGAGGTTTAAGTCTTTAGTTGCTCTCTATCTTCCCTTCTATTTTATTTAAGTTCAAGTTTGACTTTTTATCACATAAATTTGACTAATCATGAGCATTCTTTCCCATCATGAATAACTTTTCATCTATTTTTCTCATTTAATGATGAAATTAAACTTACATTAAGAATACTTTGGTTAGATAAGGTAGATATATACTATTTTAAAATATACTCTTTACTTTAAACATACACTTCATTTATTTGTGTCCTCTCTTTTTGATTTTTTGGACTCATTATACATCTGTATATGTAACCCTGGAAAAACCCTATAAGAAGGATTATGCATTTTTATTCTTACACAATTTATAGGGTTATTTAGGGTTTGTGTAAACCAAATTAGATTTGCACAAAAATATGTTAATTAATCTGTGTCTGGAAGATGTTTTAGTTCATAGGAACTCATTGAAGATGCATGAGAGAACATGACTTTCTTGCATGGGCAATGGTATGCTGGCAGATACTCCCTTCTATTGAGGAAAGTCAGCATTTTGATACAGTAGCTCCACCTGGCAGACAGTGGGGAGAGTGCACTTATACAGTTGGATCTGCTCACAGTCAACATGGCAACTACAGACAAGTAATGGGTGAAATTCAGGAAGTGATGAGGGCACAAAATGAAAACAATTAAAGTCCAGAAAAACCGAACAGCACTGAATCACTGAAGTTCTCCACTGTTACATGACAGTGTGTGACAATTTAAAGCTTCTGAACACAAACTTTTGGACACAGGTTTAGAGTATATTGTTAGTGGACGTATACACTACCTCTGGATTGTGTAGGATGACAAATTAGATGTAAGACATTTTGATTTCATTTGCCATGATTACAAACATAAAAAGAAACACCCAGAAATTAAATCAGAAATGAATTAACATGCGGGAGTTAACACTTTGTTGTCAGCCATGCAGACTCAAACAATTTCATATATATGCACAAGTTACACCACCCATGCTCATGCTGTATGGCAATGAACAGGAGCAGGTCGTACAGGTCCTGCAAGTTAAATCTTAAAGCTTAAATCCTAGTGTTACCTGTACTGCTATAGGCTGTTGGCCCTTTAGGTCTTCAATAGGATTAACAGTAAACTGGCACACCCTGTCCTAACCATGACTACTTGTTTTCTCACTCTGTCTCATTTGTTTGCATTACTGTCCGCAACAGCACATTTCAGCCAGCAGACAGGCAACCAATCGTTAACCCCTTTCAGGGAGGCTGGAGCAAGGCATACAAATATGCGTTTGTTTCTAGACCGGCTGGAACGTGAGTGAGTTAACAGTTGGAGTGGAGTGAATGAAAATCCAGTTGAAAGGTGTTTACCTCTGATTTTCAGTTGGTTTCACATAAATAAATGGAGAGACAGTAGAATACAGAGGGACACGGAGTTGTAATGACTTTCATGGTGTGAAAAAAGCTATTGGTCAAAATTTTAACCTGTGGAGAATTCAGTCAGCAGGACCGGAAAGTTATAGACCAGACATTTCCTTTCATGAAGCACTGACAATGACGTGGGCACTGGAGAACATAGTGAGTGATGTCTGTTGAATGTTTGATGAGTTTGTGCTTGTTTCCTTCCGCAGCAATGACACCAGATACATAGCAACAAGATACTGTATAGCGATTGAATATAAACAGCAAAGGAAGCCCTCAACAAATCAAATGTTCTAGTTTTTATTTATTTTCACTTCAGGTATTGAATGGAAACTTCTTTGAAAACAGGTTATGGAGAGACAAAAACAATGAATATCACATTTTGCATGCAAGTTTAAGACACAAGAAACGTGTGCAAATGGCTTGATACCAACAGCATCTGTTTTCAGGGTTCTAGGCAGTGTGATATATTACATCTATGTTGTGTGTATGCCATATGAATAGCATATTTTTTTAAAATATATTATGGTCCCACAAACATTTTAAGAGTTTGAATCTTAAGTCTTATTGTTCCTCTTCTTGTTCTTTGCCCTTGGATTTCTTGCCTCCCTTGCCCGTCTTCTTGTGGTAGTAGCATTTGGCCAGGTCACACACACACCGGCAAAACTCTCGGAAGTTGACCTCACCATCATGGTTTTTATCCATCGTCTCCATAGCTTCCTCAATGTCATTTGCATTGATTTTACCCTGGAATATACATTCATACAGTTAAATGAGGAGTATGACATGCACATGTGGATATTGAATAAGAAATAGGAAAACATGCATGTGTTGCAGCGCTTACCTTTAACTCAGGGCTTTGTATTTCTTGCTCGAACACCTTCTTTAACTCCTCTTTGTTAAGCTGTCGTTTCTTGCCTTCATCATCAGCATACTCCAGAAATACATCTACAATGTTTGTAATGACCTGATCCAGACGAGCCATAACTGAAAATGGAAACAAAGATTGTTAATGATTTTATTAATGAAGAAACAGAGACATAGGAGAAAAATTTCTGCAGACACTGTTGTCAGGCCTTATGAAATCTGAAAGAGTCAGACACATATTGTAGACAAATGTTTGTAGGCATAATCATAGGATGTAAAAGTCAGAGGATCAAAATCAAATGTTCAGAGCTTCCTATTCTGCAGTATAGAATAAACACAGAATAAGTTTAGTAAATGCCATGAAATACTCTGAAGTTTTAGCTCATTAACAATGTTGTCAGTTTATAGACAACAATCTGCTGAATTGCATCAACTGTCACACACTTCACAGTACCTGGATTAAAAGCTACTACTTTCCTTCCTTCCACAGAAATCCCTAACTCCACATCTTGCTTTCCCTCAGTACTCACCTCAGAGTTCACGTTCACCCAGAAGAGAAATGAAGAGAGATCACGTCTGTGTCACCAGCTTGGACCCAGATGAGACTGTTGTCAGACTGAGGGGAAAGCCTCCTCTTAAAGAGGAGACACACACTGTCTCATACACACACACACACACACACACACTCACCAGCAGTGTTTCATGCCTGGGTAATGTGCCCCACTCTACCCAATGTTGTTTTTCCTGTCTCACAGTTGTATCATACAACACTGTAAAAACAGTTTATTTGTTATTGCTTTACAGAGAAAATGGTTGCAGTATTTTACACTCCTTAAATGAAGGTGTGTGTGTGTGTGTGTGTGTGTGTGTGTGTGTGTGTGTGTGTGTGTGTGCGCATGCAACACTGCATGAACTATTCTGTTGCAGATGGAGTAAGGCGGGGGAATTTTTTTTTTTTTTTTTATTGAGGAGCTGCTTAGTCCGGCCTTCTAGGCTGAAAAGCTGCCAGAGTAAATGGAAAGTTACAGTCACAGCCATGGGTTTGTGTATGTAATCTGTGTCTCTACGCATGTCTGATCCCTCCTGTTTGCACTACAGTTTTGCTAGTGTTCCATATAAATAGGGCTACAGTTTATTTCCTATTCACAAGGTTTTAGAAGTTTTGCAAATTTAGTTAGTGATGGGGACTATATCAAAACAATAGGTAATGCTACAGTATAACTACCATCACCGCACTGTTACTATTTAGGTTGACAATTCTAGTGTTTGAAAGGTTTAGAAATAAACCCAGAAATCAAGTTTTTATTGTGTTATATTTCTTTGTACTATTGGAATCATGTAAAATACACTTTTGACTGATTGTTTGTAACTTAGATTGACCTGCGACTGCTGAATAGTTCAATGTACTTCTGCCATCATCAAGTCGCACAAAGGAAACAAACTGAATACTTAATTCAGCTGAACTAAATAAAATCGGCAGCAGTTAAAAGTCTGCTGAAGATGAAGTAAGCCAGTGTAAGCATCCCGACTGTGTGTTTGAACATGTCTGATTCTGACCCGAGCCACTCCCATTCATCCTGCTCTACTGTTATATAACTCGGTCTCTATTTTCCATTTCTCTGTTCCAAGGCAGCAGAAAAGGTAGCATTTTCTCTTCTCCTCCCCTCTCTTGCCCCCTGCCAAGTCTCTTTTATAGGTCAGTTCCAATGGATCAGGGCCAACCTCTCTTTACTGAGACCATATTACTTTCACTTATTGAATACTATCAGATTCTCCTCGCAGGGGAGGGAAAGAAAATGAGACGGAGGATCATGTGGTGTTAATTACAAAAAAGTTCATCTTTCTACACTGTGCTGGTTGGGGTATGAGTTACACTTTCACTGCTGGAGAGGTTCTGTACCTCTGCAGTGATAAGTCTGCACCATGAACATGCAAACTGTAATGAGAAAGGTTATCTATTAAATAGAAATAGTTTTGAACTCCCTTGTCAATATTCATCAACCACCCGGTGTAAGAGTTTTAAGGACAGGTTTTTAGATATAAATTTATAAAGATATAACAGAGGGAGGTACAGAAGACTTTTTTAAATGAAAACTATGGGTGTGTGATTCAGGTATTTCTACATGGTTGTAGTAACAAAACAATGCAATGGGAGGTGACAGGTATTCCAAATGTTGGTGCAATGTACATTTTGTATGTAATTTTACCTACAAGTATTACAAGGCAGTAGGAGAAAAGGGCAGCTCAGAAAATAAACATTCAAATTCAGTAAAATACTAAATTAGAAACGGCTCAATTTCAAATGTGACTGATTGCTCTGTCCAACAACAGTATTCAGCATCACCTCTATACAGCTGAATTAGCATAGAGGCTGTTGTTGTATTCTAAAATCTGGCCCAACACCCTGAATAACCCCTGCAACATTTACTATTACAGAACAGTGTGTTTCCTCACTCAGGGTTTTGAAGTAAGAGAGAGGTGGATGGAGATGCTGACAGAACAGCCACACTGCGGAAATGGCTTTTAGGAGCTTTAGGACATCTAGTGGTGAATTTGAGAAAATACACAATATCCTGCTTAAAGGACCAATTCACCAATTTTATCACAAACTTCAGCGCTTGCTATAGGCTGACATGCAATGACCAAAAAACCTCTCACTTTTATTTGATGAAGAATGATTAGAACTGAGTATGTCTGCCATCTTGTGGTTCTTGTTATATCTTGTTACATCTTGTTATAAAGAAACAATGACAAAGTGAAGTTTTTTGTTGAAGACAGTACAGAATGGGATTTCCGAATGGTTTCAAATTATATTGTTTAAATTTAATTTCTTTATTCATAAGGATCAGTGTTCACCAGTTAATTCAACTACAGTCCTTTGGTAAGATATCATAAAAGTAATGAAGTAGCAGGTTAAGAAATACAGACATGAGACAGTATGAAGCTTCAAAATCAGCATGCAGAACACACATCAAACACTAATCAAACAAAAGCAAACACTGCTCAACAGAACACAAGCAATGCAGAGCACAGAAATGGTATAATGTTGCTATTCAAATTTAAAATTTAACACTATTCTGCTTAGGCTTAAGTGTGAGCTGGTGTCACAGGGAACGTCCTTGGTGGTTTGTCTCTTATATGTCAAGTAGACAATGTTCTGTTGGCAAAGAGAAAAACAGTGGCAGTGCGCACAACGCCATCTGGTCCTGAGTAGGAAACTGTATCGGGTGCGTGGTCTTCGCTGAGTCAACAAGGTAAAGGAGATGCCAGCACTCACACTTGAATAGTTTTGTTATTTAATATGGGGCATACAAGGAACGTGTTTCAGCTTCACGCTTGTAGCTGAATCGCATTCGTTGTTTGCCACATATTAAATAACAAGACTATTCATACGTTAGTGCCAGCAATGTTCTGTTGGCATTGGCAATTTAACTCCCTCACCCAGGCCCGGATTAAGAACGCAGAGGCCCCTGGGCACAAAATCTTGGAGGCCCCCCCGCCCCCAATCCACTCTACTCACACTCACAATCCAAGGTTTTGAATTACAGGTTCCTCTGACCTCACTTGTCATCATCAGGATACAGACCATAGAGATACAGACACAGCCAGCGTTTACAAATTCAGTAACTCTGCATTCATTGGTTTGTATTTCAACATACACAAACTCAATTCATTTATATGATTTGATAAAAAAAAACAAACACAAAACAAAAACAAGAATGAAGCCATAGTTGGTGGGTGTTTGGAGGCCCCCAAGAGGTCGGAGGCTCCAGGGACCCAGTTGAGACTGTGGATAATCTGTACTTGCCTTGACTTGCCCGTCTGAATGATGCTGGGTGCTGCTGGGCTCTGTATCATGTCTCTTATTCTGTTATCTGACACAAACTCCTTAGTTATTGATTTAGTTGCTATGAAGCACCAGCACACAGTCTGTATTGTAAGCCTGGTATTGTAGATGCTGACTCACTGCCACACTGCCATGTCTTACTGGGACTTATTCTACTACGACATATCACTATATCTGCTGTGAAAAGCATCTACTTAACACACCTGTAGCCTACTGGCCAGATCGAATGCCTATTGATTTTACAGACTTTTACAGCACTATAGGCTAGGCATGGATCCTTGCTGTATTTCTTCCTCCCATGTGGTTTCCTTTCACAGCAAGATTTGTACGACCTGCTGATGAGTGCCAACTATCCCAAGAATCAAGCAGAAAAAACTGACGACACTATTGAAAATAAAACAAAAACCCAGCCACTATTTGTTTGTAAATGACTCCCTTGTATATGTGCGGGTATACAGGCCTTATGAAAGTGTTCTTCTTGACTGATAGTTGGTCTGTTGCATTAACCACAGTAGTGTACCACATCTTTTGGCTGCACAAACCTCAATTCAGTTATTCTATGTTGAGTACTTTCTCCCCACTTACATCTGTGGATTTCCATGTGCATTTAGAGTTAAGTCCCTTTAGGTAAATTCAAACTCAGGATAAAGCCTGCCAGTGCCACATGTGTGAGATAGCAGAAAAATGCACAGTTTGGCATCTAAACTGGAGGACGGCCACGAGAGAGACACCACCACCTCCAAAAAACATAAACCTTTCAACCATACAAACTTTTCTGAGCACTTATAATCTTGCTTGGTTGGCACAACTCTAACCCTAACTCCTCTAAGCTCATGGCATAGAGGCAAGCACCCTCATTCAGGCCTTGGAACACACCTATCTGATACCAGCACATTCCCATATTGAAGCATTTACATACTGTATAAAAATTGCTGCCTTAGCTGAATGATCAAGGAGGATTTATGAGTGAAATGATGTGTATCAGATGTGAACTCATCAATATTCTCAGTATATTCTGAGGTATTTTTCTGACATTGGCAGATCTGTTCTTGACTAAAATGGTTCCAGGTGTTCATGAAATGGCACAAAACTATAGCAGCATTTAATGCAACCAGAGGACGGCTCCATCAAGAAGTAGAATTTAAAAAAGCATTTTGTACAAAATATGCTAAAAGAGAAATCAGACAAACACACGGTTAAATTTTGTCGAGGGGAGTTTTACTTGTAAATCTTGCACATTTGTGCTACAATATTCTGTTTCTCTAAAAACAAACAAACAAACAAACAAAACACAGCGTCATGGTTCCCTGTATTATTTGCCCATTACTTCTTGCCCTTTTTTTCATGGAGCCCATAACACTTCTCACAGGCCATTGAGAGGCCGACGATGAGGGACATGAATTCTTCAAAGTCCAACTTGGCATCTTTGTTTTGGTCCAAATCTTTCATGATACGGTCCACGACATTAGGGTTTTGCTGGGCCTGAAAGAGAGTTGATGAGAGAGGGTGCAAAGTTAAAGTCAGAGCAAAAGGTTACGTGGGTACATTGATGGGAACTGATTATAGAGGTCAGATTTGAAAGAGGACAGAAGAGCCTTACTTTCAGGAAGGAGGGTAACTCAGTCTGAACAAGTTTTTTCAGTTCTTTCTTGCTTAAGGTCTTCCCATCGCTGTCCTCACCAGCATAGTGGTGGAAAATCACAATCAGGGACTCCATGCTTTTCTCCAACTCAGTCATGGCTCCAGAAATGGGTGCTGAAAGGAGAAAAGATGAGTATATATAATATATATAAAATATAATGAATTTCATGAGAAATATACTTTTACCTCACTACACTACCTGACAGCTGTTGTAAGTTACATTGCAGAATAACATTTTAAGTACATATAAGCATAAAGGGTGATGCTCTGCTTCAACTACCAAGCGATTTTAAAAATAGGTTTAGACCTCGATCCTCACCTTACAATATTAAAACAGCCTTTTAGAATATGAATCAACTGGGAAAGTAGAACTTTCTATAACTTTTGAACTTTTACTTCTGCAAAATGTATCATACTAACTTTTCATGGATGACTAACATTGTGGCATTGCCACATTCATTTTTGCAAACGGTAAGGCTGCAGTCAAGCAGTAGGTTTCAGTGTTTCAGCCAAAACTAACATATTGTTAAGTGAGGATGTCAGTGTTGCATTTACTGGCACTCAAAGCAAATTCTTTGTGTATTACACATCCTCTTCTGGCACACAAACTGAAGTCCTTATCTGTAACATCCCACAGCTTCTCCCTCTGTCCCTGCCTCTCCCTTCACTTCACCCTTTATTTGGTTGAGTTTCAGTAAAAAAAAAAAAAGAAAAAAAGAAAGAGGCAGGCTCTACGGACATTCAAGACAAAGAACAGTGAAATAACTTAAGAGAAGACTAACAGAGGGCCAGCCGCTACTTGTCAGAGGAGGAACCCCCTTACGTAATGCGCCTACAACGTCCAAGCCCACCCAAGAAAACATGTCGATGTTTTACTGACTTTTAACTGCGAAAAAAAGCATTGAAAAGCATTTTAGACTACATGTCTACATGGCTACATGTAGCAACTGAGTTTTACAGTATTTAGTCATAAGAGATAGTCAGTTTTCTGAATGAACTCAGGCAACTTTGAAAAGAACGTAAGACAACGACATAAAAACAAAAACAAAAAACAGAGAAGCAAGTATTAAAATAAATAGAATGAACTTACCAGGACACGAAGAGGCAGAAACTGTGGTTTGAGGTTCAACGAAGTGAGCAGGGGCTCACACACAGTTTATTCAAGAATTTATAGTCAGCTGGCAACGCCCAATATGATGGGAGGGATACAGAAGGAAGGAGAGAGAGAGAGAGAGAGAGAGAGAGAGAGAGAGAGAGAAAATAACGTGATGAAAAAGCCATGTGCAAATATTATCCCTAGCAGCGCTTTCACTGTCACCGCAACAGATACAGAGATGGATCCATAACTGTCAAATGTGGAAAGCGTTGTATCAACACCACAATAGTTGATCTTAGACTTTTAATCATGAATTTTAAAATGATGTCACTTCTGAATCAGAGATGTCCAGCACCAGCTCCATTTGAGTGCTGGCATTAAGACGCACCAACAGCACTGCAAAATGACACTAAGTAGTCAAATAACGCACACATCATCTTGCAGGATTCTGGGACATGCTGAGTATGGACAAGCCTTATAGCATGTGTAATATCTTCTTCAAAGCCTTTATTTAGCTAAGGAAGTTTCATTGTCTTTGACAGGAACGCCCTATTCATACTGACACAGTCACACCTGGAAGCTGCCCAGAACAACAGCAGTCTGATCTGATGGCCATGAAGCAGCTCCATTGGAACTGCTGGGAGTTCAAACCTTGCTCAAAGCACCTCGGTGATTTAATTTCCCGTGATTCTTTTTTTATTTTTTTTATACCATTGTTTGAAGTGTGTGAATCGTGGTCAAGCCCTTTGCTCCAATTTTTAGGCCGCCAGCGCCCCTTTGAAATGCACATAAAAACAACACAGTAAATACATCCAACCATTATTCTGTTAAACATAACAGAGTTTTTGACACAGGCCTATGTATCTACCTACATTTTACCACCTCACAGATCATCACAATCACGGGAGAGGAATAAACAAAACAACCATCATCCTCCCTCTGAAGGAGAGAGTGGCATTACCTTCAGGTAACTTCATCTGCAGAGATGGTCTTGAGTGTTAAATGCTCACCCCAGGGACATATCATCTCTAAACTGTCAAAATTCTCTTTGTAAAATGATCTTTTTAAGAGTAGAAAATTTGCTCTGTGCATCACAATTACACATCTCAGGATATATTTGACATCTATAATCAAAGTAAGAGTTGTGCCTGTCCTTTCTCACCATGGCCCAGGACCATGAAGCAGCTTTGGCTGAGTTCATTTCTCAGGGGCATTTTGACCACAGTTTGTGGGAGAGATGGATCCAAGCAAGTCGTGGTTTCTCCCTGCCTCGTCTTTTCCTACACAGTTGTCCAAAGTTCTGGCTGGCACCAAACCTAGCTAATCAAATTAACTGACACTTGCAAACTGAATATGGTTTGACAGAAAAAACAAGAGATTCAAAGTCTTTTACAAAGTTTAATTACAAAATGAATTAAACAAAAAAAAAAGCAACCTGAAGTGCTGAGGAATATACAAACAACATGATGAATCTCTTTGCAACCAGTGTAAAAACAGAGCTGAGGAGAAGGATATCAATGGAATGTAAATAGCTGTTTTGCTATTTTTATGGCCTTACATACAGTATACCAAGAACATTTCTCCATGATTCAAATTTCAGATCACTGTAAAAAAAAAAATAATTATGACATTATAATGGTTCCAAGCCTGTAATCACTCAAATGATCAATGATCAAGTAATATTCCCAAATCAAATTAAAAAAAAAAAAAAAAGTCTCTGGAGATACGCCACGGGTCATGGATTTAACAAACTACTGTGACAAAATATGCAACTGCTGTGTCGCAATGGCCGTCAGCACCTGGATAATATTGACTGGTTCGCTGGATTCAAGTGCAATCCAACAGATTCATCAGTTCTTCCTCTTGCCCTTGCTGGCAGCCTTGGCTGGTGTAACTGCGGGAACAGCTGCTTGGTAGAGAGCGGCAGATACTTTGTTGATGTAGTACAAGGCGAAGAGGGAGAAGATGAGGCTGGACAAAAAGAGAGACAAAGCAAAAGGAATACAATTGAAAAAAAAGAAAAGAAAAAAGACAGATTTGTTTTAACTGTGTAGTAAGAAGCTGAAATAGGTATTTGTGATCTACTGTTGCTTACCATGTGGTGACACAGACACGGTGCACCAGCCCAGAGGCAAACAGAGACAGGAACAGGCACAGCAGAACTGGAAGATGAGAGAACGAATAAAGCAAGTGAGGAGCAGAACCTGAATGATGCACCAGAGGACTTATATTGTGGGTTTATAACAGATAAAGTGTACATACTGTTTGTAAGATGGTATATTAAAATCACAGACCAAATGTGTATTAAAATGGTTAACTTCTATTATGCTGATGTTTCAATACACCTTAGGGATGTCACCACTTACTCTCTGGGAATATTTTAGCTTGGAATCCCTTCCCGAAAATCAGGTTTTCCAGATTATTAAATGCCTGTGAGAAACGTTAAGGCAGGATACTACATGATGGTATATCTATCTATGTTACAGATTGACTCAATAATGCTACACTGTTCTTGAGTCTTAGTCAACAAAAGGACAAAGAAAATATGAGATGTTTAATAAAAAACAGCTTATGTTAAACAAAGCATTAAAATAATTTCTAAACCGGAATCTTGTATCATGGGTTAAAGCACTTTAATCCTGAATGCCACCAAAAGGATACAGTGAGGGAGCAGATGAAGAGGACTGAACCCAGGAAACCTCCCAGGATGGTGAGCCACTCAGTAGATCCCAGCTGCTTACTGAACATCTGCATCCCAGCAAACACCAGCACTGACAGCAGACTGGACAGCACTAGTGAGGTGCCTGTGTTCACCGCTGCAAAAAGGCCAGAGATACAGTATCATCAGGAAAGTCTCAGGCTTGTTAACTTACACTCATTTGTCAGTTTATTGGGAACCGCTAGCTAAAACTAATGCAGTCTCATACAACAGTCCTCCCTTAATGAAGGTTTCATCGTTTGGTTTTTGTTGAAATTGTGTTAAAGAGTTGATGATTCAACTGTATGACGATTTTGGAGGATGTAGATTGTGGTGCTGTTGAGCTGAAATAGCATTACACAAAGAGGCGTGTCAGCAGCTCAGCCTACACTCATTGATTTGAATGAAGTGGACAAAATAATAGAAACATCTGTCAACATTACGAAATGCAGTTCAACAACACCACAGACTACACCATCCAAAATGATCGTGCAGGTGAATCAGCACCTCTCTAACATAGTTTCAACAAAAAGTGATCTCCATGACGGAGGACGTTTTGGCTAGTTTATTGTTACATGACACTGAATCTGGAGCTAAACTGATATGGAGATTCAAAAACGAAACCTGGACTAGATACATATTACATTTATCTCGCCACTCGTCCCTAATAAGAACAAGTGTTGGCTAGACAGATTAGTTTGGGGATTATGAGAGCAGGTGTAGTTGTTTCAACTGTCAGTTTGGGCCTATATCATAGACTCACAGACCACAACTTAAATATCAACTCTCTGATTTAAAGTGGGTTGCTGACCTAACTCTTTCCAAACGTAACGCCACGTCAGTGTTCGCACACAATCGTTTCCGACACATAGCTATTAGCTTCATGCTAAACAACCCCCGTTCGCAAAAACAAGCCCCAGTGAATATAACGCTCCACATACACAGAAAAACCAGAAATGGATCTTGATGTTGTTTAAGACAAGTTACATGGAGTGAACATTTCTGCTGCTATCACTCAGTCACCTAGCGTAGCATACTTCTGAACGTTAGCTTGCCCGCAGAACTGGACGCTAACAATTTAAATATCTATGTAAATACAAACGCGCTCTGTAAGATTAATTGACCGATAAATTGATCGTGCAATACGTACCCATTATTCAATGTTAAATTACACTCCTTGAAATGAAACAGAGGAGAATTGGGTTTACTTTCGTTGAGCCAGCGAAATGTCCAGGCTCTAGGAACTGAAAAACTAACCACCCGGTCCAAATAACAGGTGGGACCAGTGGGCGGAGACAAAGGACTCCTGTGCATCATCAGTAGAAGTTTCTTTTCAGTGATTTACGTACAATGATATATTCTTTGTCTTTAAAAATTAAGGTCGTCTCCTCACCTCATGTCACTCACTTCAGATAAGAAGTTACTCAAAATTATTTTTCACAATAATATTTCCAATCAATGGCATATAACACATAACGAAGGGAGACTTTCTTCCTACAGTATTTCTATTCTGTAAATAACTTAAACATGTAAAAACAAAGAAAAAAATTTATGGAAGATAATGTGATATTTGTTCTTTTCCTCTGTTGTTTTTCGTATGTCTTTGTATATTTTACTTCTATAATTTTCCATTTATTATTTGCAACATTTATGTTATTTAATAATATTTTATCAATTTATAAATGTATTAACCATGGTTTATTATACTTGCCCGTGCCTCTCTGTACACTCTGTATTAACCCACGATTCACATGCTTGAATGGACACTGGATTAAGACCATGGTTGTGGTAAGGGTCTGTAATCTGGGTGAAGGAGACAGTGTGTGTGCACACTGTGAAAAAGGTGTGTCTGGGAGACAAAAATAGATCAGAGTGCCAAAAGGATTCAGAGCAAACAGAAAAGACAACCATAAATAGTTTGAGACAGAATTTGTACAAAATGTATTTGGGATTATAGTAGCATTCTAAGATTTTCAGAAGAAATCTGATAAACAGACAAAGAACTTCAGAAAACCACATCAATGATTACTCACAACAACAAAAAAAGTTGTCATCTCTTGACATGTCCTTTCAACACGTTAAGAATAAACATAATAACACAATAACTTTTTCATCCATTTTATTCAAAATATAGAAAAATATTTAAAAAACAAACATTACAGACAGAGAGTGGCTTGTATATTCCCTTGATGATTGCTGGCTTTGCTGTTGATGCATTGAGACAGATGTCCATATCCTCACTATTTGGTACCACTTCACATCAGGACTGTCTTTCATAATGGCTTCTTCTTCAGGCCAAATACAGCTATAAACAGGAGAATCTCCACAAAAGCAGGTAGCACACTAGAGGGAGACAGACAGGGACAGAAATGTAGGGAGAACACATCCACATTACATACCTGCATGTGCCTTCATACTTAATACTTACTGATACTTAATTGTTTGTACTTACGACTCTCTGACTTTGATCTCTTTACTAATACAAGTACAGACACACACAAACTTTCACACACACACCAACCTGCAGACTGCAAAAATAACCCAATACGTCCAGCATTCCCACTTCTCAAACACAAAGAAAGACAAGGAGACGGATGCGCTGCAGTGGACAGCCAGTGCTGGTTAAAATATCTGTCAGGGAAAAAACACTTTGGGAAAAATAAACACACAATATTAAGTTGACACACACTAACCTGCAAATGGCAAGGATCCACCAGTAGATGTCACACTCCCACTGCTCAAATAGAAAGAAAAGCAGAGCCACTGAGGCACTGGCATGGACTCCTGTTGCTATTGTAGACGAAGAGGCGAATATACAGAGGTTGGAGTCATGGAATTGTAACCGATGACTAGACTGATTTTTTAATATCATTTATCTCTTTTATCTGCCTTTGTACTTTGCTACATTTAGAGGGCTTCAGAGGAGATATTTAATTTGACCCTAATTTCATGTTGAAGCTGACATCATTTCTAGGTCAAAATTAATTGCCACCTTAAATTCTCAGTCCAGGAGGAAGATTTCTGCACTGGAGACCCATATCATCATCTCAGTAAAACTGTATAATTATGATTTTTTTGTATTCTTTGCACACGATAGTGAAAAGTCATACATGTAACTACAGGAGATAAAGGGGTATAACCAGCAACAAAGATCCCCACCTGGAATTGAACAAGGGTCATTGCACTTATGTGACCTTTGCTATGACAATTTACCTGCCAAGGCACTTGATGGGATATAATTTTAGACGAAAATATATTTACTGTTGAGCTGCCCTGTTGATGGATATTAGTTTCTGTTCATCTGCACATATATCAATGATATCATTATCATATATCAGCTATCATAAACGATGAACCCAATATGTCACTGTGAAGGATACACAAGAGACCTTGGCTGCAATTGAACATGGACACTCCTGAGAGGAACCCAGCCAGCTCTATAGCAAACAGACCAAGTGTGACCGCCAATGCCACCACCAACCTGAAACAAATAGACACGTATTAGAGAGTGTTTTTTACGTACTTTGAGTTATATTTCTCAAACGTTTTCTTACTCTCTGTCCTCATAGTCATATTGCTCTTGAGTGAAATCCAAAGGCAAGCACGCCTTTACGTTGTTTTCCTGTAAAACAACCGTTATAAACAGTTCAGCAACAGAAACAGAAGACGAGTGACAATTTGTCAAGACATAAGATCACAATAATCCTTAAAACGCACATAACCCGCTGTCCTCTTTACTTACCCTCGACCAAAAGATAGTGATAACGATTACAAGGTGAGCTATGATGGTAAGAAACCGTGCAGGGACGAGACTGCTGACAGCCGACATGCTAAGGTTGCACCTATTAACTTAGAGTCAGACGATGTGTGAACTAAAATACAATACGCAACGAGTGCGGAACAAGCAACAAGTATTCTTATATTATTTACTGCAGCTGTGTCTTGCAGCTATCCCAGTGTCAAATTCCCGTCTTTTCTAATTTAGCATTTTAGCTACAGTACCATAATTTAGTTAACTTTATCTAAAACACTAGAACACAAACAACGTTGCTCGAAGTAAAACGTGAGCTAAATCTAGATGAATTGCTTTTAGTTAACATGTCGCTCCTTCAACCAGAATCGGTTTTCACTAACTAAAAACACACGACTTTCACGCTGATATTGTTAACGGTAAAGATGGTTGCTACAACAACCGCCTAGTCGGTACATTCTTGATAACTGACCGGACGAACAATCAACATTCAAAGGTTCCGGACACGGACCACAATTGAGAGAGGACTGGTCGTGTTTTTCTTCCACAACATTGCCATCTAACGGCAACACGAAAAACTGGGCCACAAATAAATTTGGCATATGCAAATTTTGGGGTTACGGAGGCACACGAAGAACCCCCGAAAAATCAACGACCAGTAGACCGTGGGCAGGAAACAGGGACAAAGCAATGCGTTCAAAAAAATACTCTGTTCTTACAACAAATACCCTGCATCAACTGTTATTATAAGAATATGATGATTACACCGGGTTTTTTTTTGACATCGTCAAATATGTATCAATTAAAATAAATAAGCTATTACTGTAATCCATTCTAACTGTAACATATTGATAGTTCCTTGGCCAATGCGGCTGTGATCTCGCTTGTACCTCCACACACCCCTCCTCTTCTCCCCCCGCAATCCTATTTCTACGACGACTCGTAGCTAGACAGACAACACATAATCACCGTGTGCGCAGCAGCACACATCAAGCAACGGAAAACCACCAAGAGCAAATCTGTTGTCACGGTTCACCGGTCCGGGCCTATAGGTTCATCTTAACGTTGATGCGCCTGAAACAACCTGTCCCCGGCTTTTCCACCGAAAATAAGCTCCATCCGCTGCATCGCAGAGACGGTGGCATCGTGGAAGCATGGCAGATGCGGAGTTACAAACCTTTACCTCTATCATGGATGCGCTGGTTCGCATTAGTGTAAGTATGACGCTCATTTTTATTATCAACCATATTTGCTAATTTTAAACGAGATATCACAGCCTACATGTCTTTTTCCCCCATCTGTATATGTAACCACAGAATTTTTCACCATTTTACCCCTCGACAGCCTCTGAATGCACAGGTAGCATGTGCGTTGAAGGAATGTGAGATATGTCTTCCTTTTAGAAGATTTTTTTTGGCATCTAATCAAAGAGAGATGCCTTGCTCTTTGGCAAAGCTCTAGCACTGTGGGTGGAAGTAAGACCACAAATGACATACCCACGAAATCCAAACGTTGTAGCAGATGAAGCAGTATATGTTTGATGCTTATAATCATCAGATTATGCTAACATTAGCTGAAAATGCTTGCTTACGGGCCGCACACGATGAGCAGGCAGAGATGATGCTCGTTGTCATAGAAACGGGATGCTGCGTTCAGCAGCTGCAACACTGGAGAAGAGCCTGTGTGTAAAACCGAGGCCGGCGACCACAAAAAACAGAAAGCTGCATTTATTTTATTGATTTGAAAATCTCCTCACTTGAATAAAGGCCTCATACTCTGTTACCAACCATGGTATCCTATGCCAGAGCTGGCTAAGCTAATGCTACAAAAAAATTCAGAAAGAAAAGGTGAAATTAGATGATTAAAATCATATCAAGGGAGACTGGCTAACACCTGAAGTAGGGGAGAGCTATTTTGCCTCTACATTTGCCCTTCCTGTGTTCCTTTTTTCCAACATCAGCCTACGAAACCAGTATCTGCATCAGCTCCCCCTCTCGCTTTTGACTCCTACACATTTCATAGGCCTATACATTTTTTTCAGGTCACAGGAGGTGCAGAATCTAAAGAGCAACTGATTCTCTACTTAAACCAGTGACTCAGCCTTTATCTGGTCTGACTCCTCATTCAATTCTCTCCTCTCCAGTCCAACATGAAGAGTATGGAACAGGAGCTGCATTGCCCGGTGTGTGATGAGATGGTGAAGCAGCCCATCCTTCTGCCATGCCAGCACAGTGTGTGTCTGCTGTGTGCGGCTGAGGTGTTGGTACAGAGAGGTTATCCTCCTCCAGACCTCCCTCCAGAGCCCAACTCACCGGCCTCCACACCCAACACTCGCTCCCCGCGACAGGCACGCAGACCCACACCAAGGACCCCTGACCGCCTGGAACGGGTCCTCAAAACAGGTAGAGGGAGGATGTGGAGTAGATGTGTGTGCATGTATGTGTTTGGTACAACTGAATGGGAATATTACGTGGGCTGGCAATAAGCTTTGCTCTTGTGTGAGGGAAAAAAAACTGAATGGTCTCAACATCCAAGTGACCAAAGAGTGACATCATGATTTAGAAATGCAGAGATGATGGTGTGGTGTGACGCCACTGTCCTCTTAAGCATCTGAGTTTCACAGATGATCTAGCTGAGACATCAATACCCTGCTGTATATCCAGAGCTTTATGCATTCATCAGATGACTTATTTAACTGCATGTAGAACAAGGGACACAGAGGTAGAGAGAGTCAAGGAGGTAGAAGAGGGAGTAAGCATCTGTGGAGCAGGTGTTTTCAGACAATGTGTATGTGTAAGCAAATAGCATTTCCTCCGCTGTGACCTGACCTTTATTTATCCCTGTGTTCTATATAGATATATGAGGGACAAACAAGAACTCTGCTTTTTACCTTTTCTCACAAGTCTGTTTCTCTTAATTCACTTAACAACTGCCTCACATCCTCATACAAATCTTCCATTCTACAAACGCTCACTTTTTCTCCTCTACATCTCCACCCATCTCTTTCATCTCCATTACATCTGTGTCCTTCTCCCAGTGTGTGGGACATATCCAGGGCGGAGGCGGAGGGACACGGCCACTCCCCCCATGTTGTTCCCATGTCCTTCCTGCCAGCAGGACGTGGAGCTGGGAGAAAAAGGCCTGACAGACTGCCTCCGCAACCTCACTCTGGAGCGCATTGTGGAGAGGTGTGCATATGCACAAACACCATAAATACAGTGTATATACTGTAACAGACAGAGTCACAGGCACAGTCAGGCACAGTCAGACCTTATGATGCTACCTCGAACATGACTTGTGTGTGTGTGTGTGTGTGTGTGTGTGTGTGTGTGGGGGGGGGGGGGGTTATTTTGTCCGGTGATCGTCATTAGTTTATTAACAGAAATCAGAAACAAAGTAATCACTGTTTTGGAAAAAATCCCTTTAACCACTCACTGCAGGCAATGAAGAGAGGCAGCAGATGAGGGATAGAGTCAATACTACTTTATAAATGAGACAGGAAATCATTTGCTGGAAGGAGTTTCAATAATGAATCTTTCCTTTTCCCCAGATCCAAGGCTAAGCCTAAGAGCAGATTGCAGGGACAGCTAAAAACTGCAGTGTTTGACAGTGTTTGACTCTGGTAAAATGGTTACATTGACAAAAGTTAAGTTTGGCAACTTTATAGTGAATTACCTCATATCCCTGTCAAATGTTAATCATTGGCTTCTCTTATCAGTTCAAATAGTGAAGATCAAAGTGAGAGGAGCTGCTCTTGAAAGAGTGTTCTGCGATGGTGGTGGTGGTGGTGGTGGTGGTGGTGGTGGGGGGAGGGGGGTATGGGGATAGGCAGTTTCCCAGTTTCACACACAGCAGTATGATGAGTGCAGCTGCTCCCTCCCCAGGCAGTGGTTGTTTTGGTCAGGAGAGTGTGACGGTGCATGTTTTACTGCGCAGAATGCACTAACAAGACAGCTGCTGGTGGTGTATCCAGGTCAGGCATTTAAAGAGTTGAACTCCCTAACTACTGAAAAGAGAGCAGGGAAAACCCAGATGAGCTCAAGTTTCTCCATCTTTACTTGCTTTCTTTCTTTACCGCCCTTCACTAGCACCACCCTTATCTCCCTGTGCCCCTTGTCTGCCCTCTAGGTACAGGCACACAGTAAGTCTGGGCAGCGTCGCCATCATGTGTGGTTTCTGTAAGCCTCCCCAGTCTCTGGAGGCCACTAAAGGCTGCGCTGACTGCAAGTCCAACTTCTGCAATGAGTGTTTCAAACTCTACCACCCCTGGGGAACACCCCGAGCTCAGCACGAACACATTCTACCCACAAACAACTTTAGGCCAAAGGTTTGGCTGCTTTTGTGTTTTGAACGTGACATACAGGAGCTTTTCCTCTATTGTCACTTTGCCTTAATCCTCATTTGTGCTCTAGGTCCTAGTGTGCTCAGACCATGAGCAAGAGAGACTGCAGTGGTACTGCCGTAACTGCCAGAGGCTGCTGTGCCCACTGTGCAAGCTTCGACGTGTCCACCATGGACACAAAGTGTTACCGATAGCACAGGCCTACCAGGCCCTCAAGGTACGTTTGTGTGAAGTCTGTTTGTACTGTGTCAGGATCCTGATCAGGATCCAGCTTTCAAATGTTTACTTTTGTTTTGGTCTTACAGGACAAGGTCACCAAGGAAGTCAACTTCATCCTGGCCAATCAGGACATAATACAGAGCCAGATCACACAACTGGAAGCTGCCATCAAACAGATGGAGGTGAACCAGCTTTTCTCTGTTTTGTTCTACCTCTGCTTTGTCAAAGCAGCTGTTTCCTCGTTATCTTTGTACGAGTGGAACAGAATTCGTCACACACTATATTGTGGTCTACACAACCAATCATTAGTGTTTGAAGGCAATGTGTTGGCTTAGAATTTAATTTGTGTTTCCTTGCAAAAAGCAAACGTGTCTTGTTTAGAGGAAACAGCTTTTTTATTGAGCTTTAGTACAATAGGAAGCCATCCCCAGTCTCTCCCCTGGTACTTTACTGTAATTACAACTGCATCTATGGGGGCAGGTAGTATTATTGTGCCCTCTAGAGGCCTGGGGCTCTAGTGCAATGGCGCACTCTTGTACTGGCAATAGCCAAACCATTGTCTCTGTGTTGTCATTTCCAATTTGTAATTGCCTCTTCACTCAGTGGCTCATTGGAGTCCGTTCTGTCGGTCTGTCTGTCTGTAGGCTAACAGCGCAGCAGCTCTGCAGCAGCTGACCCACTGTATCCGGGAGCTGGGAGCGGCTGTAGCCGAGCGTCAGACGGCTTTGGTCCTGGCCCTGGAGGGATCTCGCAGCAGGAGGGAGGAGGCCCTGTCTGCTCAGGTCTCTGAGAGGCGTGGGCTGCTGGAACACGCAGGTCTGATGGCCTACACACAGGAGCTGCTCAAAGAGACCGATGCACCCTGCTTCGTGCAGGCTGCCAGAATCACTCACAACAGGTACCTGCAGCGAACACATGCTCAGCTGAATCTTGAACTTGGGAGGAATTAATTGGTTAGATTTAGTTTGTTTTTTTTCCAAGTTTGTTTCTTCTCTTCTTCATTCTGTCACCGTGTTTCTCTCCCTCCAGGCTGGTGAAGGCCATAGAAAACCTGCAGTGTTTCTCTCTCGCTGCCGATCCCTCCTTCAGACATTTTCACTTGGACGCATCCAAAGAGGTGAAGCTCATCAACAGCTTGGAGTTCATACGTGGTGAGCTTCTTTGTTTCTTTGATGTGAACCATTCAAAAGTGACATTGTGCTTTTTTGGATCTCAGTAACCTGTATCTTTCCATCGCTTTATTTCCTCCACAGCCCCACTGGCTCCAGTCATTGACACTCAGAAGACATTAGCCTATGACCAGCTCTTTTTGTGCTGGCGCCTCCCTCAGGACTCGGCCCCGGCGTGGCACTTCTCTGTTGAATACCAGCGACGAGCAGGAGGAGCTGGAGCGGCGTGGGGCGGCACCAGATCCCCCAACTCTTTGATAGCATGGCTGCGTCTGGATGAAGTGAGAGGGATCAGTGCCGTGATTGATCGACTGCAGATGGACAGTGTGTATGTGCTCAGGGTGAGAGGATGTAACAAGGCCGGGTTTGGAGAGTACAGTGAAGAGGTGTACCTCCACACTCCACCGGCACCTGGTGAGATATGTAGACCTATAATATGACATAATCAGATTTTTTTACATTTCATTCATTGCAAAAAGTACAAACATACAATATTTTGATTTGAATATTTTTCCAGTGTTGTCATTTTTCAATTGATTGACTAATCTTGACAATTCTTTTCTCTCCATCCCTTTATTTCTTCCATCCCCACCTTGTTTTTTTATTTTAGCATCTTCACCAAACCTTCCTTTTTTTGTTCTGCATTCCAGTTTCATCCCAGTCAGGCTCTTTCTGCTTCTGTCTCTCTTGCTGCAGGTCTGTCTTTCAAAAATTCTTCACTCTTTGTTTATATTGTCCATTGTATCTCTTGCTATTATTCTACACATTCATCCTTTTAGAAAAAAAACATTTAATCAATGTCATTATCTGATTTGCTGAAACAATATGCAGTTAGAGTGAATGTTAGCTCTGCTCTGTTCCTCATGTTGACTGTTTAAGTCACTTCCTATTTTTCTCTTGGATACACCTTTTTCTCTGGATCTGCCTCTTATCCAGCGTCTCTTCCCACTCTTCTTTAGCTCTTTTTCCATGATGTGTTCAGACTTGCTGTAGTCTGAGTCTGTCTCAGTTTCAGGATCTAATCCTTCCTCCCTCCCGACTCCTCTCCTTTTACCTACCTTACTATCTCTCTCTCTTTACCCCTCCTTTCCCTCTTGTTACGCCTCCTCTCCTCTCTCCTCCTCCCAGTGTTGAGTTTCTCCTTGGACTCTCGCTGGGGTTTGCATGCTGACAGGCTGGCACTGGGTAAAGGCCAAACCTACGCCCGCAGCGTGCCAGGCCTCGCCCTCCTGCAGGCTGCTGATCGCACGCTCACCTCTTGCCACTTGACTTCTGACCTGCTGGTGGCCGACCTGGCTGTCACTCAAGGCAGACACTACTGGGCATGCTCTGTGGAGCCTGGGTCCTACCTGGTAAAGGTGAGAGGAAGTAATGTTGGGCAGTTGTTTTGATATTATGCTGTATATATATATATATATATATATATATATTATGGAATCAGCTTTACCTCACATGCTGACTCAAAGTGGATGTGACTAAAGCTTCCTGTCTTTCTGTTTCTCTCTCTTGCAGGTGGGAGTAGGGCAGGAGACTAAGCTACAAGAGTGGTTCCATCTCCCTCAGGACATGGCCAGCCCTCGGTAACTAAATCTTACTATTCTAAATATACAACACTGTGGAACCCACAGTGTTTCTTATGAAAACAAATGTACTGCACTGAAAAAGAAAACGAGATATGAATAGGATTTATATATTGGTAAATGCTCTTATTGATGCAAGTTAATTCACTGACATGCGTCCTATACATCGGATTACGAGCCATGCCAGAATTGTAATTTTTGTCAGATTTTTACATCAGGATTTTTAGATTTTTTTCTTGATGTTTCGGCCACTCGCGGTCAGTGGAACAACCTTTAAATACAACACTGACATAATATCTATCACCTGCTGCTGTGGACGGGACTGATGAGAGCGAGACTGAAACAAAACGGTAAAGTTATAGGTCGTTAAACTGAAACAGTAAAGGGGAAGATGCGGAAACGCTCTGAGTGGAACTGTAGAGTCAGGTGATGATTCCCACTAGGGTTCAACCAGAGAAAGTAACACTTGATAACATCAGAATAAGAACTAATTAACTTTCTGATTCTGCTTCTTTTTTTTTTGTAATCCTAAAACATGTATTGTATTTTTTTTTCTCACTCTGCTTATGCCAACTGTGGTTTTCCCTATTAACAGTTATTCTAACAGTTTGTAGTAAGAGCAGTGGAATATTTCACATCTTCAGGTCTTAATGTATTTGAACATATAGTTTAAGATTCATAAGGTGCATTTTCATCCTTCATTTAGCTTCTGTCTTGTTCAGCCATATTTTCTCCTCCCCTCTGCCTTCCCACCAGCTGTGACCCAGACAGTGGTCATGACAGCGGGGCGGAGGACGGCCAGGACTCCCCTCCCTTCTGCTTCCTCACCATGGGCATGGGCAAGATCCTGCTTCCTCAAGGACATGGTCACAGTCAGAGCCAGGGGGACAGCCAGAGCCATGGAGGAGTCCACTCCCACAGCAGCAGCCACAGTAACCTGCCTCACCCTCATACTGCTCCTCTGCCTCCCCGACTAGGAGTGTGTCTGGACTGTGATAAAGGACGAGTCACCTTCTATGATGCCCACTCGTTGCGGATCCTGTGGGAGGGACACGTGGATTGCTCAGCTCCAGTGTGTCCGGCCTTCTGCTTCATCGGCGGAGGAGCGCTGCAGCTGCAGGATCTCGTGGCCAATCGGAGCATTGAGGAGCCGCCGCCTCGGAGGGTAACCATCCAAACACGAGCAACAAATCTGAGTAAATAAATGAGGAGACAGTTCACTCACAGATCAAAGTTTGTCTCATGTCTCTAGAGTTAAAGGTGGTTTATATTCACCACTTTATGTGGGTTGAGGATTAATTGCCTTTGATACTGAATTGAACTGTCACTGCTGAATATGTTTACGTTTTTTCCTGATCTGACTATAAATATCTGATGTTCTTTTGCATTTGCACCTGAAAATATCAAATCTATCTTTTGGCTTGATTTATTTATCATCTTTTCCTGCTTTCTTTCTCCTCGACTATGGACATTGTGGCTGAAGTGATTTTAGACTATGCAGAAATCTGTTGACAGGGTGAGTCAAACACCTTTATAACAGGTTAAAAAAAATCGGTTTGCAGTGTAAGAAAAATTTGCTCTCCCTTTACACTTGTCTTAATTTGTCCCAGAATGACCGGACAACAGAAGTTGCATGCAAGTGTAACTAGGATTCATAACTTACATATATGCAGATAACTGACTGTCACCTTGTAAAAGCACCTCAGATGTACTGTATGTCTAATTTTCTATCTTAATTTTTAATGTAGCTTCAACAAGTGTTAACAATGTGTACATAATGCAGAATTAGAGAATGTGAATATTCCTCGGTTGTTGAATTGTGAAGTTCTGCTGGCTCGAGTCAGGATCACGTGTCTCTGTGTCTAAACAGTTGGAATTTTATATAGTCACTGTTTTGCATTTCAAAAGGACTCGTGTGGCATTTCGGCTGGGTAAACATGCTCACAGTTGCCTCCGTGTTTTCAGATTACAACAGAAATGAAATGACAGTAAAAAAAAAAAAAAAAAAAAAAAAAAGAAGGGTTCTGAAGAATAATGTTCTCATCATGCTGGTTGACTTATAAACATGCGAATACATTTCAGTGTTTTACATTCTGACAAAAGTTAAAAATGTAGATGGCCTACTTGTCCAGTATTAAACTGTGGTGTTTGAGTGATTTGCACATACATATTAATGATCGGCTAGAGGAAGTGGATGGAAGTAGGTCTATTTTAAGAGCTCTGGTTGACTTTAAATTTGACTTTTTTTTTTCTATAGCTTTTGGTTTTCCTACTGCAACTGCCAGTAGCTCAATTAGTAATTGACTAAACTGATTCACAGTTATGTTTGGGGAATGTAAGAGCCCAGGTATGTATCATTTCAATTCAAGAGATTGTCTATATTCTAATATTTTCAAATCAACTGACTCTGACTGTATTTTGATATATGGTATGATTTTCTGGTGTGTGTGTGTGTGTGTGTGTGTGTGTGTGTGTGTTTATGTGTGTGTATGCGCGTGTGTTTTCAGAGAGAGAAAGAGAGATCTCTGGCTGTGTGTTTCATGCTTTCTGATGTGTGTTTGTCTGTGTGTGTGTTTGTCCTGTCTTGAAGAACTTGTCCAGACTCCTCTACTTGTGTTACAGAACAGCACTTGAATGACTTTAGACTGTAGCATCTCAGAAATCAGAATCTACAAATGAAGACTTTGCCTTGCTGGCAGAATGTTTCTATCATGTCATGAGAAACACAATAAATGACTGATAACTGTAACATGGAGTCACTTTGTGTCAAATAATGGCCACACTGGAAGCTATGAAGTGAACTGTAGAACATTTTGTATTTACAGTTTTATCAGTAAATGCTGTGATGTTGCCTTTTTTCTGCTCTCTTGAAACAAAAGCAGCTGGAAACAGGAGTGGCTGTCTACTGTCTACTCATCACTCGCTCCCCTGATACAGTTAAGGCAGAAACTTTTTCTTTAGTCTATGTCTTCCTGTTTTTTTAAGTGCTGACAGCAACTTTTAAATTCTAACCTTCACTGGCAATCACGGAGAACTCTCTTGGTTCTAAACCTCTTTTATTTTCAGCACACCACCCTACAGCCAAAATTATAATCGTGTCAAATGCAACTGTCGTTTTAATTGTCATGTGCTATTAAGCTGTCACATTTTGACTGACTGTAAACATCAGGACAGTGCTCTATTAGGGATTATAAAGACAGACTCTCTTTGTTTAAGTGTCACGGAAGAACTGATGTCTATGAGTGCGTGGTGCCAGGCTGCAAGTGAGGGCAAGTGTTCCCTTAATCACTGCAGTGTGCCAGAGCTGCATCTACAGGTAAAGTGGATCCTCTGTGCCACAAGGTTTAAATATAATAATCCTACTCTGTTCAGAACCAGGGCACACCTTAGGACAGCTGATACGGAACTAGAGAGGGGCTAAGAGTTCAACATCTTTATTATACGTGAACAGAGGACGAGTCAAGAGAGATGAGCCAGTTTACTGGTAGTTATTACTTTGTTTTAACAAGCAATTATGACCCAGACGGTGACAAATGGGGAAGTTCCACAAAGGTAAAAGAGTCAAGTTCAGATATTGTGTAACACCAGAGGGGTTGTGCATTTGTCATTATCGTTTTACAATAACAGGGAGCTGTTGCAATCTGTTTGCTGTCGGAGTCTGCAACATTAAAAGTTTGCCATTAGGGGGCGACATTGTTTGCGCTTTGATTTTTTTTCCCCTCTGTCTGCTGTGGAAAAAAAGGATTTAGCCAGCAACAGGTGCAAGATGTGTCAACACTGACTGACCACAAATCTGTGATAACATGTCAGACATCACAAGTTAAGAGCTTTCAGCCTCTGCTTGGTTCCTCTGAGCCAAACCTTGTGCTACTCACTGATTTACACCTGGAAGAACCCCCCACCCCCCATTCTCTAATCTAAATAATTAAAATGTACATGTGCAACGATCAGCCAAGTCTGATTTTCATTAATTGTCCCTTGACAGAATGCACTTACAAAATTAAAGCCAGTCTAACATATTAATTACAGTTAGCTGCATTGAATTTACACCACACAAGCAAAACTACAGAACCAACATTAATACCACATTGGAGCTCACTATTAATCTAAACAGGGGTTAACTTCAGTGCAAGATGTGTCATAGAAAAATCATCAACTGAAATGTTTCCTCTCTCACTCTAACACCACCTGCACAGGGCTCTGGTCCCAGTGTGGTTGTGTAATTTCTTTACACGTGTTTACCTGACACAACTCCTCCCTACAGAGGTTAGGCCGGTGTTTTTCTGTGTGTTTGCACGCAAACGTGTGGGCGTGAAATTTACCTGAATTAGTACTATTGTCCTTGTGAGATGATTTAATGATGGGGTTTTTTGACAAAGTTAGTCAAAAGATGAATAAGCAACTACACTACAGTATGTACTAATAATGGGCAAAGGCTTATAAAAGTTTATAATTTCAGACGTATACAAATGAAAGTGTAATTAAAAGATATTTTACCTATTTTGTTAGTCTTTGAATGTTTTATATTGGAGTCATTAACTATGATGAAACTACAGTATTTGACTGGCCAATTAAGTTCTGTTTGATGTGTTGTCTTTGACTGCTAAAAAATGCGTGCCATGCAGAATAAGTTCCACACGCAATGAGGTGTAGCAAACTTTCAAATGTGCATACAGTGCAGGAAGCTGCAGAAATGTTTGCTAATGCAAGCACAGACTCCAAGTCCCCTGAACAGCTGTGTCTCCTGTCTTTCCTCAGCACCTCTGCACATCACAACGGACGTGTATGTTCTGCCTACAGTACATACACACACAGATGCCAACTCTCCCCCAACATAAAAGCCTCCACAAGCTCCATCTGTGGTTTGCACTTTTTCCAAAAGAGAAAAAAAAAAGGCTGAGAAATCATCAAACAAAATGGATCTCCACCAATGGATGAAGATTGTGAACATCACCAAAACTATTTTAGTCTGCAACTACACTGAATCCCACACACACCCACTCAATCAAATCCAAATCCACTTTCCATGGTTGCCATTCAAAAACACTTCCAAATCCACATTTCCAAATACACACACACAAAAACCTGCCACATGTGCGTGTTCTGGATGGATGCCAAAGTGAGCAAGCGTGCTCAGACAGGACCAAAGCCCCACAGGCTCTGTGAGTATTTTTGTGTGAGTGTCTGTGTCATTTTTAGACTGGAAAAACATTAGCTCTCCATAAAGTCCTTCCCTGTCCTGTAACACCTGCTTGGCTTGATTTTTAGTTGTAGTCTTCACAACTATAATCTGCTTCGTGGCAGTTTTCACTTTATAAGTATTAGAAATGAGAATAACAATTAATAGAATAAGAAGTTTGTGAGTTTGATCCAAATGTATTTATTAACTTCTGAAACTAGCGCAGTGATAGATGAGTGATGATGAGTTGAATTAAATATTGTGCCTGTAATGCTGCTGTTGTCAGATCCACTGGTTTCAAACACAGTCTGCTGGTGATACCTGATATGATTTATATCAAAGGTGAAATGCGTATGTTCATCCTTGCTGACACTGTTTTGGTCCGTAGGCTGTCCTCTGACAGCTTAATGACTGGCTGTCCACATATCACTTCGCTCACTGCTCCCATTCTGAAGGGCGGCAGAAACAGGAGGAGGAGGAGGAGGAGGAAGAGGATGAAGGAGGAGGGAGCAAAAAAATTTGGAAGACTGAGACAGGACATACTGAACCACACTCAAAGCCTTAGGACACACTGGAGGTTCTGCCTGTTTATCTATTTCTGTGGCAGAAGTACAGAGCAAAGGTCTTTTAGCACCAACTGGCAGCAGCGAAAGAGCTGAAGAGTCACATTTTTGTATGTGTGATGTGTTTGTGTCAGAAAAAGGAAGGTGGTCTTTGTGTGTAACCTGCGATGCATGCATTGAGTTCGTGTGAGAGCCCCTCAGCTGTGCAGCCTCCAGGCCCTGAGGAGAAAAATGCTGATTACAAAATCAAAACAAAGGCGGAGAACCTGGTAAAACTGGGGATAGAAAGTCACTTGCTGCTCCCTGCACATGGTTCTCCTATAAATACCTACAGCGCCAAATGCATTTACAAACAAGGGAGTGCATGAATATGCATATACACCAATAAAAAGCTATGACAGAAAGATTATGTATGAATGTTAATTGGGCGACTTCTATGTGCAGTTCTTTGGCAATCAGTGAAATCTCCCGCATATCAAAAACACTTGAAGTGAGACGGCTCTTCTGCTTATAAACGCCATATAAATCTTAGACTGGCTGACAGTTTCACAAGGCAGGCCTGATTATCACTGCAGATGATCTGAGTGTACAAAACATGGCAGCCAACTGTATGACAATTTCATAAATGTATGAGCAGGACTGTGGGACATCCAAGTCAAGGAGTGAAAGGTGAAGGAGAAGACTGATAAATTGAGCAAGAGAAGGATTAAGGTGACACGAGTAAGAGATATGATTCAGGAAAAGATAAAGAAAAAAAAACAACAGTGAGAAAGAGATAAATGACATGACAGTGTGGAAGAATAGGAGGAACAATAGCTGTCCATGGGAATAATTATATAAATAAGTCAAGGGAGGACTGTGACAGAGATGACTGCGGTGGGTGAGGGGTTGTCAGGAAAACTGAGAGAAGCACATTCCTTCTTTCTCTCTTGTTCTCTTCAAAACAGCAGCTGGGACAGGTGTGCTTTTACTGGTGGCAGAAAGTGCACAGGCTGCTGACTGCCTCCCAGTGTGCTGTGTATATGCTGTGTGTGTGTGTGTGTGTGTGTGTGTGTGTGTGTGTGTGTGTGTGTGTTCATATGCTGAGTATGCACACTTTCTGGCTGCAGATTGCATGCAAGCAGAGACTTTGTTGTGTGTAATTACTGGGGAAACAAACCCCACAGATGAGAAGTCGCCCATAATGACAAAAATAGACATCTGAATGCACACATGGTGTTTGTTGGGCAGAGATTGTGAGAGAGTGTCTGTGTAAGAGACAACACAGTGCACGTGCAATGTGTGGAGGCCTAAAGGATGTGTGCAAAAGTACAAGAGTCAGCTTGTGTGTGTCTGTTGTTTAAGGAGACAGTCTCTACTTCAGGAAACAGAGGGATCCTGTTTGTGAGTTGTACTCATTGTTCAGCTGATTATCCCCCGCCCCCCCACCCACTCCAACCCACACACTCATATACAAAACATAGGCCTCATGTTACTATTTGGCTGTCAACCAAAGACGTGTACACAACAGCGTGAGGGCCATGCTTTGATTTCCTGTCTAACACTTCACATGTTGTCTCTTCACAATAAAGCCATAGTTTCCAATGAGGGGTGTGTCTGGCCAGTCTATCTGACTCCATGCATTGTCCATCCAACCTTATTGATGTCTATCTCTTTTCACCACAAGAATGGACAACACCTGACGCCTGTATCTTCTCCCAGACTCATCATTTACTCATTTTTCTTACAGTTAAACTCCCCCTGCCTTCCTTTTCCTGCGAAGTAACTAATTTTGTTTCATAAGGCCCCCACCTTATCACTGACTTCATCTTGGTTTATCAGAGCATGCTGGCTTACTGTTTATCCCAAGTCAAGAGCAGACCTGATGACTCTGAATATGCACGCACTCTGACGCACAATCGTGTCCCATTATTTTAATAAAAACATTTTATATTGAACTTACGTCATAACTTAACAAGACAAATCCATGGAAATCTTTTATTCTTAAGATATCAGTCTTCCGTGTACTTTGTGTTTAGTGCTAATTAGAAAATGTAAGCATGCTAACCAAGCGGCAACCTCCGAGGCTGAAAAATGAAGCCAACAAGGAAGTACCAAAAACTGCACTTCTTCGAATGGCCGCTTGAGGCTAGCTCCAAAAGAGTCAATCCCCATAGAATCCCATGTTAAAAGACCCAACTTTACAGCAGAAATAAACATGTTTACAGCCTGGTACAGAAAATGGTTTTGGTCTCTACAGCTAATTTCCTCCTTCGTCACAACTTTACTAATTTTTGTATAACTCACCCGTTTAAGTTTATCTAAGGCTTAAAGTTCTGCATAATTTAGGGCATGCCACTTTCAGTGACAGGTGGATGAGCGTATGCCTGCCACAAGCCGGTATGCATCGAAGTCTCGCAAACCTCCTCTTCACGCATTTTTAAATTAGCTAGGAGTTGGGCGGAGTCAGGTACTGGCATGATGGCAACGGGTGAGCAGCCCACTGTGAGCTTCAAAACCGCTCTTCATAAACCTATGAGTGACATCACAGATGCTACTTCCATCTTTATTCAGTCTATGATGCTTACACATTGGATTAACATGGCAAACATGCAAAACATTATGCTAAACAGGTAGCAGTGTCATTGTGAGCACGTTAGCAGGCCTATTTCTGCATTTAGCTCAAAGCACCATGCAGCATAACAGCTAGCTGTTAGCGTGGCGGTTGACTATAGAACAAGCCAAACTTGCATCTCTCCATGAAATTCTTTTATTCTTGTCCCTGGTTTTAGTGTTTCCTACCTCTATCTCATTTATACATTCTTCTTCTCTGCCTTCTCATCTGCTGCTCAAAGTTTTCCCCTTTTCTTTCTTGTTCTCTCTTTCAACTATAGCTCACTTATCTCACACTCCCACTCTTCTCAGCTTAGCTTTTCTCCTGCAAAACACTCAATTCAAGCACAATGCTGTGTTGTGTCTGTGTGTGCTCTTTCAGGGGCAGGCTCTTTGAGCTCAGGAAAAGAGGCCAATGTAACACACACACACACACACACACACACACACACACACACACACACACACACACACACACACAAGATGAGAACCTCTGGCGTGGCCTTTCCCACCACTGCCCTCTCTGTATCAACATATTCACACAAACAAGCTCATTCGCACTGCTACACCATCAAACAGGCTTTTGTCTCACACACACACAGTTATCTCCACACATCTGCATGTAAGCTCATTACTGCATCCAAAACAAAAACCTTCTAACTACAGCACAAACCCTCCCACTTCAAGGGTCTTGTGTGGCTTTCACACTTTGTCGAGTAACCAAAAATGCTTCATCTTCACCTTGTTCACAACTTAATATTCAATCAGCAAAGAAAAGTCATTGATGGTTAAGATAAAAATTTATTTACATGGCCCCTTTAAAGATCTTACATCCTTTAGCAGTGAGTGAATTAGCACTAACACTCAGCTGTTTAATTTGCATAACATATGTCCTTATTATAGGTAATAATGAGGGAAAAAAGTACAATTTTATTACCCATGACAACCAGCCACCAGAGAAATAAGAATCATTCATTTCTGTAAACAAATCCTGTGGTGTTAATCTCATCTTGCAATTTGATTTAATCTCACAAGAACTTATAAAAATAGAATTAACAATATAAGTAATCAATATATGACCTTAGACATAAGACCAACATACACATCCTGTATCAAAAAGATTCAGACACAAAATATATAGAAAACATTTATAAACAAATATAACTTACTGCCACTGATATGACTCAATATTTTATCTACATGGTGATACCAACTCTGAAGAGGTATGAAATCATCATTGCCTCACCAGGCTGTGGGGAAAAATATGAAACTATATAGGACAGCGTTACTACATGTGTACCAGGGAACAGAGAAACAAAATGTAATATTAAAATAGCAGCCAACAAGTTACAATTCCACAAAAATCTTTGGCTCGTAAGTGGTGAGGAGGATTCAATCCAATTTCATTGGATTGTGAACAGAGAAAGTCTGTTGGTCAGTAAATGCCATTGATCTTTAATGGCAAACATGACCTAACTGAAGGCACTTGACAGACATGGAGAGGAGACACAGGGTTGACAAAGAGCCGCAGAAAAAACTGTTGAATCGACATCATAACTTTTCCACCTAATTGAGTTTACTGTACTCATTTGTATACCTCCCCAAGAAGCACAAGACATTACCTCCACATTATAAGTGGTGTCACCCTAATGACAGTTTGTTCCTTGTCATGTGATTCTGTTTCGCTCTATTAAAAGGACAAGACGACTGATGGGAGAGCTGCAGCCAACAAATCTGTCATCTCTTTCTGTTTTCATAACCATCGCCCTCATGTCCTCATATCTGCATTGACTTATAGGAAGGCGAGCTTTGATTGACAGACGCAAATCTCCAAAACAGATAAAATCTGATGAGGCTGGTGAAGATTCCAGGTGTGTTTGGAACCTGGAATGAACATGAATAGGAAATAAAAAGACATAAAGGATAGTAGTTTTCATTTCAATCAAGAAAAAATGTTGAAAGCTGTGTTTACATGTGTCTCTTACCACAATATAGTTATCATTTAGCTGTAGGCCGTAGAGGACCCAGGAGGTTGAAGTGAAGAAGGTGGCTACAGTCAGGGGGAAGGACAAGCACTGCACATTACGACTACGTACTATCTCTACCTAAAAGAGAAGAGAGGAAGAGGAGGACGGCAACAATTAGTTAACAAATAAACATTAAAGCTGCATTAATCAATGTTTTTGTATTTACAATGCATCAAATTACAATGTGAAATGTAAAGAATCGCTTGAGGTGACAAACAAACAGAATTATCTGCCCTGCAGTTCCCCTCAGCTCTGTGGAGTGTTTTAGTGTCTTTCAGCTCATTCTTTTGGTTTTCCAGCCAACAACTTTATTGTTTTGCTTCAGTTTTATCAACCCTGTTTCTGTGACTGTTTTCAGCAAAATAAATAAATGAATAAAATAAAACTGTACTCTACTTGCAGAGTAGACTCAGAGTGGGCGACACTCAGGGTGCCAGGGGTTTATTCCTGTCTATTCCTCTCCACTGTTGCCAAGTGCTGCCTGTGGATGGAACTGTCAGGTTTCTCTTTGCAATATTTTGAGGTTACTCTGTGAGGTGTATTGAGATAAAATATGTTCAGATTGGCACTATATCAATAAAACTGAATTAAATTGAACATCAGTTTAGCTAAGTGGCTAATAGCAAACTAAAGGCAAAACTCCTGTGTGCCAGTCAAGTCAAGGTACTAGTAGTTAATATGATTGCATCGCTATAACCAAACCGGCTTCAGACCGAGGTAGGACCACCTACCTAATTAACATAAGGACACAGACATATATGAATAAATAAATAAATGAATGTAGAAACGTAGAAATACAGCAATACATGTATAAATTAATAATTAAATAAATGCAGAAACACAGAAATAACAAAATGTAGAAATGCATAAATAAATAAATAAATAAATGTAAAAATACAGAAATAGTATTTGGTATTACCAAAATGCATGTATTTTGCATTTATTTATGTATTCAATTTTTTACTTTTTTATAAATTTTTTGTCCTTCCCTCATCTTCAGGGTTTAAAACAAACAGGATTGTTTGAATATTACAGTTTATGCCTCCATCTGATTTCCTTTTAGCAATGTCGCCACATGTCCAGATCTCAGTAATTAATCTGGTGATTGTTACCAACAGGAATGATGGCTATGAATGTTGTATTAACCTGGAATTTCCCTTCAAATACCAGAAGCACATCTGGAATGTGCTGCAATGTTTATGGATAGATGGCCTTAATGAGGATGGCTTTAGGTTTACACAGTGTATAATAGCAACATCATATTATATAAACTGTAAAGAGAAAACAAAATGTCACCAAGGGGATGAGGCACAAACAGACAGAGGCTGGGAATAACAGGAAGACACAGATGAGGGAAAGAAAGGCAGGAAACCGACTGGGGGTCATTCAGAGCTGTGGCGCAGATGGGGGGGAAGGAGACGAACAGGATAGTAGAGGAACCAAAGGATGATATGAAGACACAAAAGGAAAGAGAGAGGGCAGGGGATTTATTCTTTCACTGGTAAATAGCTGCATGTGCAGAGCCGACATGAAGAGGAAGGCCAAAAAACGTGCTGTCAACAGCTGTATAGACTGAATACAGTTGGCGTTTAAGTGAATATTGTGAAGTTTGTAGAAAACAGCTTTAACAAAACACTCAGTGTTTAGAAATAAGAGCTCCCTCCCTCATGATTGACAGGCTGTACAGAATGAACGCCAATTTTAAGGACGAATGTAGTTTTAATGGTAAAATGAACTCTTTATCTAAAAATTATTAAAAGTCACCTTTTTGCCATTTTTAAATTAATACTACAGCATTTCCTAATTTTACCTACAGAGCATGAACAATGCATTTCAGAGACCTTATGATGATGGACTGCACAATGTTGCAACCATCACCTGACGAAGAGGCAGCCATGCAATGACTCTCTAACCTCAATATTTATCCTCTTTCAAGAGTGTGACAAGTTTGCTGTGTGACAAACATGCTAGTTTTGTCTTACAGACCTAGTAATTAACTATGACAGAAAACAGAGAAAAACATAAAATTTTAATTAAAATTAAAATTAAATTTTAATTTAAATTTTTAAACGAGGATAAACCCACTAAAAAAAGCAATTGACTGCTTTTACGCTGCCAGCTGAGTTTGCGGAAGAGCACACACACAACTGCAGGGAGCAATCACACACACACACAGATGCAGTCGTAGGGGGAGAAAGAGTGAGCTACTAGAGTGATAAAAACAGATCTGTCACGAGTTGGTGCTCCTGTAAGTCGGAGCCTCTGTGTGAGATGCTTTAATCGGTGATTGTGCGTTTTTAAATCTAATTTCAGCGTTGCGGCTCACTCCTGCATCCTTGAGTGTAGCTGCGGTGTTTCTGGTTTGACAGCAGCGTGTCAGGTCTGTTTACAGTGTCTGTGCCCAGAAAGACGTCAGCTGGGTGTTGTGTTTACATCAATGCTGACGGGAGCCGGAGCTGATAAATACCCAAGTCTATTGTAGAGTCATGTGACAAGGGAGTGAGTGCCGATTGTAGCTTTTCCATTGCTGACAAAAGCCTGATGTTAGTGGGTTTTAGCAGGTTTTTTGAACAGAGGAAAAAAAGGTTTTATATATAGCAAATGACTTTGTGCATGTGAGCTGATATTATTTGATAATGAATTGTATTCCAGATTAAAAGCACATTGCATTTTGTCTCTGCATTGTCTGTGAAACCAGTGAGAGGAGCATGTTCATGTGACTTTGTACATGCTGTCTGTAGTGCATGTGAGCTGTACCAGGTCGGCGAGCGGGGACAGGTACATGCTGACGGTGACCACGCTGCAGGTGAGGCCCAGCTGGTTGAGCCGAATTTCTCCCTCAGGAAGAAACATAGTGAAGTAGCACCAGCCGCAGGTCAGCACAATCCCTGCTGCAAGAGTCTCCGACATCACAAGCCTCTGAAAGAAACACACAGGGAGACGCCGAGATGTTTTCACACCTGAAATGAGTTGGATGTAGCATCAGTGATGTGTTTTCTGCAGATGCATGCTGACCTTTTGTTTTGTGTAGTGGAAGTACATGATGATGTACAGGAACTGGAGGACAGCTCCGATAACGTTGACCAGGACGATCGTCTGATCCGCCTTAAGAATCCCATAATACAACCAACCCAGGTTACTATGAAAACAAGACAAGATTCAGATGCGCCGAGCAGGACAAAGAAAGAAAGATCAAGGATGGCGGACAAACACAAAAACACAAACTCACTTAAGACATGTGGTGAGGAAAGGGAGAAACTGGATATTGTCTGCACTTTTGGATTCTCTCATCTTCTTCAGGTCGGTCCTAGAGAATCACACACACACACACACACACACACACGCGCACACACGAGAGAGAGTGAGCAAGAGTGACCGAACACATAATTAAAGACTATAACTTTATCAAATGAGTTCACACAACCAAATTGCAACCAGCAGCCATCTCCAAAATCCATCTCACTGGCCTCGTGCTCTCTACCAACCACATTAAAAGTAACAGGAAGAACTGAGACTGTAAAACTGCCTTATTGCATGTCATTAATCATCGATACAACTTACAGTCCAGTCGAGAACATCCCGACTGTGAACACGATGCAGGCCCATGACAGAAACTGCAACAAATCCATAGAGCGGGAGAAAAAGAAATCTAACACAGCGCCCGGTTTGGTATTTTACGTGCAGCGTCTTCTTTTAATCACGAACGCTTCGGTTGCATGAAATAAAGTATCAACTATAACTACGCTGACGTGCTCCTTCTCTCTCTCTCTCTCTCACTGTATTTCCGTGTTTGCAAACAGTCTACTCAGGGTTTCTGCACTATGATTGGCTAGGTGGGGTGGATTTGCTCCAATGGGATGCTGAAACGAAGGCGTACGTTGCGCGTTGCGTCATCACGTCGCAAACATTTGGAAGCTGGAAGGTGTAAGTGGAGGCTGATGGATGGAGGACTGTCAGAGAGGCAGTGATTGTTCAAAGTCATTTGGATTAAACTTTTTATTAACTCAATAGCCCCTGATTTACTTCATGTCATTTCTGTCTACATAATTTTATTCATCATACATTTGTTAAGACATTTACAACAGACATCTTACAGAAGGATTGTGTGCCAAGGCTGCAACCAACAATCATTTTCAATATCAATTCATCCAACAAATGTTCAGAAAATTATGAAAAATATTCAAAGATATTCAACTTACTATCAGATTCACGTTGAGAAGCTGGTAACAGAGAATTTCTGACATTTTTGCTTCAATCAATCATCAAAATGGTTGCCAGTTATTTTTCTGTCAATCTGCTAAATGATTCATCAACTAATCTTTTTCTGTTTTAGAGTACCGGTTGGTTTCTGGGTGCCTGGGGAAATGGTGAAATTGGGATGAATAGTGAGGGTCAAGGGCTCTAATGAAAGTTGCCATGGGATTGCATTACTTGATCTTGACCATTCTTGTTTTAATCTGTCTTCTCTGAGTTCCCCAACCTCATGGAAGTGTAATACTTAAGCGCTGGAGTACTCTTTTAACAGAGGAAACATGTTTCTGCTACACTGAATTACACAAGTGATCACAAGCAGCGGGCCACAATCTATAAAAGTTTGGAACCACTCGTTTACATAATTACATGTATATACTATTGATTTTCTAAATTCAACATGCAATGTTTTTAGTGTTTAAAATGACAATTGAAACAAACCCAACTGCAGGGCACCAATGTAATTAAACATTTAATTTCATTCCATATCTATCATTTTTCAGCTACTCAGTGAACTATTCAGGTGACAGAGTGCCATTTCATGGATCTTACATCCATAAATTCAGAAGATGATTCATTTTCAAAGTTGTGAATTAAAACATTAAACTACCGCTACCTTCCCTTTCAGCAAAGTTCAGGTGAATTTAATGCTAATCACCTAAAATGTGCAAGGATAGATGAGGCTTTCAGTGCCGTCGCTGCAAATCTCTCGCCACAGGCCCTTTTTTTTTCACTCACTTCTCTCAAAACATCTCTCAGACTTGACCTTTAACAACTGTCTCTGGTGGATAATCTTATCACTTCTTCTCCTTCAGTTTCTTTTAGTTTTTTTTTTTTTTTTAAAGTTTGCATCTGTTTGACATTTGATTTTTTTCACCCAATTTTCATTATTTTTAATGTCAATTCTGTATAGTTGCAGAAGGTTTGCCGTTCTGGTTTGTTTTGGATCTTTCTGTTATTAAATTGTAATTTATTTTCTTTTTGTGAATATGTCTTTTATGTAAAGCGCTTCCAGTTTCTTTATGTGTTACAAACACAATGTCTCTCTTTGTCTAGCACTGATACGTATTTCTATACCCTTATATAACCTTTGTCTTTATAGACAATTTATATGTGATGCTATGTGATAATATATGTTACCTATGCGTCAATAACTTCACACTGCAGGAACTATTTTTTATAGTTAGAAGACTTTGGATACTGGAGTTCTGTTAATGCCCTTTTACTTCTATGCAAACAGAAAACATAATGAAGGACTTGTACTTGTATCTTTACTTTTACAGTATATGCAAGTAAATGATTTCAAAGAACTTTACACATTGCCATATGAACTGAGTAATGTAACTGTGAATACTGCCATATTTGGTCTGTTCCTTTAGGCACAGTTTAAAGTTGTCCTGCATTATCAACCCCACTCTGCAGATACATGGGTGCTACATTGAAACAAGATTTCTGAGCTGTGTGATCATCTGCAGTGAATTTAAACCATGACGTGATTATGGAAAAACAAACAAGTCCGTTTTATGTTCTGGTTTTGAATGTATATGTTGCATGGTTTTACAGGGGATGGCGACTTTTGACAGTTTTCAGTCAGCTCTGAATTTTGCAGGTATGAACGTTTGTGCACTCTGCTCCTCTTCAATCTAACATACCACTGTGCAGACGGATGTTCAGCTCTCCCTCCAAAGGGGATGTACAGAGTAGTAAAAGAAAGGGCAAAAAAAAGGAGAAAAAGAGTGTGAGTGAGGAGGCGAGAGTGACACCTTCACACCCAGCTGTCAGTTTTCTTGTGGGCCTCTCTCCCTGCACTATCCCGCGCTATCGCTCCTTCATCGTCCCCCTCTTGGTTCTCGTGTTTGGTTTTCAGACTGTGAAATCCAAGCCAGGGCAAGCTGTGTCACCAGGGATGAAAGACAGCGAGGGCAGTGAAGAGGGGATGAGAAAATAGAGGTTGGGAAAGACCTGGGGGTGGAAATCTGAAAGGGGCTGGAGAGATTTCATCGGGTAGGAGATGGATAGCTTTGCTAAAATATTGTGTCATCCGTCAAAATCTCAATGCCCTGAGTGGGATTTCAAGATCCAAAGTAGGTTAATGCAAAAATAAATTTCACTAGAGCTGATAAAAAACAAACAGATACTTTTATTACATCACAATTTTTTTTTATTTCACTAAAGATTTTTCACATCTTAAACAGTTTCTTATAGTTTTTCTTTATGTACAAATTTACATATAAACATGTACAAAATGACACTAGTATGTTTGACAAGAAAAACTACTGTAAATAAATTGTGGCAAGTCCCTTCACTTTGAGGTTTGACAATGTGAACAAACATTGCAAACATCAGCCAGTGTACCATCATACCATGACACTATCAAGACAGCAGAGATGAGTGAAGAACCATTAGTACAGAACAGGCTCAGCTCCCTGACACTCCTGCTAGTGTTAGGTTCCCCAAACCACTTACATGAGAACTTATAATAGATTGGCAAGATTATGACTCACGATTTACATGAGGATCCAAATTAATTGTTTTATAGTTGTAATGGTTCCATACTCTGTGCATGCAGTGGGTATTACTTAATGAGTTAAAAAAAAATAAGAAGTTGGCTGAGAACCACTAGTTTGGATTAGACAATTTGTTTACTTGTGTAGTCTTACAATTTAAAAAAACGTGTGATGTCAGACACTTTCTGCTCTTTCTAAACTGCAGCACCTGACTCAAAGTGAGTTCGAAGGAGACTTAGAGACATAACAGGGAGCTGAGTGCTACATGACAAAAATCCTACATTTTGTATAGGCAGGAGCCGACAACATTTCCAATACACAATCAATAATTTCTTTACATGAAGAGAATGAAAAAAGACATTGATGGTTTGAGATCAGTAATACAATGCACGGATGTACCAATGGTATAAAAATCTGAAAACACATAATGAAGACAATGTGTTCCTCTTGTCATTTTCAATCTGATGTGAATTCATAAGGTCTTTTGATCAGTTTGCTTCCAGTTTTGTTCATCATGGCTGAAAAAAAGTGTGCATCTTAAATGGTCAAAAATGAGAAATCCATCCTTGTAATAAAGTAAGAAAAAACATCTTTGAGGTCTTCTTCTTTGGAACGATCCACGTTCCACATTCACGCAAACAAACACATCACACTCACTGACACACACACACACTCACAACACACACACGCACTGATCATGCTTGTATAAAAAAAAAAAAAAAAAAAATCTGTATTAAAAAAATTCTGAGTCTTCATGGTCCCAATGACCAGCATTGAGTTAGCATTGTCTCTGTTATGGTCAGCAGCCTTAGTGTAGCATCAAGGATAATAAGACTGGGATCATGGTAAAGAAGAGGGAGAAGGAAACCAGCGGTGCTCCTGAGCTGCCGATACTCCTCTGGACGTTTGGCTCCATCACAGCAGGGTCATCTAAGGAAAGAAAAAAGGAGGGTGAGTCAGTTTCACATTTCATCATTCAGGCAGGGTAAACACACCCAGCTGGGCCTGTCTTAGACACGACACTGCTGGGACTATTTTCTATCTGTCTGGTATTTTGGACAGGAATCCTCACCTGCTGGGAGCCGATTAGAGGGGTTGTGCACTCCTCCAGCAGCAGGAAACATCACTTTTCCTTCATCTGAGCTTTTCCCTGTCTCCTCTGCTTTGGGTTTGTCCAGGTGAGTTTTCCCAGAGCCTTTATGCCCGACGACATCCACTTTCAGCCTCAGACAATCCTGGCCATGGTGATGCATAGGCTTGGCTGGAGAAGGTCAGAAAGAGAGAAAGGTTTAATACAAGAAACCTTCTCAGGCTCACAATAGGTTGATAAAAAAAAATAAAAAAAATCCAGTGGTTGATACTTACAAATATAATAATAGCTCTCTCCCTGTCTGAACTCCTTGCCCAAGGTGAAGGGTGTGAAGCGCTGGAACTTCTCAGAGAATTTCTCAGGGGCGTGGAGAGCGAAGGGCCGCGAGCACTCCCAACGGAGCTGGTCAAAGGAGTGAGGTTTACATACGTCGTAGTCCTCCCTCTCCACCATGTACAGCACATAGCGCTCAGCTACATGCGATGACACCTCACCGTGGGTGTAGTGGGGGCAGATGATGTCCAGATAGTCATTGATGCGCACTTCCACTGTGTACTCATCCCACAGGAAGCTGCAGGGAGACAGGAAGAGAGGTTACTGAAAAATGTCCTCATCCAGAGTGGAAAAGTCTCTTTTTCACAAAATGAAAAGAAACATGAATCGCGGAGGCCGGGATCAACTGTTTTGCACACATGTTCAACACACACACACACACCCTGGCTCAGAGAAATGAACTGTTGACGACAAATAAAAATAATCACGACACGTGCAGCAAAAGAAACCAGACTTACTCACACAAACAACATGTTTTGACACACAGGTGAAGCTAACAAGAAGGATGTGTCGGTGCGTTCCGGTGTGCTTGTGCAAACCCGTCACTGTGACTGATTTAGAATGAGCCTGATCAGGTTGGGCTTGTTCACTTTGTTTTTTGGATGAACACACCTAGAATCTCCTTAAGCCCTTCCACCATCCCACTCACACACCTTTCTTTCACTCGAGCCCTCCTGTTGCCTTCAGCAGAGACTCACTTCTCACAAGTAGACAAGATTTTAAATAACAGCCCCCTGTCTGTATTTCTGTCTCTCAATCTCTCTCCGATTCCACCAAAGACAGAGGCACAGTGGGTGGAGACAGCCAGACTGTCGCTTTCTTTTCTCCCTTTTCATCTTTACCCTTCATTTAGTTTTATGGCTCTTTTTCAGCCTTCCCGTCTCCTCTTTGCTCACCTCCTGTCCTTGTTTCCCCCAGTGTCCTAATGAAGTATGGAGAGATGGTGAAAAATAACTATAAATCCTGTACAGTCCCATTGCACTTTTGTGATAATGGGGCTACGTGACAATACAAAAGTAGGATTCAGGGAGTTGTGTTAAATTTTTTGCCCCGGTAGAACTTTGACTCATTGTTAATAAATAGCAACTACTCTGAGGAAGGGATTTGTTGAGGCAATGAATGAACTTTAAGCTGCTATCTTCGCTTTTAGTTTCACATTACTAATATGTCTTTCCTTTAAAGTAAACATGATGCAGGTGAGGCCGTGCTGTGCTGGTACATGTGTCGTACGGATGGCTGGCTCGCGCTGTGAGATCAGCCAAAAGCCAGTGGGTGAAGAAAGACGGATATTTGCGTGCGACTCCGATTACATCCTCAGGGGTAAAAACTTCTAATCTGCTTAGACTGAATAATTGCTGGTATTTGTGTGTGAACATGTCGTAGAGAGTGAAAGTGACAAGAAAACAGCTCCTGTGTGTCTGCCATTGTTTAAGTGTGTGTGCCCCAGCATCAAAGCATGTTGTGGCTCCTGTTGTTGTGGCTCCTGTTGGGAGACCCCCCCCCCCACTTCTGGCCAAGTCAACAGACACACTGGCTCCAAATGTGGGCCTCTAACCCCTCCTTCCTTGACTCTGTGTGTGTGTGTGTGTGTGTGTGTGTGTGTATCAGTTAGCGCTAACCTACCTGTCAAAACATGCTTTGTTAGCTGAGCACAGCTCTACACTTGTTATCCAGGGCTAACAGGATGATCACCGCCCTCCGATCACTGCTCTCTCTCAGAAAAGGTTCTTTGTGCGTGCGTACACTCCTGTGTAGGTGTGCACACCTTTTCTTGTGTGTATATGTGTGTGTTTGCCAGGGCAAGTGTTTCAGTGAAAGGAAGAAAGAAACATCTGTTGCAACCTAATTGGCCAAATAATCTCTGTTCTCATCTTGTTCCTCTCTTCTTTGTTTTCTTTGAGTAAAACCAGTAATAACAGACTCAGAGAAAACAAGCTGCTCGGCAGTTCACTCTGAAGGAAAGAATCCTTTTAAATTGTATGGGATACACCTTCCTTCCCCCACACTGCGTCCTTGTTAGTGGCGAGGCTGCCCTCCGCACAGAAACACAGCCTTGTCAAAAGCCACTGAAAACAGATTCTGTAGCTAATTTCATTCATGGAGCACGCTTTTAAGAAAACTCTCCTTTTATCCTTCTCCTCACCTCCTCATTTCCCCCCTCCTCCTCCTCCTCCCCTCCTCCATTGGTCTGGCTAATTAAAAGCTGTTAGGGGTCTGGGGCCAATGTGTTCTCTAGAAAAGGAGGGGAGGAGGAATGAATAGGGTGTAATTATACCCTTTCCCTCCCCAAAGACAGAATGCCTGAAGGCTACAGGGCCCCTTCAACCCCTGTACCTTACCCCTTGTGGAGCTTTCACTGCCCTGGCTGCTGTGGATGTGTGTAATATGTGTGCTCATATGACTGTCCAGATTTATTCATGCTTGAATTAGTCTTTTATTTGCTGTTAATTATGTTATCAAGTCAAGAAGTTGGGAAAACTATGGCCCCTGTCGAACTAGGCCAGAGTCTCAAACCCACGTCTTTCGCTAGTCCTCTCCCTCCGCACTCCTCACGCTCTCCGCCTTCTCCGCTCCTCAAAGCTCTCAAATGCTGGAGACTTCCCAGCGTCTCCCCTCTCCTCGGACCGGCAGTTCTCGGAAGAGTGAGAGTCGCATTAATGTGATCGCTATGTGGCATGTGAGAGTGAGAGCCAGGTGTGCACGCTGTTTCAAACCTACTTTCCACACAGCTTCTTCTTCCTTTGTGTTGGTTTGTCTCTCTCTCTCCCTCTCTCTCTCTCTGTGTGTGTACATGTTTTCAAGGGAGAGGGATTTCTCTGAAGACCCTTATTCAGGGCGTCTCATGCCTCAGGCTGATGAGCACATCTGTTTATCGAGGCCTACTGGAGCCTCTTGTGTGTTTGACTCTGTGTGTGTGTGTGTGTGTGTGTGTGTCTGTGTGTGTGTGTGTGTGTGTGTGTGTGTGTGTGTGTGTGAGATTTCTTGCATGTGACTGAGGTGTGGGTAAACAGCGAAGGTCCAAGGTGGTTGTTTCTCACTATGGAGCTACTCCAGCTTTTGCGTCAGTGGGCAAGGTGTGTGTGTGTGTGTATGTGTGTGTGTGTGTATGGGTACGTGTGTGTGTGTGTGAGTGTGTGGTAAGGGCATAAAATAGTAATATAGCTGTAGCTGTGGTGGTTATGACAGTAGGTGACTTGTTCAACACTTGGCTCTGATCACCAGAGCTTTGAAGTCTTGCCATTGTCCTTGTACTACTGCTCTTCTTCTCTTTTCTCCTGTCATCCGTCTTTCCTTTTTCCCCCATTCTCCCTGACAACCCTGCCGTTCCTCCATTTGTCCCCTGAGCTCGCACTGGTTTCGGTCAAACAACTGACACAGGAGCTCTGTCCTTCACCGTCTCTCTGGGGAGCGTTTCAAACTGGCAGCCAGGGTCGAGGGGGTTAGAGTTCAGAGTCGCAAACTTCTCACACACACTACCGTCTGAGTCAGCGCTGAGGATATTTGTTTCACACGCGCACACACACACGCCCGCATTCATGGAGCGAGTCAGCACCACTGAAACACTAAACAGATGCAACCCCCCCCCCCCACCATTTGCTCTGCAGGTAATCAGTAGTAAGTGTGCACACACAGGAATGTCACAACGGGGGCCTGTGGTTTGGATGGTTTACTGTGTTCTCACAAGGCGCACTCATCACATTTCCACTCGCACTCTCACACACTTTTACTTCGACATGCACACTTAATACCCTATTAATTTGCTGCGGTATGGCAGATGCACACCTCCTTTCACACAGGCTGAGGAGCTGTCAGTGGTTCTAATGGATTTAGCTGCTCACTAGTGGGACACTCCATAAAAGCCAATCTAATATGCACTGAAAAGTCTTTATACATTAGTCTCCAATGTAATCTACCTTCATTCTTGGAAAATTCATCCTCCACTTGGCACCATAAAGTATTTTGCAAATGTGGGTGTATATATCCGTACGTGCATGCCCCAGTGTGATAGTTAAGACACTGAGAATCCCTTTGGCCCTAGTGGGATGAGAGCGTTTAATGTTGTCAACACTGCCGTTTCTCACTTATTCAATTCCAAACTTCTCCCCTCCCTTCATCCATCACTGTCCACTCTCTCCTCCCTCCGTCTGCCTCTCCTTTATTCTTTCAAAATTAGCCCATCCCCCCCTCTCCCAATCCTCTATTTTCTCCTGTCTCTTAATGCTGACATAATATACCAGAGCTCTTCATCCAGGCTAATTTCTCAACACAAATCCCTTTCTGTAGTTCACCCTTCTCTCACCCTGCGCCCAGACCCCTCCTCCTCTGTACGCCCCGAATCTTTTCACCCTGTCCCACATTTTGCAGCCTCCCATTCTGTCTGCGATGAATAGAAGAAGGCCAAATGGTATCAAGCTTGGTTTAATATGTTGGGGGGTGGGGTGGGGGGTGGGGGGGTCAGGCAGAGTTAATCTGTGTGTCTGTGTCTGTCTGTCTAGCAGAGAGAGAGAGGAAAGAAAGTTTAGGATGTAAGAAGACTGTAAGAAAACTGTTCAACTTTTTCATTTGGAATAAATTTTATATTAACTGCTGCAAAAGAAAGCCTCCTCAGATACTTGGGCAGAAGTCCATTTGTTGTTAATTCTGCCCTTTAGGGGGCGATGGTGGGCTATGAGTGGACAGCAATGCCAAGGTATGTCTGAAATGCTATGAATGAGCAATGGACGCACACACACACACACATGCACGCACGCTTGCCCACACATACTACGATAACGCGGGGCCTCTCTAGTGTTAGCAAGGCCAGGGCTGAGAGGTGCTCTGTCCTCCTCCGGTGGAAAACTACTGGGGCAAAAACAGAGGAAGGTCTGTGAGAAAGAGGGAGACTGATAGAGAGAGAGGGAGGGGGGGGGGGTTGTAGAGGAAGTCTGGACCACAGATAAGGAAGCGAGAGGAAGAGCAGAGAGAAAACAGAGGTACATGGGTACAGTGACGTGGGTCGAGGACATCTACAGACCTGAGACACAGACATAAAGTATAGTCTGTAGTTTGGTCATTAAAACTCTCAGGTGCTGCTGTTTGCTATGATGCGTGAAGGGTGTGTGTGTATATTTATAAGTGTGTTAGGTAAGAGGGCAGTCATATCAGCGGGGAATAAACACAAAGCTGTTTGATAGTGAATGGGCAGGATTCATAGTAAGCTGAATGGAGATTTCCTGTGGTGCCTGTAATTGATTGTTCTGATGTAAGATGGATCCCATCTGAGAGATTATACTGCGAATGATCCACTGTGACAACCGCAGGTTTATTATATATATCGTAACAATTACACAATAACCCACCTACCCAGATACAGGCACATACACACACACACACAGAGGACATAACATAATGAAACAGACAGACGTTACATCACAGGGTCACAGAAGCATAAATATATATAGAATGAAAACAGCAGGATGATGATTTTGTGTCTACAGGTCAGATGGTCAGATTACAAGCCGTCAGTAATCTATGTTAGTGTGTGTGTGTGTGTGTGTGTGTGTGTGTGTGTGTGTGTGTGTGTGTGTGTGTGTGCGCTTGCGTGTTCTCATTCTGGTGAGATTAGAGACCAACAACCAGACGGGACATGGGCTGGGGAGGGGTAAACAAGAGTGAGGGAAAAAAAAGAGAGACAGAGAATGGGAACAAAATGTATAAAATGTGTGAACGGAAGGACGGAGGAGTGTGTGTGTGTGTGTGTGTGTGTGTGTGTGTGTGTGTGTGTGTGTGTGTGTGTGTGTGTGTGTGTGTGTGTGTGTGTGTGTGTGTGTGTGTGGGGCCGTATGTACGTGTCAAGGCAGGCCCGGCTGCCTCAATAACAGCAAAAGACAGACAGAGCCAGACACCACAGACGGAGATAAACAGAATATTACATTACACCAAACTCCTGATAAAGATATTTGAGCAGATTCTGGCAGCATGAGAAATAAACCCAGGCTCCTAGAGATGGATGGAAGCAGATAAATAACACAGAGATAACAGATAGAAAAAAGAGGCAGTGGAGTGGAGTGTTAATAGCATCCATATCTATGCAGAACAGAACACATCTCGAATGTACTTGAATCAGTTAGTGTGGAGATGGAGGGCTCGGGGCCTAGAGGCCAGTCTGGGAGGAGACCCAGCTGTTAAAGAGAGGAAAAGGAGTGAAGATGGAGAGAGGAACAGACAGGTTCAGAGAGAGAGAGACAGATACACAGACACACAGACACACAGACACACACACACACACAGCTGACAGAGTTGAGTATAGTAACAGCGAGATGGAATGCTGCCTGTAACTAATATTAACATCCAAGTCCTCCCTCTTGCCCCCCCAGTGTGTGTAAGTGTGAGTCACACATTTATCACGTCTTGATAAGACTGCCTACGGTAACGGCCACTCCCTATTTGAGTCTGACGTTGGGGCAAACACACACACACACACACACACACACACACACAATCACGTACTCTCAGTCCACAACAAAAATAAAATCCCTTCCCGTTAAAAGCTGGTTAAGGGCAGCACAAGTTCAAACTCTCTCATACACACACACACACACACACACTCACACACACTCATAAAGTCGCCACAGGCAGAGACACGTAGTTAAAACAAGGCGGGACCAGATTGAGAAAAACACGTCTCTCCACCTGTCACACACGCAAAGTATCACATCCCTACTGTGATTAGAAGCACGGGTTTAAGCCATAATCATTAGCTAGTTAGTGGACAAAAACATACATATATGTTGTGTTTAGAGACACGCGCACACACACACACACACACACACACACACACACATACACACACACACACACACACACATACAAACGCCTAAAGTCCTGCCAGAGCTTCACACCTCTATACTGTCTGACATGAATGGGCAGACTGCTGCCATCTGGTCACTGTCCTCCACCTAAGACAAATCACTGCTACTCACAATCAGACCAAGAATCAATTAGCATCAATTATCCATGGCCTGCTGCCATCAAAGGCTGTGGATGGATCTCAGTAATCCTCTGAACAGGTGACTGATTGATCACTAGGGTTAGTTTGGGGCAGGTGGGTTTTTAAGTCAAGCTGGAGGAAACCCAAAGACAACAGAGAGGATGGAGAAAGAGACAGAAATGAGAGCGAGAGGAAGGGGTGGGGGTAAGGGTCTGGGAATGAAGGATTATCGATTGCAAAATGTGGAAAAAACATATAATACAAGTGGCATGAGGAGGTCAGTCGATTATTGTTTCACTTTATCCCCCTGATACACATTTCTGACAGAAACTTTGTGGGAAACTCTTATTTCCCCGTCCCCCTCGAGGTGTGTGTGCGTGGATACTTGAACAACAGAGAATGAGAAAGTGAAAGGCCTTGAGGATACAAGATGTTCGACAGATGTTGGAGAAGTGGAAGCAGAATAGACACTACTGAGTACAATGATTCACATGTTGATGATGTGTGAAGTTTGTGCCTCTCAGTGTCGGGGTCTATGTTTAGCCATCTAGCAAAAGGGATTAGTGTTTATATTATGTTTTTTCTTCCCGTTATGCAACCCCCATTTGACAGCAGAAATAGTCCAGGGCCGGATTAGAGACAGCAGACATAAGATCTGACTTTGTATTAGACCACCCCCATTCCCATTCCCTCTCCCTCTCTCTGTGTTGATCAGCCTTTCTTATTAGAACAAAACCTTTGAGCTCCTGTTTCCTCTTTTATCCAGTCTTGACCAGAAAGACTCACGTTTCCTCCTGTGAAGTTACCTTTCCCTTCTATCTCACCTGGGCTACAGTTCCCGCCCTCTGTCTGTAGTGAGTCAGGTGTAAAACTCAGGTGAATCGAACCCGAGCCGCTGAGTCACACAAGGACAAACCCATGACACAGGCACTGCTCATGGAAATACTTTCCATTAGACTCCTCATCCAATTATCAGGACAATTGTTTTCCTTGTAGCGGGTGTCTTTTTTAGCCCTGCGCCTATTGTCATTGTTAAAGGGCAATTAGAGAGTCAGTAATGTAATCAAGACTAGACTAAAAGGCTATAATGGCTTATGCCCTTTTTTCGTCTCGGTGGCGGTTTATAATCGACCTATCTCGGCAGCGGAGAAGCGGGGACGGTCCTTCTGTTATAAAATAATACTGCCTTTCACTCGCTCCACGCTAAAAGCTCAATAAATCGCGCTGCGATATTGCGCGTCTGTCAAGCTCCATCGATCTCGCTGAGTGGTCGGATAGCATTACATTTCTGATCTCACAACAAAACACACTGCAATATGTCCCTCTCTTCTCTCTGACGCTCTCTCTCTCTCTCTCTCTCACACACACACACACACACACACACTGAAGAAACATTGGAACATAGTGACAGCCTTGATGTATAGTCTCATCCGTGTAACACTGATAATGAAATTAATCTTTCATTTTCATTAATAGACTTTTAATGGCACACACTACACACACACACACACACACACACACACACACACACACAGGTGCAGCCCCTACAGACAGCGTCGCTGGCCAAGTTCATACTCGTCAGTCTATTTTCTACTATTAGAGTATGTCTGTGTCTATGTGTTGCGGTTAAATATAGTGGTGAATCTGTCCATCTGTCTGGGCATCCGCTCCCAATATCCTGCGTTTACACCCGGCTGCTGCTGTATGCTCGAATGCTCTATAATCACAATCCTGTTTGGCGAGTTTAAAGGTAGAGCACACAAGCCCGACTTTAAGCGTCACACGAACCCTTTAATTGTCACATGAATGAAAACAAGAAGCTTAGCTGTAGCTGTTCAAGAACGTGAGCAGCCTCGGGGCCACACAGGGACAATATAGACTCGTGGGATGAGACTTTACATGCGTGGAATTGTAAGAAAGTAGCAAAGTTACATCCACTCGCCTCTGGACGCGTCAGGAAATACACGCAGTCACACAGACTCAGCAGTGTTTTGATTGATCCTTCTCAACTACTCACACATGAGACGACTGTCCTAGTGCAGGCACACAAACACGCATGATACCATTCACGCACAAAAGCACAGAGCGGCACTTACTTTGGATTCGAGCTGTTCCAATAGACGCTGTGTCTCTCCGCAGAGGCGAACCAAGCCCCGATGCTCAGCGCCAAACACACCAGACACACCAAATCCATAGCTCCTCTTCTCCGCAGGAACCTCAACAAGTTCAGCTAACAGTCGATAATTTCAAACAGCCTCTGTTTTTTGAAGATCTGACTGCGTAAATACGCGAGCGGCAAACAAAAGTGGATTTTACACTCCTGTTGTAGTAATAATTGCAATTTTAAACTGATGAAGGCAACCTAACGATGTTCAACTCCTGACTGGTTTACAGAAGCGCAACTTGTCTGTTTTGTCTGGCAATGGCAACACCCCTCAAAGTGCCACTAGCCAATAGCAGCGAGATCATCTGAATGCCCCGCCCACAACTGGAGACGCGTCCTCCAGCTCCTCGCACTTTAGACCAGGAATACAGAAAAACAACCAATGAAACATTGTAGAAGTGTAATAAACTAATATAAGTTAAATTGGAATATTAGATGATAAGCTAAGAAAGTTATGAACAACAAAAAGTGAAAACATGCAGACGAGAACCCACAACTGAAATATTTATCACTCAGTCATAATAACTTAAGTGTAAAACCAAGTCAATCAGTAATTTTTTTTATCAGATATAAAAGTAAACAAAATCAGTTAAGAGAACACAGGTGAATATGTATGTACACTAAGAGACATAAAAAAATCTAATGATAAAGATGACAGTGATGGAAAAAGTATTCTGATCATTTACTTAGAGGTTGAGGCTACTTAGGTAGTTTATCAGCTGTGTCATTTTATGAACAGATCATATGTTTTGTTTTTAAAATTTCAATCTGAATTGAAATAAATGTAGTTTAGTAAAAAAAAGTACAATATTCTGCTGTGACGTCCAGTGGAGTATCAGTATGAAGTAGCATTAAATGAGAAAATAATCAAGTAAAAGTAACTCATGATTGTACAGTAGCCTATTTGACTAAATGTACTTTTCCAACACAAAAAAAGACTAAATAATTCAAGTGAATTTCTACTGCCATTGTCCTAGGTTGGTTTCTGTTGTTGTTGGTTTAGTGTATTAAGTTGTTGTTTTGTAACATTGTAATGCATTGTTGCTGGGCTGAGTTGCATTGTTTTGTGACGTACGATATGTTGCAACTCATTGTATTGTGTTTAGTAGTTATGCGTTGTAATGCAGTTGTCAGTTTATATATTTTGTACTGTGGTAAATCGCATTGCTTCTTTATTGTGCATTTTGAAAGGGAGCTGTAAATATCTTGCTGCACTAATGCTGCTGAGACAGATTACTTTTATATGTTGTATTCTGAGGAGCTTAGTCGCACTGGTTGTATTTCAATCATTTGAGAACCCTCTGCAGAGACGTGTGTGTGTTCTTGCAGGCTGTTGTTGTCTAGGCACGCCAGTGTACTGACTGCGTTTTGTCAGATAATAAAGAATTATTACCTTCTTATCAGTCTGTCTAATCTTGTGGTCTCTGCTTAGCCCTACCCCAGACAGTTAACTTTACAAAAAAAAACTCACAGATGGAGTGGATAAACTCCAGACCATGGGGTGTCAGCAGGATTGTGGCCCCAGCAGGAGAGGGCTTCCCTCGGGCAGGGATGGAGCCCAGCCTGGGTTAGCTGGTTCAGAGCTCCAGAGCTGCAGGGAGACAGGAGGGGGCATTGTAAAGGTGTGTGTGTGTGTGTGTGTGTGTGTGTGTGTGTGTGTGTGTGCGCGCAGACAAACTGTATGTCTGACCGTCCTTAGGCACGGCTGGGCAAGCACACACACGTTCTGGCATTCTGAGAGGATCTCACACAGACACACACACACACACACACACACACACACTTACACTGACTGTGGATCCCGTAGGCAGTGGGCACGGGGGGTTAATCATAGCTGTTGGTGCTTTTCCATTTTATAATGTCTCCCCAAAAATGAGGAGGAAAAAGAGTGAGGAAATGACACAATGTATGATGAAGAATAATGGGGACAAGCAGCCATATTAACAATTACTGGCAGCATAATTAAAAATTCTAGGTCATAGTTTATGCAAAACCTCTGGAAAATTTCATCTATGACCAGTTCTTCCTGTAATGGCCAGATTCTTTCACTTAGCTGTACTGACGTTAGAAACTGCTGTAGATATACAGCATGTATTGATTTCCTCTAGGAATGACTGAAATGCAAATACTGTTCTAGCAACTCCCAAACAAGCCGGTGATTCAGACTACCAGCAACAGGATCCATCAGTTCTCACTCATACACAAGAGTAGACTGACTGTCAGTGTCCCTCGTTGCCAGCAGACTTCCGCTGCTCATACATGGGATCTCCTCATGATGCGTTCATCTAACACATAAGCAACCGTGTGGCAAGGCCACAACACAAATTTAGAAAATCGCAACCCACAAATACACCTCCTCTCTGCTGCTGCAGCCAAGCGTCAGATGGCTGGGATCTCCTGTTGCACACATGCACATATACTATATGTATACTATACATGTACACAAATGCAAAGACAGATACGAGCGTGCAAACAAACATGTAGGTCTGCTCTGCAAGCTTTTTTGATAGTGTTGTTGCCAGTGGAAACCACGGATGACTCTCAGAGTGAGACTTAATCCTCCCACAGCCCATACAGACACACACAGAAACACACAGACAGGGAAGACCAGGGTTTCTGTGAATCACAGTAAAACAGAGAAAACTGGATGCCTCAAAAAAAAAAAAAAAGCAACTCACAGAGAAAAGTGTTGAGACGATGAAGAGCTCCACAGTTCTAAAAGTGGATTAAAGGAAGTTGGGGGAAGACCTGACAGCCGTACAAACCTTTCAGCAAACGGAAACCAGCTTGTTTATTTTCTAGGCACTTGTCTCCAGGCGTCACAGTATCTGCCACGAGTTGTTCAACATGTTATGGAAGTCCTACAATTACATAACTTGCGTAATTAGGTAAAAGAAAACAGAGAACATGGTGCTGCCTTTACCTGGCAAATGCCTCCTCTTTTTCCTATTGTCTCAACCAAATTCAAATGCATTTTCTATTGGAGGGTAACATATCGGAGAGGTTTGGGGAAATGAAGAGATATATAAAACAAAAACAGATGGAGTCAGACGAAGAGAAGTATCAGCCCAGCTAGAATAAATGTTTTGATAAGAGGGGTTAAGGATATGTGGGAGACAGCTATTAAAAAAAAGACTTGAATCCCCTCAGCCTATTAAATTTTCAGTCCTGCGTCTTTCTTCAGCTTCTTCCTCTCCATCCTGTCGGCCTGAGGCAGGGATCCGAGCTGGTCAGGGATCTCTGTCTCAAGAATTGGAGAGGTTTCTTCAGACACACACACACACACACGCACACACACACACACACACACACACACAGAAATATGAAACAGGAGTGTTTAATAGAGAGAGGAGAGAATAAATCAAAATGAGGTGGAGTGAAACTTAGAAAAAAAAAACGCAGTGACAGAAGGGTGTTACAGATAAAAGACAGATGGAAAGACTGGGCGTCAGCCACACTGAAACATAACAAGAACCAAACAGTGTTGATAGAGAAAGTTAGGGTGAGCGTATGAACACATCTGCCCAAACACAGCAGGCATGTGCTTGCACAGATTTTTATTGGAGTTTAAAGATATGTAGGAGGGCTCTGCTCCCTGCTGCTGGCTCTATTGTTGCTGCATTAGGAGAAGCGAGATGTTATCCTGTTGATCACATCTCTGCCTCTTATTTTTGCCCTGACTTTATCACGTCATCATGTGTAGTGCCCTCGAGCCTCTGCCTCAGCTGTCTCTCTTCCCTAACCTTTGCCGCAGAGAATAACCATATCAGGCGTTGGAAAAAAAAAAACAGGTCATATGGAGGATCAACATTATGATAAAATGAATAGGGTATAAAGGGGCTTAAAGGGGCGACATCACTGTAATATGCTCCTTATTGACTCTAGTTGATCACAGATTGCATTTCAAATACTTGCCTTTTGTTCACCTAACCTCTGTCATTACGGCTAGCTTAGGCTTGTTAACACTTGGCATTGTTTCACCTACACATGGACAGCTTGTCACCCTGCTGCCCTCTGTCCTTTTATCCCCAGCCTCCTGTGGGCCCTTGGCCCTCTGGCTCATAGCGGCACACTCCGACAAGCTGCCCCTTCTCTGTGGGACGTGCCACAAAGGCATGTCTCCCGGCCCCTATTCACACCCATTCATCTGCATACAGGTGGTCCCCCATTCAAACACAGGGACACACGCTTTGGCTTAATAGCGCTCCATGTGTTTAGATTTAGCCCGGCAGGGAGGAAAATAGTGATTCTTGCAATGACAAGCTCGCAATAAGGTGGTGTTTCTTCTCTGAGCATCTTCTGGAAAGCTGCCATGGAGGCTGAGCTGTTTCCAAATGTGCAAAACATAAACTGACAGGGTATCAAAACAAATCACAGACACACGTACAAACAAAATAAAACAATGCTGCGTGTGTGTGTGTGTGTGTCGGTAGGGGGTAAATGAGCCACGTCCCTCTCTCCTGGACTAACACTGTGTCACTATTCAGACCACAGAAATCATTAACTTGCCCAGTCAACAGGCACACTTCACTCGTTCGCTCTCTCCCCGCTGCTCTGTCCTCTTTTCTGTCTCCCAGGGACTCTCACTCACATGCCCACGCACACATTCACACACACACGCACACACACACACACACACACACACACACACACACACACACACACACACACACACACACACACACACACGGGCACAGAGCAGCACACAAAAGCACAAACAAGCCCCAGTGAAATATTTAACCACGCTACTCAGCTTGCATTGCCTCTGCCATCAATTGTTATACTGTATCTGCTTGTCTGTCTCCCTGCCTGTTCTTTCGGCTTCATCTGTTGTCTTTGCTGTCTTCCCTTCCTTCCCTTTCTTCTGTTCATCTGTTCAGTTACTTCCATGGAGCCTTCGTCAGCCCCTGGCCAGAGCGTACCGAGCACATCTCTCCCTGATTAGTTTACTTTTTCTTGTTTTCTTTTCACATTGAGCATCTTCCCCCCTCCCTTTACTCTCTTTTTTTTGCTGTATTGCTCTCTTTCAGGTCCTACTTCCCCCAATCTTGGTGTGGTCCAGTTTTTGTCTTGCTGCTTGCCCCTTTCTCTCACTTTCAATCTTTTCTTACCCCCCCACAAGTACCTCAGGCAGTGCATTTGTTAGAAGAGAATCCATTATCCTCCTCCATCCTCCCACCCTCTGTCCTCTTTATCTCTCTCTCTCC